GGATTATTTTAACATCAAGTTTAAGTATGTATATGAGGTTACATTTTTTTTTTTTTTAAATTATGACTATGACGGCAAAAATGGTAACTTAATTTCACTGATTTAGTAAACTTTTATTTTATATATAAACCTAGTATTATAATGTTTCTCATGTAAGTACTAAGGACATGGGTCATTCAAAAGCTTACATCTTATGGCATTTCATATTAATTTTATTTTACTATAGGTGTTTTTTTTGGGATTCTTTTTAGTGCGTGTAGTATTATTTAAAAGAAATTTAGGTTAGAATTCATTCAATTTAACTACAATTTTAATTACAATTTCAAAATTACAACTTTAAAATTATAAAATATTTTCATTGTTTAGTTTTAATAGACTTTATTACTTTATAACAGGAGGAAAATTACTCATAGTAAGTAAAATTACTTTTCCATATCAAAGTATATGTAAATTACAATTTTTTTTTTTTTTTAACTTTTAAATTGAAATATTATTTAAGTAATATTAATGGCACTTACTACAAAACTAGCTAAGTCATTTCTCAGATTTAGTAAACTTTATTTATTAATTAATTAATTTATTTATTTCAAATATATGTAACCTAAGTAATAAAGTTTCTTATGTATGTATAAAGAACAGGTTAAAATTCATTTTATTTAACTACAATTTTAATTATACTTTTAAAATTACAACTTTATAATTTTAAAATATTTTCATTGTTAGTTTTGATAGACTATATTACTTTATAACAGAAGGATAATTACTCATTATAAGTAAAATTATTTTTCCATATCAAAGTATATGTAAATTACAATTTTTAAACTTTTATATTTAGATATTATTTAAGTAAAATTAATGGCACAGACTACAAAACTATCTAAGTCATTTTTCATATTTAGTAAACTTTATGTTTTAATTCAAGTTTAAGTATGTATATGAGGTTACATCTTTTTTTTTTTTATTAAATTTATGATGACTATAACGGCAAAAATGGTAACTTAATTTCACTGATTTAGTAAACTTTTACTTTATATATAAACCTAGCAATATAATGTTTCTCATGTAAGTACAAAGGACATGGGTCATTCAAAAGTTTACATCTTATGGCATTTCATATTAATTTTATTTTACTATAGGTGTTTTTTTGGGATTCTTTTTAGTGCGTGTAGTATTATTTAAAAGAAATTTAGGTTAGAATTCATTCAATTTTAACTTATAATTTTAATTTCAATTTTAAAATTACAAACTTTAAACTTTTAAAATATTTTCATTGTTAGTTTTAATAGACTATATTACTTTATAACAGAAGGAAAATTACTCATAGTAAGTAAAATTATTTTTCAATATCCAAGTATATGTAAATTACAATTTTTAAACTTTTATATTTAAATATTATTTAAGTAATATTAATGGAACTTACTACAAAACTAGCTAAGTCATTTCTCAGATTTAGTAATCTTTATTTATTAATTTATTTATTTATTTATTTTAAATATATGTAACCTAAGTAATAAAGTTTCATATGTATGTACAAAGAACAGGTTAAAATTCATTTTATTTAACTACAATTTTAATTACAATTTTAAAATTACCACATTAAAATTTTAAAATATTATCATTGTTAGTTTTAATAGAATATATTAATTTATAACAGAAGGATAATTACTCATAGTAAGTAAAATTATTTTTCCATATCAAAGTATATGTAAATTACAATTTTTAAACTATTATATTTAAATATTATTTAAGTAATATAAATGGCACAGACTACAAAACTATCTAAGTCATTTTTCATATTTAGTAAACTTTATGTATTAATTAATTAATTTATTTATTTTAAATATATGTAACCTGAGTAATAAAGTTTCATATGTATGTACAAAGAACAATGGGTCATACATTACCTTACATCATCTAGCTTTTGTTATAATTTCATTTTTCAGTCGGTGTTTTATTGGATTCATTCAAGTGTTTGTAGTACATTTATTATAGAGGTGTTTCGGTTAGGATACATTTTATTTAACTACATTTTTAAAAAGATGCTTATGTTTGAATACGTTTTTAACTACAATTTTAAATTTTAAATACAAGTTTAAAACATTTTTCCTGCCATTCAATAGACTTTTTTTTTTTTTTTTTTATATATATTATTTAAGGAAAATTTTTGACAATGACGGCATATAATAGCTATTTCATTTCTCTGATTCAGTAAATTTTTATTTTTTATAAACTTCGTAATATATAGTTTCTCTTGTATGCATAGAGGACACGGGTCGTTTAATGATCTACAAATTCTAGCTTTTCTTATTAACTTCCATTTTACTGTAGGTGTCAGTGAAATTAAGTAACCATTTTACTGTAGCTGTCAGTGAAATTAAGTAACCATTTTTGCCGTCATAGTCATAAATTTAAAAAAAAAAAAAAAAAAGAATGTAGCCTCATATACATACTTAAACTTGATGTTAAACTAATCCTACATAATATAATGGATTCTAATACATTTAACTGTTCTTAAAAGAATATAGTAAAATAAAAATTAAAAAGGAGAATATTTCAAATCGTAGTTAAATAAAAAGTATTAGGAAAAAAAAAAAAAAAAACCGAAAATCTTTAAATTTAAAAAATGACTTTGAAATTTTTTTACCGTTAACAATTTAAAAAAAAAAAAAAATTCAGACGACATCCATTCAACTGATGTCAGGTTTCATTGTAAAATACATCCCTACCCTTACCAAATTGTAGCTAATAACTGATACAATGATACTGACATAAGGAAAATCTAGACATGCCTTGTTCAATTTAAGTAGAATATTCTGTAACCATGGAAACGTGATTTTAGCTGTGTCTTTAAAACCCGGTAATTTTAAAAGTTACTCCAAAATTCGCTTGAAGATGAAATGGAACTAATGCTTTTAATTTAATTGCAAAATTAAATTCGAGGTTTTAGCTTCTATTTTTGAAACATGGTTGGAACTGTGTAGCGAAAAAAAACATATTTTAAATCAATTAATTTATAATATGATATATATATATATTGATATCAGAAACGAAATACGAAATGATTTACACTATCTACATTATTCGGACACATGGCAGAGTGGATAAAGGCGTTAGTTAGATCCGATGACAGGACCCAAAGTGTGTGAGTTCAATACCTGGTTAAGGTAGTGGAGAACTTTCAGAGGAGAATTAACAGGAGATAACTGATAATTGACATCCATTAGACATGGCACGTGGAACTAGAAATAAAGGGTTCAGTTCGACATTCGTACCACCGGCCGAAACGTTGTGATAAATATGACAACAAATATGAGGACGATAGTCCGAACAATGTAAATAGTATGTACAGAAACATACACCGCGTCGAGATAAAGGGCGTTGGTTATTTATGCTGAACCTCTTGGAGCGATTCCCCGCACAGTGCCGCTTGATCGATGTTTGGCCGGTGTATACCTAATATGATTCTAAACGCCATTATATATTCTTGTACAATGTTGGCAATATCTCATCTAATACGGAATTCCCATCGTCAGTCGTAGCTATGACCATAAACTACATCTGGCAGCAAGACCTCTGATCAGGAGATTACAGTTTTTGTATTATTTTGAACCACCGCTTAATTGCTGTTGTTCCCAGGCCCACCCTGAATCTGAGTGGCGGTACCTGTTAGGATCCCAGCCATGGCAAATAGTGAAAACAAAAACAAGACACTATGAAAGAATAAAAATAGAATTTTATGATTAAGCAACAGTACTTTTTATATGTAGTTGGAAGCATACAATTACGTTTAAAATATATTTAGTTGAAGCCATCAAATTGTGTTCAAAATATTTAGATTTTGGCGTTAAATAACCCATGTTGATATGCCACGAAAGAAAATCAACCAACAAACATGAAAGAACTATTTCACGTTAGTAATCTATGTAATATCCGACAATTTAAAGAAATGAAACTGTATTCCAAAATATAACTTCAACAAATCAACATAAAACACACTTATCACCTCCTCTAGTAATCATATCCCCACAAACATGTATATACACAAAAGCTAAGTAGCATCTACCATGTACACAAATGTGAAAGGAGAATAATATATGTTTTTATAGTTTAAAGCTTGCTCCAAAATTATGTTTCAACATTAAATGATGTGCCGTGAAACGAATATACAAATTGTCATAACGTTATTCCGAAGTGCTGTAGCTGGAAAATTCCACCCTGGCCAATTATGACAGCAGGATACTCTTTTTTTTTTTTCTTGAAAAGGCCTACGGCCATATCACATGAAATCATTGGTTCTCGTTCAAAGAAAATGAAAACAACACTTATTTTGCAAAATCCGGAAAGCTGTCATCTTTTCACCGTTGCAAAGACGTATTTTTATTGAGTTTATATGTGATGTTGTGGAATCGTTCCTGCAAGGTTGTCTGCTTGTCTAAAAAGAATGAAATTAAAGTCTACCGGTCTAAAGAAAACTTATTTCCCAGTAGAGATTCGACCAGTATTTCTTCTATATGGGAAGCCAATATTTAATCAGGCGTGCTTTTGCCATTTTGGCAGCAGAGATCTTTACAGCAAAGTAACAGTCATTTACTTCAGTCAGAAAGAGAGAGATAGAAAGAGAGAGATAGAGAGAGAGAGAAAGAGAGAGAGAGAGAAAGAGAGAGAGAAAAATTGACTATATGAATGACTATAACGATGAAGTAGTAATCTGAAGCCTAATCGTCCCTCTACCGAAAAATTACGACATCGAAACGGCTACGCCGAATCACCGACGCCAAATGGGCTACGCCGGAACGTCCCATTCTCTAGTCTTCAATCGTGCGTTAAGCTCACTGGGATTAATGGATCACTCAGCCATCGTTAAACTATCCAAATAGGAGAAGGAAAATTCGGATGTAACAATCGTTGCATGACAGTATCCAATATTATTGACGGGTTCTCCTTTTCGGGAACGGAGATTAGTGAGTGGTGTTGTGCCAGTGCGACTTCTTTCTTCACGGTTACGGCGATATCACGTTGAAACACCAGTTCCTGTACCATCACAGAAGTTAAGTAACGTAGAGCTTGGTTAGTATCTAGATGGGTCACCGCTTGAGAATATCAGCTGCTGTAAGCTTAGATGTCTGTGCGGGTGATGTAATGGATAACGGCTCGAAATTGGAGATCGTGGAGCCGTGTTCCAATTTCAGTCGGGTTTGTTATATTCACTAAAGCGCAAATACCCTTGGGAATAAATCTACTTCTTCTCCCCACAGTTATGGTTTGACGACTAAAAAATATGAAGCTGCACTGAAGAGAGAGAGAGAGAGAGAGAGAGAGAGAGAGAAAATAACTATAATGATGAAGTAGTAATCTGACGCCTAATTGTTCCTCTGCCGAAAGATTCCTATATCAAATAGGCCACGCCGAGTCATCGACGCCAAATTAGCTCCGTCTCATTCGCCAGTTCGGCACTGCGTCACGATTCCTGGATAAAGACAACTCTGACACGGTGGTTTGAGGTCAACTCGAGCTGAAAACTCTTGCTTTGAAATAATCCAGAGACAGATATACAATGTGATAGGTCCTAATCTGGAATCTCGTCTACAGTCACTTTATCACAGATGTGCTGTGGCTTCCCTCTGTCTTTTCTACAAATATTTTCATGGCAACTGCTCCGACGAGCTACATTCACTGGTTCCCAAACTGCATGAATTTAAGCGTGCTACTAGTCTGGTATCTCAGTCCCACCATTTCACTGTCGAAATGATTAAATGTAGTCGTCTCTTCTATTCCAACAGCTTCTTATCTCGCACTTCCGGACAGTGGAACTCCCTTCCTCTTACTTGCTTCCCTGATAGCTATAATCTTCAAATATTCAAATGTAATCTCAATCGACAGTTTCTGATGCCTTGATCTTGTTCCCCGTCCTTCTCTTTATCCTTTCCTCAAACAACACTTTTTCCTATTACTCTCACTCTCTGTAACTCTTTACGTGGAAGTGACACTCTCGCCTTGCTTTGGGTAAAGTGCTTAAAAAAGAAAATCAATAACATTGTTCTTCTGATGTCCTTTATTTTAAACCGCTTCACACAAAATGTCTTTTTAAAAAATAATTGATTATTATAAAGCGAGAAGAAAGAAGATGGAATTTACGGGTTTTAAGAAAAGAAACAGCAAATTACAAATAGGAGATGCCAAAACCAAACACTTCAAATATCTGGAAAGCGTTTTAACAGAGGACGGAATGTGTGACAGTGAAATCCAAAGGTGCATTGGAACATCGAAAGGTACATTCAAAAAGCTAAGCAGAATAATTAGAAACAGAAAAATTTCGTTAGAAACAAAACAAAAAACAGAGTACGGAACTGCTACGTAATATCAGCCCTCCTATATGGCAGAAAATCTCCTCGCAGATGAAGAAGAGGCTTGGGGCAATAGAAATGTGGTTCTACAGAGGGATACTGAGAATACCTTAGGCAGAACATATGTGCAACGACGAAGTTTTAGAGAAAATGGAAACAAAAAGGACACATATTCAACATCAGGAAGAGACAGTTGTAATTTCTAGGGCACATAATGAGGAAAGAGGGCTTGGAAAATTTGATGCTCACAGGACAGTTTGAAAGAAAGAAGGACAGACGAGTTTGAGTAAACAGATAACGGATCAGTTTTAGGAGACATTCAAAAAGATAAAATTTATTAAGAGCTACAAAGGAAATTGTTGAAAGCCATGATTGTCTACGTCTTGAATCGACACGACACAAAAGAAGTACTTTACACGCAGCGAAGTAATCGTCACTACTGCAACGAGTTTAATATTAACTGGATTCCTGGGATACTGTGCCTACCGTAAATCAATGGCTAATAAGCGTGGATGAAATCAATCTGGGCGTATTACTATTGTGTACTAGCCCAGCAAATGTTTCTATTACTTCTTAAGTGTTCGTACATTCCATTGCTTCAGATGAATATTTATTTTTTGAAAATCATGTTACAGCAGGACTGAAGGGATGAATAAACCAGCTGTGGGCTTCCCGATAAATAAATAAAAAAAACGATGTATTTCTGGATTTAGCAAACTAAGTTTTGTTTCCATTTTCTTCGGACAAGAACCATTGTTTCAACGTGATATGGCCGTAGGTATTTTTAAGTGAAGTAGAAGTATTCTAATGTTATAACCTCCTGTGCAGAATTTCGGAATGTTACCATAGAGTTTTGAGAACGATGTGAATGAGCGGTTAGTTTGAGAACCAGGAAAATATTGCAACATTACAGGATCGTCGTCACAACCTCAATAAAATTACGTCAACGTTGAAAAGGAAACTATTTACATTATTCGGACTATTGCCTCATCTTTGTCGCCATATTTATTACAACGTTTCGGCCGTTGTACGCTCTAGCCTTCTTCAGGTGGTTGGAATGTCGAACTGAACCCTTTATTTCGCTCACTGGGGTAGAATGTCTAGTTCCCCGTGCCATGGAGAACTTTCAGAGGGAATTAACAGGAGTTAACTGATAACTGACATCCATTAAACATGGCACGTAGAACTAGAACAGGGTTCAGTTTGACATTCCAACCACCTGAAGAAGACCGGAGCGTACAAGGGCCGAAACGATGAGGACAGTAGTCCGAATAATGTAAATAATGTATGTATGTATTCTATTTACATGTATTTTTTGTAGATATAAATATTTAAGTAAATGCTTTGTTTATAATAAACAGTATTAACTACATTTACCGGCCTCATATATTAACTATTGATAATTTGTTGTTTAAAAACAGTAATTTGATTTGGAAAATGTTTATCTATACCAGTCTATTCATACCTATCTGTCTATCTATCTCTGAACTATCTAAGTTTCTTTCCATCTAAATTTGTCTTTATTATTTCTTTTTATCTATCTATCTATCTATCTATCTATCTATCTATCTATGTCCTTTCATTATCTATCTATCTATCTATCTATCTATCTATCTATCTATCTATCTATCTATCTATCTATGAACTGTCTGTATGTCTATCTATCTATCTATCTATCTATCTATCTATCTATCTGATTTTTTATGAAGAAATTAAAGCCATTCATTAATCGAACGGTCAATGCTAATTTCGGTTGAAGAAGCACTTTCTATCTATCTATCTATGTCCTTTCATTATCTATCTATCTATCTATCTGAGGCTTCGTATTAAGCTGCCTAACCTGTCCATATCCATCATTTTTTTAAATAAACTGTGGTTGGCTTGATGGATGAGTTAGCTTCATATACCACATTGTCGTCTCATGTTGTGCAAAAAGAAAAAAATCCTACAAACCGAATATATCTTCAATGGAGTTCAGTAAACCAAACTGCCGACCTTTCACTTCCTTTAGACTCATTGAACTTAAACTTTCGAGTTTGTTTGGCTATTTAAAAGATAGTTATTTTTTACATCAAGGTGAAAAGTAAAATGTCTACATTTATGACCTACACATTGAAGAAGGATACATCAATAATTTTGCATGTCAAAATATGAACATTATGTACATACTTGCATGTATTTTTCCAAACTTCCACATGCACACACCCCATATATATATATATATATATATATATATAGAGAGAGAGAGAGAGAGAGAGAGAGAGAAGAGAGAAAGTGTTCATTGATTCAACAGATATTATCTACCTGATTTGTAGATGAATAGCTTTAAAGGTTTGTGCATGTGAATATTTGCATAACACAATTGATAAAAAATCAATATATTCGATGAAGAACAAATTTACACGACGTCAGAGGAGAAAACGCACGCGATGTGATTATTACAAAAATATGAGGAAATTTGCCAACAACGTTCGGGTTATTTGCAATTTTATCGCAGAAACATCGGTTTACATAATACAATCTGACATAGCAATTATACACTTACATCTATATGATCTGGATAGATTGTCATAATGAGATAGATAGATAGATAGATAGATAGATAGATAGAGAGAGAGAGAGAGAGAGAGAGAGAGAGTGATTATTTGGTTATTTGTTCATTGGTAGGTAGGTAGTTATGATGTTAGATAGATAGATAGATAGATAGATAGATAGATAGATAGATAGATAGATAGATAGAAGATATTACAGAGATAGATAGATAGATAGATAGATAGATAGATAGATAGATAGATAGATAGATATTACAGAGATAGATAGATAGATAGATAGATAGAGAGAGAGAGAGAGAGAGAGAGAGAAAGAGAGAGAGAGAGAAAGTGATTATTTGGTTATTTGTTCATTGATAGGTAGGTAAGTAGTTATGATGTTAGATAGATAGATAGATAGATAGATAGATAAAGAGAGAGAGAGAGAGAGAGAGAGATATTATGTGATTATTTGTTCATTAGTAGGGTGGGTAGCTGGGTAGGTAGCTAGGTATGCTGTTAGATAGACCGGGAAAGAAATTTGATTTTCGTTTTATGATTCAATTTTGTTTAAATAGCGATTCATCTTGCTCAAAATCATCCCCACTATAAGCATATAATTTTTTTCTCTCATAATCCTCGAGTTGGGACTTGTTATAAACCAATTAAACATCGAATGAACAGTGGAACAGAATTTGAAAAGAGAATCTAGTACAGACTAACCACACCAGTCTAGAGAGTAATGAATTTCTTTTAGAATGATCAGTAAAATTCGTCCATCATTGATCTAAATGAAAACATGTGTATTATCATAAACAAAGTATCTGCCAAGTTAAACGAATTTATTTTCGTTTTTTCGTATTATGTACAGCAATACTTTTTTTATTTGATTTGGCGGATCGGCATTATTTTTTCTTAACGTGTCAAGTAACTGTAATATTTCGTTTTAATATTAATTTATACAGGAACCGACATGGATAGTGATTTTCCAAGCGCAGCCTAGATGCGGCACAAGGCCGAAAGTAGGGGGCACCCAGTGAGGATCGAACTCACTACTCAGTCGTAACTGATCTAGCGAGACAAGCGATATATATAAAGAATATAATAAAATTTGACTATTTTTGTCTTTCATTTATTTTTGCAAAAAATAATTCAATAACAAAACATATAAAAAGTTGTAAAAAAAATAAGCCGTTTATTAAGACAAAAACAAAAATTATATAAACTTAATCTTTATAAATGATTCCTTGGCATGGCCTGGACACTGGCCGCGTATTGGTAGCTGATGGTTCGCTTACCGGCACCGGTCTGTGGACCACCACTTTGAGAAGCACTCGTGTATAGGTATACGCCTCTTGTTGAAAAATGGAATAAAAAGAGTGATGTCACCTACCCTGAATCTATCATAAAAACTCATTTGCCGAATTAGTAAATACTTAACATTTAAAACACCTCGCTGCGTGGATTGGTTATAATAAATTTAGTATCGGAAAACTGAACATAGATTAAACTGTGCTGGTGAAGGTAGTTTCGATCAACATAACAATTTTCTCCATTAACCTAAGAATTCGACCTGATCTTAAATAGCCTTGTCAAATCAGGACTTTCATGGTGCCGAAGCCGTTCAAAAATGTCTAATCAGTCAACTTTATATATCGGTTTACTGAAATGTTTAAAAACGGCTTATTCTCCCCGTAGCTTTAAGTGGGAAACATCATACTTAGAATCTGGTGAACTGGCGCTACAGAATCACAAACCAGGAACAGTACTGAATGAAAAATAAAAACTACAGAATTTGAGGACTATCCACAAAAAGAAGAACTGAAATGGGAAGCACATGAAACTGAGGGAGAAAATAATGACATAATAAAGATGTTGACTTGAAACAAAAAGGTAGAAAGAATGTCGCCCGCCTATCAATAATGGAAACAGTAAGTTTACTTGAGAAAGTTATTTTACTAAAAAAAATTGTTTTAAGAAAATGCTTCTTCAACCGAAATTGGCATTGACCGTTCGATTAATGGATGGCTTTAATTTCTTCATAAAGAATCAGATAGATGAATGAATATACAGACAGTTCATAGATAGATAGATAGATAGATAGATAAATAGACATATAGACAGATAATGAAAGGACATAGATAGATAGATAGATAGATAGATAGATAGATAGATAGATAGATAGATAGATAGATAGGCTGTTTGGTTGATTGAATCTGCTAATATTTCCATAAGAATTAGAAATGAGGAGAACAGATACTACACTTTCCAACAGCTACGCAAATTATTAAGAAAATATCACGAGAAACAAAAGAAATCGGGCACTGAATTGTTATGTAATATTTGTCCTTTTATACGGCAGTGAATGCTAGAAAATCTCACAGATGAAGAGACTTGAACCTACAGAATTGTGCTTCTGGAGAAGGATGCTGACAATACCATAGACCAAACATGCGAGCAATGATGAAGTTTTAGAGAAATAGAAACAACAAGCACACATACTTAATATAGATAGATATGAAATTTCTATGGCATATAATGAGGAAAGATGTCTTAGAAAATTTGATACTCACAGGACAGATTGAAGTGAAGGAAAACAATTCCTAACTTTATCTAACGAGCTTGGGTAAATGGATGGTGAAATATGGTTTAGGAGAGTTAACAAAAAAATAAAATTTATTAAGAGCCACAAAGAAAAAAAAATCTAGGAAAAGGGTAGAAAACTAAACAAAACTAAAAGAATGTATGAAAAATAACATAACAATTTACATAAGCTTACGTAAGTTATTATTTTCCTCTATCCCTCTTGCCTTGAATATGTCCCGTGTGTCTCCACATTTCTAAGCCCCCTCTCCCCACTATTTTCCCCTAGAAATTTCAACAGTTTCTTTCGAATGTTAAGTATAAGTGTTCTGTTTTTCCAATTTACGTAAAACTTGGTCGTTGCTTACATGTTATGCTCATGATATCCTCAACATCCTTCTGTAGATCCTATTTTCTGTTTCCTCAATTCTCTTCTTCATCTGTGAGGAGATGGTCCAGAATTCATTTGTAGAGGAGGACTGATATTACACCACAGATGAGCAATCTTTTTCTTTGTATCTAACAAGATCTGTTTCTTAATAATTTAATTAAGGCATCATTTGCGGTCCCAATGCGCCATCGGGTTTCCGTATCATATTTTTACGTCCTCCATTAAAACACTACATAAATATTTAATCTTTTATTTGCTTGACTTAAGCATCTCTTATTTGTAAGTCGCATGTTGTCTCTTCTTTTTGCTAACAATTATATATTATGTCTTTTTACAGATGGTGTTTAGTCCATTCTTCTTGCTTTCCTTTACTCCCTTCTGTAAGAGTTTCTGTAGTTTCCTTTCGGTGTTTGCTATCAACACATTTCCATCTGCATATCTAGTTTTGTTAAGATTGTGTCCGCCAATAATTAATCCTGTTATATATATATATATATATATATATATATATATATATCATTAAAAACAGCAGACAAGGTACTACGGTTAAGCTTTTCATTTAATTTTTCTTGTGTTCGAATAAGTGCTTTCTTTTCTGGACAAAGGGTGTGTAAGTACTGTCAAATGTTTTATAAGTGCTTTCGGAACCTTTAGCCATTATCAAGAATTCGATTTTTTCAGCTTAATTGTGTGCGTTATGTGTATGTCTTACCATTACGGTTAACACATTATTGGTTGTTCGTAGTTAAATTGAAAGTTGCCTTTTTCTTTTTTTTATTATTAAAGCTTCCATTATTTTTTAGTCTTTTTTTTTGCAGGTGGATGCAGTTAAATATTTGTGTTTTCTACTAGTATGTTTCTAATGGAGTCTAGTAATATTTGTGTTTTACTACTAGTATGTTTCTAATGGAGTCTGGTAAATTTGTGTGTTTGTTTAAATGTGTTTAATCTGTGATCAGATATAACGTAAGACGTCTGGATAAGCCTGTAGTTGTATAACCGATTCAATTATTTATGAGTCTGGTTTGATCAGGAACACAGTTCCTTAAGAACATTTGAACTCATAGATAATTTCGTTCTTTTTAATTGTGTTGTTATTTTTTGAGGATAAGTTATCTGGCTTAAATTTTTTTATAATAGATAATTCATTTTTGATTTTTTATTTCAATTGGAGTAGTATATTTCTTTATAATATGCCTTAGAGAAGATTCATCTTGTTTGTAATTAATATGCATTTTTGGTTTTGTAATAAATGTATGTGATTTTTTGGCTGTGTGTTCACTATCCTTATTACTTGCTTTTGGGAGAAATTAGTCTAATTTGGTGGTCTATAAAGTTGAAGCCGTTGTTGATTAGTGTTTGTTTAACGTTATTAAGTTCTTTGGGAAGAGTAGTCGAGAGGATGAATTCTGGTGTGCTCTATTTAGAAAGTTTTTATTACTGCTATTTTGTACCTAAGTGGACATTCGATTTTGAAGTTCAGGAGACGAGTTATTGCTGGTATATATATATATATATATATATATATATATATATTGAATAAAAACAGATTTTAAGGTTCCATGTTTAAGTTATTTCACCACAACCCTTTTACAGGGCTCTGGATCATCAGACTTTAACCAAAAGTTGGAAATGAAAATATATATATATATATATATATATATATATATAAAGACATTTTATGTTTATACATTCTTTTATAGATACAAATATTTAACTAAATGCTCTGTTTTATAATAAAACGCATTAATAACATTTACCGGCCTGAACATACGAGAAATTTTCATAGAAAATATTCGTCCTCCGACAGGAATCGAACCTCTATCCTATACGTAACGGTCATATAACCTGACATCATACTGTTTATTATAAAAAACTTAAATATTTGTATCTATAAAAATAATGCATAAACATAAAAATTTCTTAAAATAATTGTCGGACTTTTGATTGACTCTCCAATAACGGAATTTGAAATAAATATAGGATCTCAATATTAAACAATATTATCAACGTTTTAATAGATAGCGTGTTAATACCGGATCCATAACAATCAAGGAAAACTCTGAATTCAAAACCGGCCTGGATAGGGTCTTGCCCCAGAAACACCACTTCTACTGTGGCTGCAGTATATATGGTACCCTCCGGGTCACAGGATAAAAAATAAAAATTATCAACTACTTCAAAATTTGTTAAAAAGTTAATCGACTTTTATATCAGAAACAGGACTTTACCAAACAGAATATAAAGGATTTTATTCTTCAAAAAAATCACCTGTGAAATATCCCAAGATTTAAAGAAACGAATATAAACATATAAACTATTACTATTTAATGTTATTAACCTCCTTATGCGAAAATATCGAATCTGAACTCGAGACCCTAATCTAACTTTCCATGATTATAACCACTACGCCATAACTCAACCGAGAGTTTTATTGATGTCATATTTATTGATAAAATGATGACAAACTATTTAATGATATTTTTATTCTTTTCGCAAGGGTCGTGCTGAGTTATTTTAATCAGAAATCATCAGTCTTGACTGGGTTCGATGCTATCCATATGAATATTTAATTAGACGTTGTTATTGTTAAGAACAAAAATTATTTGTCTGTTCCTACAATAAAAATAGGTGGTAGGTTTTGGTGCCTTATTCAAGGCGACGACAGTCAGGTTAATGGCTGACGGAAATATGAACAAAACGAGATGAAGCAAAAGAAATGGTGTAAATAAATAATTAAAGAATAAAACACTACCAAGTATGTTGACAAAGATAAATGAAACATTATCGAGTAAGAAAGAAAGAAAAAAAGAAAGTAGCAAAAGAAAGAAAGAAAGAAAGAAGCAAAAGAAAGGAAGAAAGAAAGAAAGAAGCAAAAGAAAGAAAGAAAGAAAAGAAAAAAAAAGAAAGAAAGAAAGAAAGAAAAGAAGCAAAAAAAAAGAAAGAAAGAAAAAGAAAAGAAGAAAAAGAAAGAAAGAAAAAAAGAAAGAAAGAAAGAAAGAAAGAAGCAAAAAGAAAGAAAAAGAAAGGAAAGAAAGAAAGAAAGAAAGCAAAAGAAAGGAAGAAGGAAGTAAAAGAAGGAAAGAAGCAAGAAAATGAAATAAAGAATCAAAAGAAGCAACAGAATGAAAGAAAGATAGAAGCAAAAGAAAGAAAGAAAAAGAAAGAAAAAAGAAAGAAAGAAAGAAAGAAAGAAAGAAAGAAGGAAAGAAACAGGAGATTGCAGGGTGGACTTTACGTCTCACCCGACAAAACAGCATAAGCAATTCTGAACTCTGACATCGCCCTACATCCGGCAGCAAGGCATCTGATTGGGAGATTGGAACTTTTGAGGAATGTGGAAGCACTGTTTAATTGCTGTTATTCCCAGGAACACCCTGATCCGGCGTGATAATACCTGTTATGGTCCCAACTATGGGAAAATAGTGAACTTCCAAAAAGAATTAAAATACAGTAGAATCCCTCATATCCGGAATCCCTCATATCCGGAATCCTTCATATCCGAAGTGCCTCATATCCGGAATCCTGCATATCCGGACAAGATTTTGATGCGTTTATTTGAACTATTTGGGTGATATGTAACTGATTTGAAACTTCTGTTTTTCAGGAAATTTACTTTGAATAATTGCTTATGCTTATTTCACCCTAATGGCTTGTATTGATTGATTGATTTGTTTTCTACAGATTATCGACCCATTGCAGCTTATTTCAAGCCAGAAAATATTTTTAGATTGTAAGAATTTTTTTTTTTTAGATAATAATGATTTAGTGTCACAAGTCTTAGTATTTGTGTGTAACGATTTAGTGACACAAGTCTTAGAGTGTAACGAGCCCAACAAGAATTTGAACTCGGCTTTCCGATTTTCATTTATTTTCAGTATCTATTACACCACCCGCACAACTATGCTTAAAGCACCTGGTACTGCAAACAGTTATCCATCGAGGTGTTAACCAGGTTTGATGTTGCTTAACTTCGGTGATCGTACATGAACGAATGTTTCAACGCGGTGTGGTAGCAAGCCTTTTTTTTTTAGTTGCATGTCTATAGCGTCCTTTTTTGAAGAGTGCAGTTTTTGGTCATCTAGTGTATCAGAACCAATCTTAATATGTAATTATTATTATTATTATTATTATTATTATTAACAAGCAGGGAATTCCTTATCAAATGCTTTTCTTTTTCGTTTCAGGGTACGAACATTTCTCTCGAATGTGAAGATGGTGAGTATAAAAATTATCTTATCCCTGACGCTAACACAGCCTCGCAAGCAGTACATCTTCAGCCTTAAAGGAAATCACCAAATAACATATAAATAATTATATGTACACATAAATAAGTGGGATAATAGGTTAACGTGAATATAATGTTAAGTCTAGGAAGGACAATTGTTAGCTATATAGCGCTTACAGAATTCACGTATCCAAAATCACCATTGTCACTAAAAACGGAACAGTAACATTACCAATCCCAAAAAGTACTGCGTCAAAAGCTTGTAACATCAAGAAAGAATATAATATTTGTTTTACAAACAAATAAATAATGTTTGTCTTTTCTATAAATAATTTAATTGTAATTGTTCGGATGAGCTCATCGCTAAGGTACCTCGACATTTTGAATTTAAGCGTAGTACTAGATTGGCATTAAGATCTCATCAATTAAGTGTTAAACTGGTTACATGTAGCTCTAAGTTTTATGCTAACAGTTTATTTTCTCGCACTTCTCGCTCGTGGAACTCCCTTCCGGTTCCATGCTTTCCACCCAACTTTAATCTTCAAAAATTTAAATGCAATGTCAATTGCTATCTACTGTCTCCTTGATTTAACTTGAGCTTCGTGATAAGATCCAAAGAAGAATCTGTCTATATTTCTGCGATGAGTTATTATGTACACTATTTGGGAAAATTATTCAGAATTGATAAAAAGAAGAATCTGTCTATATTTCTGCGATGAGGTATTATGTAAACTATTTAAATTATTCAGACTATTGTCCTCATCTTTGACGCCATATTTATTACAACGTTTCGGCCGTTGTACGCTCCGGCCTTCATCAGGTGAAGAACTGAACTCTTTATTTGACTCACTGGGGTAGACTGTTCTGTTCACGTGCCATGTTGAATGGATGTCAGTTATCAGTTATCTCCTGTTATTTCCCCTCTCCTAGTTCTCCACTGCCTTAACCCGGTATTGATCAAGTTTTATCCACAGAACTCAAGGACACACGGCACAGTGGATAAAGGCGTTAGTTAGATCCAGTGACAGGACCTAAAGAGTGTGAGTTCAATACCCGGTTAAGGCAGTGGAAGAACTTTCATGAAGGAAATTAACAGGAGATTTGAGGAGCATGGAACCACATCTTAGACATGGCACAGGGAACTAGACCCGGATTCTTAGCACCTGTAAGGGAAATAAGGTTCAGTTCGACATTTAACCTGAAGAAACCAGAAATGTTAAAAACATTATGAAAATAATAAAATTTTTTATCTTATAAATGTTTTATATATACGTATCACTTTGCGGCATTTAAACATAAAACGAACTAAACATTTTCTTAGATAGGAAGGGAAAAAAATAAAATTACCACCTAGACATTTATATATATATATATATATATATATAAAATTATAGAGAGAGAGAGAGAGAGAGGGGGAGACTCCCTGCACAGTATGAAATCACAATCCTCCATGCCAGCTAGCAGCAATGGATTTACTAACAAGTCGAACCAACGGGTACACTTTGATCCATTGCTAAAAAGAAATGTTTGGTTCTTTGTTTCGCTCAGTAAGTACATTTATATAAATATTTAGCGATGGATCGTGAAATGAGTTCCATATGGTCTGGATTGAATTTTAAGTCCATACAGGTACTCAAGATACGGGACCTCAAAGCTCTTCCACCTCCCCTCCCACTGATGCTCCGACGGAGCTTCGTTCATCACGATTCCGTTCATCACGTTCTGGATCTGATCGGCGACAGTGGAAGGTCATTCCTTTGGTCTTTAAGGCATTGAATATGACCAGCCAGTTTTTACCCTACTGAGCTGCTCAAGCTCGGGCAGAGGAGAGATCAGCTGTTAAGCTCTGGTCATCTAGGATCTGGGTAGTATTAAGTAAGCAATGTTTTTACTTTGCAGTGTAACTCTTTTTTTATTATTAAATTCTGTCTTTGTTTTCGCAGGCTGGACGCTGATCGACCCTGCCAAACTCTGTTACAAATATTTCGACTTGCGGCTACCGTGGAAAGAAGCTAATGGCGCTTTTGTTTGAGGTGAGTTTTAATTCCATAAGGCGAAACATTCAATAAAACCTTCAATGAGGTGGAATCCTTCAATAAAAACTTCAATAAGGTGAATCGTTCAATAAAAACATCAATAAGGCGAAACGTTCCATAAAAACATCAATATGGTGAAACATTCAATAAAAACTTCAATAAGGTAAAACATTCAATAAAACCTTCCATAAGGCGAAGCCTTCAATAAAAACTTCAATAATGCGAAAGTTTCAATAAAAACTTCAATAAGGCGAAACGTTCCATAAAAACATCAATAAGGTGAAACATTCAATAAAAACTTCAATAAGGTGAGACATTCAATAAAACCTTCCATAAGGCGAAGCCTTCAATAAAAACTTCAATAATGCGAAATTTTTAATAAAAACTTCAATAAGGCGAAACGTTCAATAAAAACTTCAATAAGGTGAATCATTCAATAAAAGTTGAATAAGGCGAAACGTTCAATAAAAATTTCAGTAAGGCACATCGTTCAATAAGGCGAGACGAGACGTTCAAATAAAAAAGCTTACAAAATGTAATATCTCCCAAAATATCAGTCGCTCCTTATCCGTGTTTTCTCTCTTCTCCGTTTTTTTTACCCGCAGTCAACCCCAGAAATAATTCATAAGTTTTCATTTTATAGTGGCGGTCCAACGTACAAGAATATTGATGCTGGCAATTGAAAAGTTTATTTTCGAAAGAGAAACTATAAAGTAAAAATATAATGCTAGTTCTGAACTTAATCAGGAAAGAAAAAATATAAAATACTCAAGAATCAGCTGTCAAGTAACTTTGATTACACTCTGTTCCATTTATTTTATTCGGAAATATTGTTTGTAATCATCCTTTAATTGTTAATGCATATTGAAAGCCGAAATTAAGACATTGCACAATTAACATGTATATGTTTAGCAGAAACCGGGAAATGGTCCGAAACATAAAAAAATAATTTAAAAATCCTTAAAAATTATTCATCGGACCGTAACCAAATTTATCTATCTACAACAATCCAATATGTTTGTCTGACCACAGGCTACCTGCCAAAAGTCCCGAGAAAAGTAGGTGGGGATAGAAAGAAGAAAAGACCAAAAAGAAAACAACTATCCAAGCAGTAACTAACATTCCTTAACACCTAGGCTATCGAGACAGCAAAAAAATGTTTCACAGTGTCGATACTCAACGAGGCACGGCTCGAAATGCTACTTAAGAAATGTAGTTTTAATGTGTGCTATGTTTATGGTATAAAGTGCTGAATATCAGGGATAGAGTGTATTTAAATATAAAAGTGAACATTGAAGTCAAAACTCAGAGGCGACAGATTGTTTCATGCTAGATGCAATCATCATGCGTCTAGCATGAAACAGTCTGTAACCTTTGATTTGTTGACTCCTGTGTTCACTTTTCTTGAAAATATATTCAGTTGAGCACTATTGAGTGATAAGCTAATTCTATAATCAACAGCCACCTGCGCTAATGCAAGGCTCTTCAGTAGTATGAATGGAGCACTTTGGCACTTTATTTACTATATCTTGCGCGTCGTGGGTATGACATTAAACTACATCCGACAGCAAAGCCTCTTATCGGGTGGTTTTGATGAGCGTGGAAACATCTCTTAATTGTTGCTTTCCCTATGTCCACGATGAGCCGGGATGTCATCACCTGTTAGGGTCCCACCTAGTTAACCCACCGACCGGGGTCAAAACACTATGAATGTATAAAAAATAGATGTGTATAGTAAAAATAACAGCAATACTTTTCATTGTAAAATGAAATTATAAGCAATACGTTTTTGCAAAAAGAAATTAATTCTTCCAAGAAAAACATCGGATCAGAAGATTTTGAGGAGTTTGGGACCACCTCGTATGTTCTGTTGTTCCCAGGTCCCAGCTATGGACGAATAATGAACCTTACTAGGTCCCAGATATGGGCGATTAATGAACTCACAAAATGGGGTAAAAACACGATATTTTTTTATAGTAAATATGACAGAAATACATTTTAATAGTAAAAAAATTACCGGCAATGCATTTTTATAAAAAGAAATTACTAATGCTTTCAAGAAAATTAAATTTTAGCATTAAATGACTCATAAGGAGTTGATATGCCTCTAGACAAAAAAAAAACAAAAAAAAAACAAACAGACAAACAATATCTTACATGGAGATATATCTTTTCTTCTTCCTTCCAGGATTCTTATAATTATTCATTTTATGTTTGTTCTGTAAGGAAAGAACATTAAATAGTTATGAACTGATGTTGTTTCTTTCAGCAAATATATTTCAGACTTACTCTCGTAAATGCTTCTTAACGATGCTGACAAGTGACAATCATCTAAATAGACCCAAGCCTGGAACAGTAACGAGACACAGCATTCAGTGGTTACCAAACTTTTTTTTCTCTGGGCCGCATTATCGGAATGAAAATTTGCTCTCACCTCACCAAAGGGAAATCTCAGTGAAAAAGCGCAATCAGTCCTACGACAAAGTAGGTCCGGAGAGAGCATTAAAGGGAGATAATCGCGGATTCTATGTCAGAACATTATCATTGATAACTCTCTTCTCCAATTTGAAGAGCCTAGTTACTATATTCTTAATACTTTAATGTAAAAATATTACGATGATAAAATCGGCCAATAATTATTTATAATCCTTATTACTCATGTAATATTTTAAATTTTGAAGTCATATTTATTTTTGGCACATGAATGTTTTGAAACTGTTTCTAAATCTTTGAATGTCTTTCAATCATTCTGCCTCACCTGCTATCTCTTTCGGCTGGACCCATGAGGCGCACAGTTTGGGAACCACTGCCAGCATTGTTATGCCATTCCATCACTTAAGAGAAATCTCTTTTATTTACAAAGTTTAGATTTGTTTGCCACAAGGCCAGGACCCAGAGGCACTCGTGAAGATCGAACCCGGTACGAATGATCGAATGTCCTTCGTGAGTATCGAACCCACTGGCTACGCTCATAGCTCTACGCCAGATGCCCATAATCGCTGCCTCTGGGTAAAGGCTATATATTTCTTTTACCTTCTTTTCATTTGTGTCATGTCTATAATAAGCACGGCCAATAAACAGATAGAGAGCCTCTCAAGTAAGGTGGACATTGTTCGAATGTTTATAATGAATGAGGTGTGATATGAATTAAAGAGAATGTTTTAGGGATGAAGAAGTGAGAATTGGTCAAAAGCACACACAAATAAAAAGAACTATATAGAAATGCAATCGGTCCAATAGGCAAATCGATACCACATTTTCTCCGTTCCTTAATCTCAAGTACGCCACATCTCAGAAACAAGACTCCTTTTGGATGGGCGTACCGTGCTTTTTTATACTTCTGACCCAGCGATCGCTCAGCCAATGAGCGCCCAGAACTAGCCAATAAAATGGCTAGAAGTGACACCACCACTTCCACCCACATGAAGTGCTACCCGTTTCACCTTCAGTCTCCACACTCCTCAACAAAACATACACGCGACACTGGCGCTTTTGGGTCATCGAGGTAAGTCTCGCTACAATATCGATTCGAGTAAAATCTTGAAAATAACAGAAACAAAGCGGCAGGGTCAGACGGAATTTTAATAGAGATGCTGGAAGCTTTAGATCATTTCGGTATGGAGATAATTACAGAAATAATAAATGAAATCTACAACAGGGATGATATACCGGAAGGCCTAAGTAGATGTATTTTCATTGCACTGTATAAGAATCCAGATGCAAACGAATATGGACTCTCCACCGGACAATCATCCTAATGAACCATAAAACAAAACTAATCATCCGGAGCCTGATGAATAGAACGCACAGCAGAATCAGACCCAAAAAAAGGCAAGAAAGGTGCGGGTTAGTTAAAGGCACTGGAACACGGAATGCAATAATTATGCTTAGAATGATATTAGAGAGAGTAATACAAATTGCAGAAGGCTGTGTATATGTGTTTTATAAATTATGCAAAGGCATTCGATATATACGCCCAAAAGACTGGTTTGGACTGCTTAGCAATGTTGACATATTGTGTGAGACTTAGTCGGAAGCAGATAACAGAAAACTATATATATATATGTCTAATTGGTCCAATAGGCAAATCAATTCTACAGTTATCTCCCTTTCTCAATCTAAAGTACGCCACATCTCCTCAGAAATGTGACTCCCTTTTGAATGATCGTCCCGTGCTTTTTTCACTTGACCCATACCTCACTCAGCCAGTGAGCGCCCAGAACTAGCTAATAAAAATGGCTACAAGCGACACTAGCACTTCCGCCCACACAAAGTGCTGCCCGATTCACCTTGAATCCGAAGCTCGTCAATTTGCCGTCTCTACACTCCATTACAAAACACACAGGTGACTCTGACCCTTTTGAGTCGCCGAGGTAAGTCTCCGCTACAGAAGATTACGGAGATAAGGGGGAAGGATAGCAATTGACCACAGAAGAGATTAAGATTATCGTCATCGTCGGCTCCCAGTCGTGTCCGAGTATCGGGTTCTGTCAATCTTTTAAGTCCTATCTTCACGGTTGATGTTTATGTTTGACATGACTTTTTGAGGCCCAGTCGGTGGTGGAATAGTCACGGACAGTGCACACAGGGGAGGGTAGGAGAAGGACGGGGTCATTCACAGCGCTCTCTTCTCCTTCGTCGCCTTGCCTCTTCATTCTCCCTCCTCCTTTCCTTGAAGTCCGTGATGCCATCGCGTATTGATCTCCTCCAGGTCGTTCGGTCCCTAGCAGCTTTTTCCCACAAGGACGAGCTGATGTTGGTAAGTGTCAGGGTGCGCTTTAGTTGGTCCTTGAAGCATAGTGTTAAGAGAAACATCTACGCAGGAGTATCTTTACTTATATATTACGTAATTACAGGTTTCAGCAGAATTTATTTCATGTAATATATTTCGGAAACCCCCTCGACCAAATTCTGGTATATATAATAAGTTCTACCTCATCAAGAAACCCATGAGAAATCAGATAAACGAGCTTTGATTAAAGGATTGTCTCCTCAGGGAGTACTTCCCTCAAGAGTCAGCTGGAGTTAATCACTGGTATTTCCAAAAGGGGAAATGTTGAGGGAGCTTGAGACATTTTTGTCCCTAGTCATACATAGTCTTTAAACATGGCTTTCTTCCATACTGCGTTTAAATGGTCCAGCGGGTGAATAGATTTATCAAAAACAAAAACTATATCACCAAATGTTTCAACATCAGGGTAACCTACAGGGAAATCTGAATTGAACCCTTTAGTTAATCTGCTGTTCTAGTACCACGTTCCATGTCTCAGGATATCTCGTCTAGTTCTTATTTTTAAAACTGCTCAGTTATTGGTGGTCCTGAGTTCAAGTACACACAGCTCAGCGCAGGAATTCAACCCACAATTACTATGCTACCAAATTCATAAACCAACGCTTTAATCCATTAGATTAGTATACTGTGAGACAATTCTCTGTGTTTACACGAATCGATATACGCTTAATGAAGACCGGGGTGCTCAACAGTCGAAACGTTATTATACCAACGACAAAGATGAGGACAATATTCCAAGTGTCAACCGTGTAAATAATGGTAACTTCTCATCCCAGAAAGCCAGAGAGAAATTTACCTTCGAAATAACGGATGCCTGAATTCTATTTAAAATCAATAACAAATACTGTTGTGTCCGAAAAGGCCCCCGTACATTTATTTATGTCAATGTTCAAGTTTTTTTTTTTTCATTCTTTTATTTTCATCTTTTTCTTCTTTTTTTTTTCCAGCCATTCTGCAGTTCTTGCTGAGCCGATCGGATATGAAGTCAACGCTGAATTGGGAAAACTAATTGAAAATGTCTCTTCAATTGCCTGGATCGGTAAAACTCAAATATTTTACATATATTTTTTTCCTTGTACTGGTTTTAGGCGTTTAACAAGCACCCACCCCGGAAAAAAAGTCAACTTAAATAAAAGTTAAATTCAGAAAAAAATACACCCCAGTTTTGTTCTGCGCTAATCTATCTCACCTCAGCGAATCAGTATATTTCAATGGGAGCATCAATAACTTCAATAATCGAAAACTTCCTCTTTTAGATGTCATATTGGTAAAGTGATTCGAGGAATCTTAGCAATGATTGAGAAGAGAAAGCGAACATAAGTAAAATATTAGAATCATAAGGTAATTGGTTCCTGCTCTGAATAAATATCGGAAGTGTACAGGAATAGGTTTGTGTTCGGTAACGCAACTCTACTATTATATTTTTCGTCAAGTAAATAGTAAAACCGTACGGCAACTGGCTAGTGTTCTGTAACGCTCAATAGTTCTTTTATGGTCATATAACAAAGCCTGGGGACCTCGAGGCGCTGTAATGGTTAGCAAGCTTGTCTCGCTAGCACAATTACGAATGAGTAGTGAGTTCGAGCCTCACTGAGTGCCCCATGCATTCGGTCTTGTGTCACATCTAAGCTACGCTTGGAAAATCGCTATAACAAACAAAGCCATATAAATATCAAAAGTGTACGGCAACTGGTTTGTGTTCGTAATATGTAGTAATCTTACATTGTTCGGACTGTTGTCCTCATCTTTATTGCCATATCCCCGACGTTTCGGCTGACGCTCCGGCCTTCTTCAGATAACTGGAATTTCGAATTGAACCCTTTATTTCGCCCATCGGGGTAGATTGTTCTAGTTCCATATACCATGTCTCTTCCGGATGTCTCAGTTATTTTCAAGATTGTTCCGCAGTGTAGCAGCCAGGTATTGAACTCACAACTCTTTGGGTCAAGCCATTGGATCCAATCTACGCTTTTATCCACTGGGTCATTACTATTACTTAAATATCAGTACTGAACAGTAACCGGTTAATCTTTGGCAACAAGAAAACGGTATGGTGTGTTATTGTGAACATTTTTTTCTCAAATCAAATTTAGGCAATAGAAGAGAGTAGGGACTTAATGAGAGAAGAACTAAGATCAGCTTTTAGATTTTTACCTTTCTTCGCCATGTTTGCAAATTTCTTTTTATCAACAATAAATTCCTCAAACTCTTCCTCACAGTTCCAAATACAAGGCCGACCCTTGAATAAATGATATATTTTTACTTTGACATCTTTTATTACTCTATAATTTCTGTGATGAAAAAATTTAAAAATCTATCCAAATTAAGATTTGGTAAAATAAACAAATTAGACAGATACAAATTATAGCAGACAATTTATAAGAACGTATTCTCTTAATCATTTCCAGAGAAAATAAAACCTTATTTTATTGAAAACGATTCTTAAGATACGATATCCCTTTTAATACAAAATTATAACGACATTTAATTAACATATAATTTGCGGGGAAATATGAAAAATACAAAGCTTTTACAACATATACCTAATTATTAATCTGCAAAGTTTTAAGCATGTAAGGTTATTTATTAGAAATGTTATACTCTTCTTGAATCCCGCATTCAAACAGACCCGAGTATTTCTATTAAATATTCACGCGCACTTTGTGTCTACGACTACGTCCGAGCGCTTGGTATGAATAAAATGAGAACGTATCAAGTAGCGAGTCTGAAATCGGAATAAATGACATCCAAGTCAAATTGGTAAAAGAATTCATAAAGATTAAAATATATTCATGTGATTTGTCTATTCCTCGTTGTACGAAAACTGCCTTCATAAGAATATGGGTTAACAAAAATGAAGCAATTGTTGTAAAATACCTCAACAACTTCTGGAATATAAGAATTTTCGATTTACACTTTAACTGCTTTCTTCTTTTCTTTCCTTTTTTTCTTTTTGAATGATTGGAAAATTTTGATAAAGCCAAATTTTCTCGGGCTTAACTTTCCATAATTCATTTCTAGGTTACAATTATATTCCCGATCACGCCAATGAATCCAACATAGATATTGGTTATTGGAGTGATTGGAGCCCAGAAAGCATCACAGTTGCATTATGGGACATTAACCAGCCGTCCTTGAATTTCGGTAGATGCACTTACATCAGTCAGACAACGAATAACGATTGGAAATGGAGACTTTCTCCGTGTGAAGATATTAAGCCATTTTTGTGTCAGAGAACAGCATGCCTACAAGGTAAGGAATCATTTTAAGTTCATCTTGAAAATCTCGCTGGATTGAAGCAAATCTCAGGAATTCTCGTGCATTGTATAATCGTTTCTTTGCGCATGCGCTTGTCGAATTAAACACAAAAACAAATGATTTCATATAGATTTAATAAAAGACAATGAAAAGTACCCTGTAACTAATTCATAGATTTAATGTTGATTGCATTAGGTTAAGTAAATTCTAAATTATAGCAAAAATTAACAAAACTGTTTTAGCCAGATATATATTTTTAGATGAAACATTTCTTTTGCAAAAAACGTTCACTCCTTTTTGCCGGAGATGGCGTAGGACGTAAACTCATTTTTTAGCCAAGTAATTCGTTCAATTTGGGACTCATAACTATATCTGCAGACATAGATCCTTCTGACTAATATAAGATGTTCTTTATTACAATATTTCATTATTTATGTATTGAAATTCCAGGTTACTGTTGTCTTTCCTTCTTCAGACAAGTGCCTCCTCAGTGTAAAATGGAGTCACTGTTAATACCACAATTTTTTTTTTTTTATTATTTCACCTCAACCAAGGGCATAAAGCCACCAAAATGCAAGGGGTTACTGAGTGTGAGAGAATATATTAAAAAGAAAACATTATTAATGAGAGCGAAAACTAAACGAGTAGGAATTAAGAAGACCGAAGATAACAATTGGTATTGCATTTAAATATTTGAAAATCAAAGTTGATTGAAAAACAACAAACCGCAAGATAGTCTCGCAAGGAGAAGTGCGAGAAAAGAACATGCTAGCATAGAACTTAAGGTTACATCTAGCTACTTCAAATGAAAGATTATGACACCTTGTCGACAATCTAGTACTGTTTAAATTTATAAAGTCTATATACCGAAGAGGAAAACTCTTGAAAAATATAAAAAAAGACACAGCGAAGCTACATTATATATAAACAACATTATGATTTACCTAATCCCTGGATATGATAGTGAATCACTAATTGCAGCAATAGTAACTAATATCCAGACAAATAAAACAATAATCAGCAAATATCCCAATTTACCAAAGAGCCAAATAATGGTATCCTGAAGTAAGTAACTGAAAATTTATGTCTATAATAATACTGATATCAACAAGAATTATTATAATAGTTCGAAATAATAAAAGTGTATTGATATCAGAAACGAAATGATTTACACTATTTATATTATACTATTTATATTATTTGGACTATTGTCCTCATCGTTGTCGTTATCAGGTGGTTGGAATGTCGAACTGAACCCTTTATTTCACTCGCTGGGGTAGACTGTTCCAGTTCTACTTGCTATGTTTAATGGATGTCAGTTACCAGTTCAATATCCGTTTAAGGCAGTGTAGAGCTTGCAGAGGGGAATTAACAGGAGATAACTGATAACTGACATCCATTATAAATGGCACGTGGAACTAGAACAGTCTATCCCAGTGAGCGAAATAAAGAGTTCAGTTCGACATTCCAACCACCTGAAGAATGCCGGAGCGTACAACGGCCGAAACGTTGTAATAAATATGGCGACAAAGATGAGGACAATAGTCCGAATAATGTAAATAGTGTAGATAATACCTTATCTCAGAAATGATTTACCTTGATGCATTGGTATAGAAAAGATTTCTTCTAAAATTCTCTGTTTGATCGTACATCATTCGTCTCATTTTCCTGTAGGACGATTATGATGAGGACAATATGATTACTTTTACATCAGTTTCCTATTCCTAGATAGATGGCCATTAAAATTTATAAAGAGCGCTGTCTACACATTTGATTTTATATCAGACTTTTCGTTCTCTGTAACAAATTGCTTTCAGTACGGCATCGGAGATAAATTGTCATCACTATGGCATCCGTGGAAATTTTGAAGAATTTTAATGGAACTAAATAAATCTATCGCACTTTACAAATTCGAACAATTCACCGCAATAAAAATATATTTGAAAAATTAAACAAAATATTGGAATACATTTTTCATTTGTTGAACTTTGTTGAAGAAATTCCAATCACTTATTTGTCGCACTTTGCTATCAAGAAAAATACTGGCTAATAAGTTTCTATGAAGATCGGGTAACATTCAATTTGCAATTTCTTTTGTAAATCGTTCATAATATGTAGTTTGTTAAAGCCGTAGATTTACGAATGAAATACAAAGTAAATGTTATTATATTTGTATAATAAGAAAATGAACCATTATTGATATGTATAAGTTGTTGGCCATTACTTATTAATTCATGTACCCTCCCATGCACACAATCCATAGTAAGTGATTCAGTGAGAATTTGGATTCAGAAGCGGACACGACACACATATTAACAGACTTTTAGTGGAATCCGGTTTGAATTCAGAGTTTCCTTCTAGAACGGTTGCCACCTAAGGCTATTGTACCCACTAGGTCCCGAGATAGATAGATAGATAGATAGATAGATAGATAGATAGATAGATAAGAAAAGCATGAGATAGATAGATATAGATAGATAAGAGAAGAATGAGATAGATAGATAGATAGATAGATAGATAGATAGATAGATAGATAGATAGATAGATATGAATAATACTAGATTATCTTAAAACACAATTAGGCTGAGTATTTATTATTAAATATCGGGAAAGTTTTTTAACAGATAATGAAAATTGTGAGAGCTAAATCTGAGGCACAGTGGAACAGTAAAAGAATCTTTCAAAAATCAGTAAAAATGATATATAATGTAGGACGATGCAGGAATTATTAGTGACATTTAATATATATATATATATATATATATATATATATATATATATATATATATATACGGCAGAATAAACAAACAGTAAAATATCTGTTAACATCGAAAACATATATATATATATAATTTATGGCAGAGGAAACTAACAATAAAATATCTGTTAAGATCGTAAACATTATATATATTTAATATATATATATATATATAAACACGGCAAAGTTAACAAACAGTAAAATATCTGTTAAAAATATATATATATATATATATATATATATATATATATATATATATATATATATATATATATATGTATATATATATGTGTGTGTTTTATATACAAATATATACATATATATATATGTGTGTATATATATATATATATATATATATATATATATATATATATGTGTGTGTGTGTGTGTGTAGCTGTGCTGCATTAATGGATAACGACTCGGATTAAGAATCGGACAGCCAATTTCGAATTCCAGTCGAATCCGTTATATTCCCGTACGTGCTAATACATTTGTGTACATGGTATGAATTCTCTTCTTATGGATAAATAGCAGAACAGAATGTCTTTATAGCCTTGGATGGCAACTTGTCTAGGAGAACAACAACTTTGAATATAAAACTGTATTCAGCTCTCTCAAAAATGCGGTTGGTTCTGCACAAATCTTCACCACTATAATTCAATATGTGTAGGTTGTCAGGCTTTTGGTTCCCAGGATGTGACCCTCATACGTCGCAAAAGGGTTGCCGGTAGGCGCGGATTAAATGAGACCTTCTAAAAATAGTCAAAATGAGCTTCTAAAAAGTAAAACGGTGAAAGGGACGTTCTAAAAAGAGACCTTCTAAAAACAGTAAAAAAAAAACTTTTGAAATCAGACATTCTAAAAAGACGTAAAATGAGTCCTTCTAAAATACAAACAAGATCTTCTGAAAAGACATCCTAAATTTACACCGTCTAAAAAAGAGCCTTTTAAAAAGATATCTTCTAAAAACAATAAAAAAACACTTTCTAAACAGAAAGCCTTCTAAAAAGAGATATTCTAAAAAGAGCCCTCCTAATAAGTGACGTTCTAAAAGTCCTTCTCCAAAGAGACTTTCTAAAAACAGAAAAAGAAAACTTCTAAAGTATAAAACAGTAAAAGAGATCTTCTAAAAACGAGATTACTAAAGAGTCCTTTTAAAAAGTGACCTTCTAAAAACAATAAAAGAAACCTTCTAAAAAGACATGCTAAAATGCGATTTAAAAACAGTAAAAGAGAACTCCTAAGAAGTAAAACATTAAAAGAGAGCTTCTAAAACTAAAACAGTAAAAGAGACCTTAAAAAAACATGTAGTTCTATAGTCAAGTACTGAAAATGTCATGGACATAGTATGCGAGCAACGAGGATGTTTTGAGGAAAATACATGAAAAAAGGTTGCATTCTTAGAACCAGAAAGAAACCGTTGAAATTTCTGAGGCACCTAATGAGAAAACATTTGTGGATGATTTGACTCTTGCAGAACATTGAAGGCAAGAGGTACACAGTGAAACAACGTCACCTACATAACGAGCTTGTGTAAGTGGATGTCAGAACAGGGACGGGGAGGTAAAGCAGCAAATGATAGGAAGTTGTGGAAGGTCATGATAGCCCTGAAGGAATACAGCATATAGGTAAGGTTTTGTATCATACTAAGCAAGAACTAACATTGATCTTCTCTATTTCTTTTCAGATACATTCAACTGCAAGATATCAGGGAAACATTCCGCCTGTCTTAACAAAACAAATGTCTGTAACGGCGTCCCTGACTGTCTAAATGGCTTCGATGAAAGTAACTGCCGTAAGTTGAATCAGCTTCATTTGTGATACCCATTACTCAGAGGGGCAGGGCCTATTTGTATCAGTAATATCCGTTGGTTAAACAATAACAAGAGAAAGAAAAGAACTGGGTAAAAAAATAATATTAAACAAACAAATAATATATGCAAGGCAAACGGTAATAAGACAAAGCAACAGTAATAAAGCAGAAAGTAATATGAGCTCTGGTAAAAAAAAAATTATTACTGAGATATTAGGTTTATAAGTCCCAAAAATTCATTCACTGATGTCCCCGGTGAATGAAATTGTCTGTAGAAGTAATCCAGTGACTTGACCTAAAAAGTTGGGAGTTCAATACATTGGTCACAGCAGAGGTGAACAAAACTTAGAGTTGAGTTACTAAAGGCGATTAACGAAAGTGATTAGAATTAACCTAGAAAAGCAAAAGAGACATGGCAAGTGGAACTAGAACAATCTACCCGTTAACGAATAAATGGTTATAAATGAACTCCTATCGAACAGGCTTCAGACAATAGTAAAAATTAACCGATACTGTTTTTTACATTTAATTCGATAATTGTCACTTGCCGGAGAATACAGGAATGATATTCGGATGAATAAACCTTATGATTTATCGCCTTATCTTCATACAATAAGCATTTATTATTATCTTCATTTCTCTATCTTCATTTCTCTATCTTCATTTCTCTATCTCTATCTCTCTCTCTATCTCTCTATCTCCTCTCTCTCTATATATCTCTCTCTCTCTCTCTCTTTATATATATATATATATATATATATATATATATAAAGAAATATAGTTTTAAGGTGTGCTATATTTATGAGATAAAAGAGCTCAATATCAGAGATAGAGGTTATGTAAATAATATAAAGGTGAACATTGAAGTCAACACTCAGAGGCAACAAGCTGTTTTATGTTAGACGCATAAGTTTTTGTTCCCGGGATCACACCAAAAATATTTTGATAAATAAGGAAAAGATCACCAGCCTACAACAACCAATCAAAAACCTGGAAACTTTTCTTGGAGGAAAAAATAGCTATTATTACCTACCCAGGCCAAAATAAATTACTAAATAAACGATCTGAGCTCATCTCAAAATGCAGACATGATAACAAATTTTACTACGTTACTTAAAAAGCGAAAGCTGACATGAATTAAGAAAATAATATAAAAAAACAAGTAAAATAAATTAACCCAAACAAATAATAAGCAAATTAACAAACTACTCCCGTCAAAATAGCCAAAATAGAATAAATAAAAATAAAATACATAAAAAAACAAGTAAAAATAATCAAACCAAATAAATAAATAAAATAAATAATAATAAACAAATTAACAAACCAATCCCGCCAAAATAACCGTTAGAATAAACTACAATAACCAATCCAAAAATTGGACGTAAAAATAGCTATAACTGCTGTATAACGATAAAAAACATTACTACGTTACTCAAAAAGCGAAACCCAAATAGAGTAAATAAAATATACAAATAAAAAAATAAGTAAATAAATAAAAAACAAATAAAAATTAATCCAAATAAATAAATAAATGAACAAATTAACAAATCGACCCCGCTAAAATAACCGTTAGACCTAATAAAAATAAGTATAAATAAACAAGTAAAAATAATCAATCCAAATAAATAAATAAAGTGTCCCCCCGAATATATAACAGAATAGACTACGGCAAACAATCTAAACATTTGACGAATAAATAGCTTTAATTATCTTCCCAGACCAAAACAAACTATTAAATAAGCGACCTGAGCATATTAACCATTTTTTCTTAATACGTTAATAAAACATCAAAAACCAAAAAGAATAAATAGAAAATGAAAATGTAAAACAAGTAAAATAAATTAACCCAAACAAATAAATAAATAAACAAACAAGCTATTCCCACAAAAATAACCGCCAGAATAAATTACCCACAAATGCACTACTGACCCATATATATAAATAGTTGAGTGACATTCGCGGCCTGACGATTGCATCTAGCATGCAACAGCCTGTCACCTCTGAGTGTTGATTTCAATGTTCACTTTTAAATATATATATATATATATATATATATTAGTGAATATACATAATATCGCATGTTGATAACACGACCCGGAGTTTCATGCGTATACGCCTTCTTCAGGTGCATTCTTCAGGTGCAGAATACTCACTGACCATTAAGCGTTATGAAATTCGCGTTCTTGTAGTGTTTATTTAAAATTGTCTGCTAAGACTTCTTCATTTTATTATTGTTGCCTCTAATCTTAGAAATAATTATTTATAATTTATATCATTTAAATTTTTAAGTTCGAAAAACGAAGCATTAAAAATATATCTATATATATAAAACAGTGGATGTCTATCTGTCTGATACCCTTTCACTCGAGATCCATCCAACCAATTATGACAGAAACTTGGCCCACAAATTTACAATGTAAGAGATAGGTTCTTAGCATAAAAAAATCGCTAATTTTTAAAAAATCAATAATTGATGATGCTGATCAAAAATCAACTTTTTTCTTCCTATTTTATTCAATTTCGGTATGTAGGTTACTTGCATCGTGACGAGCTCAACGATAGCTCGTTTTTATTTCTACGCCACTGCGTCTAGCAAAAAAACGCAAAAAACGAAAAATCGGTTTCAACACAAATCGATTTCAACACAAATTTTAAACTAAAAATTCCCTCAATTTTCAATACTTGTAGTAATTGAAGAAGATAGACTCTGTTACATCTAAACATGATGCTGTTTTTGTTCCATTCTAATTTAACGCTTTTTCTGATCGGCCAGCTGGGTATGGCTACTAGTTTTAAATAATTAAAAAATTGAATTTACATAAAAACGCTATGTATCAAAGGAAATAACTCCCTTTTTCACATATAAAACTTTCGTTAGTTTTAATATTAATAATTAGTGCTTATTAAACGATATCATTAAAGTAAGCTTTCACGATGATAGATAGATCGATAAATATCGATCGATTGATACTGATAGATTCTTTGATTTATTTTTGATGACTAATCAACCTTTTGTGGGTTATTTAAATTCAGAAAATATTTTTAGACTGTAAGAATTTTGGAGATATTAATGATTGGCTGATACAAGTCCAACTAATTAACCCTTAGTGGGGAGAAGAAGAGGCACATTTATACGTTTCCCAAGGGTATCTGCATGCAAGTGAATATAATGAATGCGACAGAAATTAGAAATTGTCTCTCCTAATTCTTCTATTTCTGCTTCATAACCGTTAGCGATTACACCACTCGCACATCCAAGCTTACAGCACCTGTTTTCCCCAAGCGCTCACCCATCTATCTATCGTCTTTCTCGGTATTCAACGTCTCAAATAATTAGTTACTGCGTCGAGTAACAGGAGCAGTCATTACGTACTCCGCTAACAAAGTGATAAGTGTTAAATAAAACAACATAACAAATAGAAAATTATAGAGATCCATGATCGTTTACATCATTTAAAGACATGTCATACAAAAAACGGTTGAAGCAAATAAATACGTAAGCCCGTATACACACGCACGCATACATATATAAAATAAGTTGTTTTCATTTGGTGGATAAGAAAATAGACTTATAATGGAATTCTTTCTTCTGTTGGCAGGCTGTTTAATAAGCCTTGGCGTTGGTGGCAATATTTTATTTCTATCGTTTCCAAAAATGTAAATTTAAATAAGCCCACTTATCCAGTGCATGTTTTCCTTTATAACGAAAATATTTCCGTTGCCAAATAAGGAAATCTAAGATTTTTTCGAAGATAAACCGCCGTGCCCTCCTTCTTCGTTACAGCTGAAAGAAACCGATTCTATATCCGAAAAGATGCTGGAAACATTAATTCCATGAACATATTCAACCAAAACAATCCAATCGAAAATGGAATAATCTACCAATGGACCATTGAAGGAAAACTTGGTTCGCTGTTACAGTTGTCGGTAAGTTAAATCAGTTTCGTTAATTATATAACTCTTCTCTAAACTATTTTAATGAATCTTACTGTAATCTCTTGAAACTTACTCTATTTTCTTAAACAATTACGGTTCCTTCTAAAATCTACTTGAATTCTATCCGTATAACGTCTCCGCCTAAACTCTGAAAATGTATCTGCTAGTTATTTTTCTTTCAACAGAAATAAATAGATTCGCCTATCGTCCAGTTCACACTTTTCCACCGTCTTTTGAAAAAGGGGTAGAGTTTTATCCTTTGTTTCCTGTTTAGGATTCTGGTTCCTTCTAAAGCCTACTCATTCTCTTCTACTCCCAGAAGCCACTTGCGTCTTAGTGGCATTATCGCCTTGCTTAGGGTGAACTGTTTTAAAAAATCTAGTAACATTTACCTTGTCAGTATAAAAAGACAGCTTCGTGACATTAGCCGCTAAAATCATTCTCCTAGACTGGCTGTTACCAATATCGCCATACTGTTGCTACTTTCACGGCAAATGGACAGTTGAGCTATACTCTTTAGTTCCACCAGTTCAGAACTTTATAGCTAAGACTCGCAATGTTATATCCACCGAGATTTCAAGAATTGCTACTTTTTGGAACAAAATGCGATGTAGATGCTTCACTGAACACTACGTACTATGTAGGTACAAACATGCATTGCAATTATTATTATTTTATTTCCTTTGATTTCTGGTGTGTACTCATTTCTTTCCGGGTCTCGCCCAGAGACCTAAGGTCAGAAATGACATCATGACATTTTTCCACTGAGCAATTAAAAAACATATTTTACATCGATAAAGTCGTTCGTAAGGTGTGGGTTGTACTCGTGGGAACATTTTTTGTATTTCTATAAGGCAGGATTATTATTATTATTATTATTATTATTATTATTATTATTCCATTTTATTATTAATGAATTTTATCAAAACGATCTGAGTTCAAAAACATTAGATGGCAGAGCGTAAAATCAAATTTGCCACTGACAGTCTGGAACTTGCATCCTCAAAAGTCAATCTGTCATGGACGTCGCCTTAACTACTTCAACTTCAGAAGCCTCAGTTATTAATCAATAATCATTATATTAGCCATTTCTTTACCAAATAGGTTACATATCTACTGCATCGTTATTATAAGCTTCAGTTATACTTTGACAAGTTTCCATTTCATTTTAACGTAACTAAAGAGAAAACCGCGTTGAATGTACATTTTATACTTAACTATGTTTTCCCTCAACATATTATGAAAACATTTCAACAAATATGTTTTTAAAAAAAGTATCTAGGTACAACCAATAAGGGACATCAACGACACTTTTATTATTTCGCTAACATTGTAAAAAGTGACATGCACCTACCTTTACACTAAATAACTTCTTAATTCCCGTCTTAATTCGTCTTTCGTAATTTATAGATTTTAATAAACAACCAGAATATAAATAAACCATTTTCTTATCTAAAAAAAGCACTTTACTTTTAAATATTTACTTGGCGAATTTATTGCCTTCATTTCAAATACTTATACGCTCTCGTACACTTCATGTTTTACTATAAAAAGACTTCTCTTGGTTATTGTCACATATTGTTAGGTTTCTAACACGAGGTGTCGCCTTTACTTATTGGAGTCACCAAACAACAGACTCTTTAACACAGTAGGAAGCAAAGAGAACTTTTGTCATCATGAAATAATTAACAGTGATAGAAGAAATATTTTAAAAGGTTATTTATATTATTGAATTTCGGACTATTGTCCCCATATTTATTGTTGTCACGCGGCGTTTCTCTCCTCCGGTGTATATCGATAAGGTTTATATCAATCCGGGTAACCTACATGGAATTCTGAACTGAACCGTTTATTTAATCTACGCGGGTAGGCTGTTCCCGTTCCACTGACCATTTCTGGGGATATCACGTTTCGTTCTTATTTTTATTACTACTCAGTTATTGTTCGCCGTGGTTTCACTGAGTCCAAGTACACACTGCCCGGTCCAGGGATTGAATCCACAGTTACTATGTCACCAAATTCACGAACCAGTGGTTTTAATCCCCTCGGCTATTGTCTCATAGGACAGTTCTCCGTGAAGAACTTGGAGCCTTAAACCTAACCTAACCTCTGATGAATATTGCTGCTGTTTGTCATGCTTGATTGCATTCACCGGAATTTCCCATCGTGTTTCAGCTGCTGCTGTTGAAAAGTTGTCATTTGTCTTTCTTTCTTTATTAGCGGATTTCATATCGTATTATTTCTATGCTACTAAAGAGCTCTTCATAGCCTAGCATACGCGATGATTCTTTCAGACGTCTAAATCTCCAGTGTTCTTCCTTGTCCAGTATTTTTAATTAATTCTAAATGGGCAGAGGACTACATTTTTCCCTTCGTATATGATCAGCCTGCCCGATTTCATTGTCTCACTCCTCACTACAGCTTTTCGATGTTTCTTCAGCCTTATTGGTAGGGAATGGCTTATTTTGCCTTTAAATTCTTTAACACATCTGCGAAGAATGAAGTACACACAGTTCCTGTTGATTTTCTTAAATCTCTCTCGTGTTTCTCTTCCAGCTATTGTTTATGTTAGTAGCTAGACATTTTTATCTTTAAAAGAGGCAGATTAGACCAAAAATGTAGTAATGGTACCAGACCTAGATTACAACAGTTCAATCTGCTCCTTCCAGTTTTGTTAGAGTTCAAAATATTTTACGCTAGGGGTCGGCAACTCCCGTCCCCCGGTCTACATCCCGCGAATGACTATTGACCGGCCCGCCAAATTAACCATAGCAAGGAATTTGCTTATTTTTTTAACTGTTGTCCTGTTATTCATGTTATGAAATAAGGAACCCTATTTAAATAATATTCGTTTTTTTTTCTTTTATAAACTTCCAGACCAGTTTGAGATAGATTATTATAATACATTTGATATCATGGCCCTGCTCTGAGACACTGCATCTCTAAGTCTCTAAAAGATTACCGACCTCTGGTCTACGCAGTCTCGTAAAATGAGACTTTTTCCCACACTTTGAAGTCTCTTCTTCATAGACCCCACGTCTTAAGCTTATCGCACTCCATTAAAACAAATCAGCTTATTCAAATTTCATCCATTGGTTTGCTAAACTGAGCGAAACGTAGAGTTTGTAAATCTCAACAAAAATGTTAGCGATAACTTCAATAATACTAAATACTGTTAGGGTCCCAGCGTTGGGCAAACAGTGAACACCAAAAAAACAAAAAAAAACAAAGCACTATAGAAGTATAAAAATACATAATTTTTTTTACTATAAATAGTAAAAATGCCAGTAATACATTTTTTATGCAAATAAGGATAAAAATACGAATTTATGGCAAAATAAACAAAAATATATTTTTAAAGCAAAATAACCAACAATACGCTTTATCTGTGGTTGAACGTATACAATTGAGTTACAAATATATTTACTTGAAGCCATAAAATTGCGTTCAGCTTAATTAGGTTTCGACATTAAATAACACAGAGTTGATATGCCGCTAAACAAAACCAACCAACCAACCAATTCTTTGTGACGTTTACAGTGTCATAGAAATCGTAACGTATGCTTCCGAATGGTTTCACAGTAGGGAAATCATTTTGCGACAGAGCTCTGTGCTTGAATTGAATTAACGCCACGAGATATTTAAGGACAGCCCACAGATTTCTTGTGTAAACACTAGTTAGTGTTTTTTTTTCATTGATGATATCAGATACTAATTTATTGTTCCATAGACAACAATAAATTCAAAATAAGTACGGAATTGGCTAACTTTGATTCTCCAGGGGAAAGTCGGCATTCCATATATTTCAATCACGTCTCAGGCGAAAATAGTTTTATATATATATGTGTTTTTTTGTTTTGTTTTTTTTTTTTCGTTTCAGCTCAACGTAACGGATGCTTTAAATGATCTATCTGTCTTAGAAATATGGTTGGGAGGCCCAACTCTTCAAGACAGTTATCGGTATGGAACTTACACTGAGTCTTTAACGGAACCAGAGATTATAACGAGTAATAACAACTTTGCCATAATCAGATTCGCCGTGCAGGAAAATATTAAGCAAGATACCTTAATAATCACCTGGTCGTCAGGTAAGTGATTAAAATTACTTCATTCTGTGGTTCAGTTAATTCCCATATATACTGCTCGGACGCGCGTGTGTATATATATACATATGTGTATATATATATATATATATATATATAAGGGTATACGTGTGGAACATTTTTATAATCTTATGTGTAGGTTGATTGATATGTATTGTAGTTTTCTTTTTATTGCACCAATCTGTTAATAATACATTTCTGAAAGAATTCTTGCTACCTAAATACACTTTATATATATATATATATATATATATATATATATATATATATATATATATATATATATATAAAGTAAAGAAGCAGCCATTCAAAGAATAAATCAATAACGTTAATGACATTAATATGCGATTTCTCTTCGCTAACAGATTAAATAAGGCATTAACTCACTGAACACTCGCTGAACGACGCGATCGTTGTTTTTATTAACTGTAAAATGATTTATATGTTCGGTCCATATTGCAAGTACTTTCGATAACCATTTACCATCCTCAGGCATAGATGTTATTTTTTCCCAATTTCGGGTATAATTCCAAGACGAAAATGAATGTGATGCTTGTCGAAATATGTTTTTTTAAAAGTGTGCTATTATCAACAGTTAAGAATTTTTTGAGCATGCAATAACGCGACGCTAGATATTTGAATATTGTAGTAACGTAGTAATTCACGAATTCTATTATTGTAATATATATAATGAAGTATATAGCCGAATTCATTTAGAGTCTTTTTCTTTTTCTTTCCATCACTTTTTTAAGTAGGTATTACATACCGTGATATTAAAAGTTCTACCAGGAATGGTGAAATGTTGTAAGAGCCAAAGCGAAAATTTTCTGTGGATTATCATGCGATTATGATATTCTCTAGATATTTACATCGTAGTGAATTATTTTTCTCCTTTGATTAGAGTAGCATTTTTATGTCAAAATTGTGATTAGTCTTGTTACAGTGGGAAACCAACGCCTTTGACGTATTGGGACATTATACCAAACGATACGTCTTAATATGAAGATATATTGTTAATAAGCACATGGCAGTCATTTTGTTTTCCGAATTTTCTGTAAAGAAAATGGTGTTTTGGAGCGGACATCACCAACATAAATAAATCTCAAGCTTGGGAATTAGACAAAATCTAGGCTGCTTTCTTTGTCAAGAAGAATGTGGGTCACTTTTCTGTAAGAATACACACGTTTTGAACAGATAGTATAATTTAAAAAAACTCCCGGTTTTAATTTCACAGGACTAAAAAATTCGTATGCATTAATCATTAATTCATTTATGATTATTATCATTAAGTGGAATGTTGGTAGGGTGGGGACACTTATTTTTGATCACTTTTACTGAATCTTGGTTATTTAATTCTAGGTTCGCTTCTCCTGAGAACTGTTGTTAAATTCATTTTATTGTTTTAAAACATAAAAAATGAAATAAATTTAGGTTAAAAAACCTAAATTTATTTCATTTTTTTCCCCAACTTCTCAAACTATACTCTTAAGAATATTAATAATTATTATCCATTCAGAAGTTCCTCCAAATCAAGGAATACTAAGAATTAAAAATGATGGGAATGCATTTCTTAATTATTTTCTCAGTGAAAAGTATAAATATTTTAGCAAATTTTTTTTCTAGTTTGTTTTTGTCCCTAACATCTCAGGGTTTGTGTTGAAGATTAATATTTTCTGTTCGAAAATAACCTTTTTGCACGACATTCATTATGACATGAAACAACTAAATGAAAGCCTTTTGGGTCTCCTGGACCGCACTCAGGGAGTCCTCTATGAGAAATGCTGCTATAGACCTTCAAAATATGAACGTTTTCTTTTGTAAGAACATTTTTCTATTTAATTTTGTTTCTTAGTTTAGGTTTTGTGTAATTATTCGCAAATTATATGCAACTATGGCTGAATGAATTGAATGCAGATTAGCCAATGTTTTTCCCTGCTTATTATTCTACTCTTCTTAAGAAAATTTGGGGAAACATTTTCTTCGTAATCGGGTATGTAATAGGCTTGGCGTTATCTCTCTTGGACATAACATTTTGTCAATTTATGTTTAATTAAATGAAACTTGCGCGGAAATCAGTAGACTGGAATGAATATTTCTTTATTTTCTAAGTCATTCTTGCGCTAGTAAAATTACGTTATGATCTACCGTTTTCTTCAAATACTTAGCTCAAAGACACAGAAACATATAAAAAAATCTTATCCTTATTACAAAGATTAAGTGATGTTTAAATCATGATAAGGTCATTAGAATGTCCATTCCTATCCGTGATACAGTGGCAATGAACGCTGAGTTACATCTGGATACACTGAGAGCTGGGTGAAAACATTCGTTTTCTGAGCCTGGAATTACGATATTTACTTTGAAACAGTTCTGCCGTATTAGTAACAGAATCTTCTTTGCAAAACATGTCTCCAAGCATATCTGCGTAATTTGTTTCCTGCGGAAATAACATCATACATCGAAAGGAGCAAAAACTCCGGGGGGTGGGGGTGTTATTGAATTATTGATTTCGATACAGGATAAACAAGCAACAAGTCAGAAAGAAATCAAATACATTTTACCTTGAACAAACTTCGCTCATGGATTGTTCAACGTATATTTTCAATGATTTCTTAAAATAATTTTGTAATAAAGATTACAACCCCAAAGTTCACTTTTTAATAAACGTAAAAATAAACCGGTTTTCTTAAAACACGGTATTTACTCTGTCCCCCCACAAGGACGAGATGTAACACAAGGTCTATTTTAGGTGGATACCCGAGTGCGTACGCCCGGGACAGGAAGAAAAGCGTGTAATTTATTCTTTTTGAGTAGTTACACGTCTACTTATCATCTCTCAGTTGCGTCTCTGTTCTTGGACAGAGTGCGCTGAAGGGCTACCTGCCAAATAAAAAAACAACTGGAATGAAAATTATGGATCAATACTAAAGATGTCATCAATTGGTTTAACTATATTGATGATAAACCGAATTGCACCCTAATACAGTTCGATATCGTGGATTAGTACCCATCAATTTCGAAGGATCTATTTACGACTGCCCTGGACTTTGCTGCTATGTATTCTAACCTGACAAAGGAAGAAACAGATATAATCCTCAGCGCAAAAAAAAATCGGTCCTCATTCATAATGGGGATCAATGGATAAAAAACAATAACGACCTGTTTGACATCACTATGGGATCATTAGACTCTGCTGGGTCTTCTGACCTTGTTGGTCTTTTAATACTGTACAACTTAACGGCACACCGCGAAATTGATATTAAGGACATCGGACTGATATTAAGGACATCAACAATATAAATAAAAGAAATCAGACTTCCCTATCTAAATATTTTTGGCATCTGAAAGAAATAAATAGGACACCTAAAGTAAAATGGAAAATTATAAACAGAACTAGAACATGTAAAACTTGGGATGACCCATGCCCTTTGTGCCTCCATGAGAAACTGCACATTATTAAGTTTCTAAATAATAATAATCTATTAAACAATAGACATGAGTTAACGGTTTTTGTCGACATCATCAAATTTATGGTTTGAATAATTAGCTAAAAACAAGAATACAATATAATAACTTTTATAATCCATAGCCCAAATAGATAATTTAAATACCCTACAAAAACGATAACCATTTATGAATTCGTCAAAAAACAAATGTTACGGCAGTTTTTATATGCACAAATCCCTTTCATAAAGAAATAAAATAAAAAAATAAATCTCCATAGACACGTAAACCAGACTAGGCTAAAACATCTTCCGTTTCAAATTTAGACACCCCCACCTTACCCTGATTTGACATATATGAAAGTAACTCTATACTGATACTTATTATTAACACCCAGCACACCCCTACCCAATTTAAAAATCTGCCATAGCTGTTACCATGGAAATTTTGATTTCAATTATTAAAACACGTAAATTTCAGAAATAAGTTATTCCAAAAAAAATTTCGCTTGAAGATGGAACAGAGCTTATTTTAACTCAATTTAATTCAAATAATTATATTGAAGTTTTCGGCTCTTGTTTTGAAACATGAGACCTCTTATGTCGCGAGTTGGAATCATATTTTAAATAAATAATATATATATATATATATATATATATATATATATATATATATATATATATATTGAGGCAAGTTTGGTTGAATAATTTAGAGACGTTTTTCTGTTTATTTTCAAGAGGATCCGTTCATATTCCCGGAAGAGTTTTCTTGTGCTCGTATTAAAAGAAGAGAGAAAACAAAAGTGTTTATACATATTGTTTTATTCAGAGTACTTTCAACATTAACACAATGTCATCCCCAGGGTTTTTTTTAAGACAAAAATGAACTGTTCATTAACTCCAAAGACAAAATTGCTATGTTCATCTTAACGTTATAGTTTTACATGTGAAGTGAGACTTCTAGTTTTTGTACCATGCGAGGTATGAAAACTTGCCTCAATAAAAACATACTGCCAAAATACCAACAATATATATATATATATATATATATATATATATATATATATATATATATCAAATATGTGGTGCAGTTCAATTTATATTACAATGAATCATTCATACAAAAAGTAGATTAGTAAAGTTAATGATATAAAATGGCGAAATACCTTCGCTAACAAAATTTTAAAGGTGACTAGATGTGCAGTTGAAACTCGAGTTGCACATCAAACCTAATTATATGTGTATTTATTAATATATATTTCTTAGCTCTGTCTAATCACATGAAGCACTATTATGTCTATACCTGTGGGCTCACGCATATACAGTAGGTAATATCTAGTTATCTCATTTACCTAACTCTATACCTATATAAATATATATATACATACTTGTGGTGTAAGACAGACTTGCTTTTATCTTCCAATTAATTTACCCCATTATACACCTATATATGTGTCTCTGCAAATAAGAATTGATTGTCTATCTATATTTTTGCCTATGTCTCTGCGGTCATCTAAGTCCTTTTCGGTTTTTTTTTTTTTTTTTTTTGTTCTTTTTTTGAAATACCAGATCCGCGTTGTTATTGGAAACGCGTGCCGTACCATCCCGAGGTCAATGTCGACTACGATGATACAATTACTCTCAATTCGGCCGATAACATCACCTTCTGTCTTGAAAAATGTAATTCCAACTGTTCTGCTGTAACCTTTAATAAGTTTGAAACTGTATGCCATTTATTCGAGTTGGCACCCCTGCCTTATAAGTCCAGCTGCTGTGAGAGTTATGTAAAGATTTGCCCGGAAAAACCAAGTAAGTAATTTTTATTTAATTATTTTAATTTTTTTTTTTTCAAATCAACGACATCGAAAGCAAAATATATGAAAAGTGTTAGCAATATTGTCTTGTATTTCGTTTATTGTATGGAGCATTGTTCACTGTTATTAATTTCTAACTTGTGTTCTTAGGGACCTAATACAAGTTAAGTGTGTCGTATCCACTTAGATATCAAATAAAATATGCAACATATTTCACACAATAAAACTTATTAATTATAAACGAGAAGCATTTTCAATCAACAATAGTTGCATAAATATTAAAACACGCAGACACAATATTTATAAACAAATAACACGCAGTAAAGTGCTTACATCTTAAAACACTAATAAAACCATAGAATACAAATCAGAAAGCTTGTTTTAGTAGTCATCAGGATTTAGGTAGATACCGCCAAAATTTCGTGCGGACGTAGTAGAAGACATACCACTTGGCTTTTTAGGGCCAATTAATAAATAAATAATTCTGGAGTTGATTTTCTTACGAAAAAGTCTATAAAAATCACGTAGTCCGGCCCCAAATAGAATAGGCACAATTGTCAGCAAGGTCCACGTCACTCCAGCTGCTTATCTTCACGACCTCATTCACCTCTACACGCAAAAAGCAACAGCACTGACGAAATACAAAGAGACCGCTTCAGGCTACGTTACCACAGTTCACAGGAAGAACAAAATTCTAACTATCTCTGCCATTCCATTTACTAACGGTTCGCAAAATCTAGGAATTAACCGTGATGGCCCGCCAGCATGACTAAGCTTATTAGATGCTAAAAAATTCCGTTTTGAAATCATAATTCAAAAGTACAGTACTCAATGCCTGCAATCTATTGGCAGTTTGGGTTAACAATCCTTTCTTTGATCCAAAAATTGTTATTAATGAGCAGTGATCCGTCTGCAATAAAAAAAAGTTCTCCCATGTATATTCATATAGACTTTTTTACGGCATAAAGTATTGCCAAACTCTCTTTCCCGATTTGAGAATATTTTGTTTCATCAGGTAGTCATGATCTAGACGTATGAGACACTGATTTCATTATTCTATCTTTGTATTTGTACAAAATTACGGCCAAATTACTGGCATCAATAGCGACTACTATCTCCTGACTGAGGTCAAAATACGCTAGAAATAAATCGGATATCAACATTTCCTTAACTTTTTCAAAGAAATTTTGGCATTCGTTGATTCAGTGCCATTTTACGTCATTTTTGTTTAATAAGTTGTTTAGTGGCACTCGTAAATTATGCATATTTTTTTTTATAAAAGCGTTGTAATAGTTAGCAAGCCCTAAAAATGTTTATAATGTTTTAATATCTTTCAGCGTAAATTATGCATATTTTTTATAAATACGTTGTAATAGTTAGCAAGCCCTAAAAATGTTTATAATGTTTTAATATCTTTCGGCGTAAATTATGCATATTTTTTATAAATACGTTGTAATAGCAAGCCTAAAAAATGTTTATAATGCTCTTATTAATCTTTTATGCATATTTTTTATAAATTTTTTAATATCTTTCGGCGTAAATTATGCATACTTTTTATAAATACGTTATAATAGTTAGCAAGCCCTAAAAATGTTTATAATGTTTTAATATCTTTCGGCGTAAATTATGCATATTTTTTATAAATACGTTGTAATAGTTAGCAAACCCTAAAAATGTTTATAATGTTTTAATATCTTTCGGCGTAAATTATGCATATTTTTTATAAATACGTTGTAATAGTTAGCAAGCCCTAAAAATGTTTATAATGTTTTAATATCTTCATGTAAATTATGCATATTTTTTATAAATACGTTTTAATAGCAAGCCCTAAAAATGTTTATAATGTTTTAATATCTTTCGGCGTAAATTATGCATATTTTTTATAAATACGTTATAATGGTTAGCAAGCCCTAAAAATGTTTATAATGTTTTAATATCTTTCGGCGTAAATTATGCATTTTTTTTTTTATAAATACGTTCTAATAGTTAGCAAGCCCTATAATGCTTGTAATGTTTTAATATTTTTCGGCACTAGAATATCCTTAATTGCTAAAAATCTAGCAGGGTCTGGAACTCTACCATTTTCTTCAATTATATGACCTAAATATTTTATGTTTTTCATAAACAGATCGCATTTGTTCTCTTTACTTAAATTGAATCCAAAATCTGATTTTCTAAACACTTCAAGAACATGTTCAGTATGTTGCTTGCCAGTTTCGCTTTTTATTTAATATCATCTAAATATGCGATAGAAAAATTCAAATCTCCAAGCATCACATCCATGGTTTGTTGAAAATTACCTGGGCCAACTTTTACCCTAAAAGATAACCTATCGAAATTTGTAGACTCCTCGATGGGTACTAATAATGAGAATTTTAAAACACTCACCATCCACTGGTATCTACAAATATGTTCGAAAAATGCAATTTTGAAAAATATTTTCTGCTGCTTAACTGGGCGAAAATTTCTTGTTGCTTCGGGATCGGGTACAAATGTTTCTAAACAATCGTTCAATCCTGGTCTAAAATCTGCTCTAAATATACTCTTATTTAATTGGTCTTTTTTTTTGCTTTTTTTTTGTCATGTCACATCTCATTGGAATAATTTATTTTAGAAATTACTCTCATTTTTTCCAAACCATCAAGTTCACTGTTAACTGCAAAGAGTACAGAAAAAAAGGAACACACACACACACAAACACGTAGACAGAAACACACACACACACACACATATATATATATTATATCATAAAGAGGCAATCATACAAAGAATTAATTAGTTATGTTAATGGAATTAATAGTGAACTCTCCTCGCTAACAATACTATTAAGCCATTAACTTACTAACAATTCATTGAACAACGCGATCCTTATATCTGAATTGTTGTCAGATGAAATTGGTGTTGCTGGTCAGAGTATTTTCGAAAATTTCACATTTTCATCCTCAGGGCGTAAGTTTTCCATTAACAAATTATATAACTGTCAAGAAATAACATATTTAAAAAAAAAAAATCTTTCGGTGAACATATTCATTTCGTCTTGGGGTTTACCTGTAAATGGAAAAATTATGCCTTGTGGATGAAAATGTGAAATTTTCGAAAGTACTCGACCCAGCTACATCAAATCCATCTGGCAACAATTTAAACATAAGGATCGCGTTATTCAATGAATTTTTAGTAAGTTAATGCCTTATTATGTCTTGTTAGCGAAGAGATTTCGCCATTAATTACATTAACATTACTGATTAATTCTTTGTATGATTATCTCTTTATGATATATATATATATATATATATATATATATATAATATTTGTGTGTGTTTGTGTGCGGGAGAGATATGTTTCTATGAATCTATACTTATGCCATTCTTGATATATTTGCAGAATATTTACAGGAAATGATAGTAACGGATACGTTCCAGGAGGTCCATTCAACAACATATCCTTTTGAATATTGGGAAAATATACACCACAGCTGGATTTTAACGGCACCACCCTGGGAAATCATCACTTTACAGGTATTTACCCTTTTAATGTCGGCGTATGACTGAGTGATTAATCTGTGGCGAACAGAAGGAATGATGCGCTAGGGACAACAGAGGTTGATGGTCATCCAAACTGTCCCTCTCTACAGTCCAGACCTTGCTCTCTGTTGTTTCGCAAGCTGAAGTAGAACCTCAGGGGCAGTCGATTTGATGACATTGAATAGTCCAAGGATGTTGTGACTAGAGCCTTTGGATGACTTCCATAAGGCCTTTACAAAGTGGCTGGTACGCTAGAACAAGTGTATTGGGGTCAGTGGATCCTACTTTGAAGGAGATTAGTTTTATACTTCTTTGAAATTAATAAACATCTCATCTGAAAAATAAAAACAAAAAAAACTGAATACATTTGAAATGCACCTCGTAGTTTCTGTAATTTGGTAAAGTTGTAATAATGTCGCGCCAGTCTACAAGATCCAACGTAGAAGGCTCTTTTTGAAGACCTATAGGCTTTATTTGAATCCTTAATTTGAGAAAACCTTTACGGTAGCCGATTACAAGTAATTTGTTAACGGCTAATTTGGCACAGCCGTTAGCTGGGATTGAAAACTCAGTCAGTTAAGAGCGACACGTGATACACACTTGGGCAATCATATTCATATATCTTTTGATAGATGACTGACAAGACAGAAGATTTTTCCTGCCGTAGGTTGCCATTTCTTTCTGCGGTAGACTGGTTACCAACTAAGGTTAAAAAACCCTGTCTGATCTGCTATTTAACCCATAGCTGGGGGAGAAGAGATGTTGCCGATATCCATTACACCACAACGCACATCGCAGATTGAAGACTACTTTCTTTAATTTTATTCAGCTTTGGCACATAGGGATGTGTTAGTTTTTCTGACCAAGTCATATATTTCCTATCATTGGTTTGTAAAATCTATGCTTTGATTCGATATCATAAAAGGTTATAATAATCATTTCAGTTCTAATTGATTTTATTTATTCGTACAGTTTTTGGATGTTGATATTGATCCACAATCTTCAATAATCGTCTACAACGGCAGGAACAGCACTTATGGTATTTTAGCAAAGTTGGTCAGCGGATCAATGCCTATCGTTTTGTTCTCTTCCGGAAATACTTTGTCTATTCAATTCATGACTGGGCCCCGACCTGTTATTCGCAGAGGTTTCTTTGCTAGATATAGATTGGGTAAGTATATAAAGTTATAACTAATTAAAAAATATTTGTAAATAATTCAAATTGAAACAGGGAGAAAGTAAATCCAAAATCTATATTAGATGAAGTTTCACTAAATTAAATATATATATATATATATATATATATATATATATATATATATATATATACGAACTCATATTTACTCATAAATATCTTTTAAAATATCTCCCTGATTTTATCAGCGAAGCTGAAGTATCTGAAACCTATTTTCCGTAGGTGCAACATCATATCTCTCTCGCTATTTCCATGGCAAATGCTCAGTTGAACTCTATTCTTTAGTTTCAACAGTATATACCTTTACAAGAATAAGATTAAACCAAAAATGGAGTATCAAATTGTTGTCAATTTTCATTCACGTTTTTGTTGGTTGCTTGTTTTTGTTTAGCGGCATATCAACAATTCTATGGGTTATTTAATGCCGAAACCTAAATATTTTGTACATAATTTTATTTTCATTTTATTTATTTTTGGAGATAATAATTGTTTTAGTGATTCAAGTCTGACTAATTAACCCATAGCTAGAGGGAGAAAAGGTGTATTCATACTTTTCCCAAGAGTATTTACACCTAAGTGAATATAACGAACCCAAATAAAATTGGATTTCGGCTCTACGATTAACAATTCTACGCTATTATACATTACACCATCTGCACATTCAAGCTTACAGCTGCTGGTGTCTTCAAGCGGTCACGTATCTAGATCAGACTCGACGTTGCTTAACTATGGTGGTTAAACGGGAACTGGTATTCGTCCAAGAAGGTTACTGATAAGGAATTCAATCTATAACCTTAATCCATTACTGCCTACTGTCCTATATTTGGGTTAGACTTTAAAATATATTAAAATAGAATGACTTCTTTACTATAAAAAATCCTATTTTTATTTAAAGTCGGGATTTATATTTTACGTCAAACATAAATGAAGATTATTGTATTTTTTTTATTTATAAAAATAAACGGACCTAAAACCAAAAAATAAAAATTATTCGTATTAAAAATGTATTCTAAATACAAAAAAATATTTTGTATTTAAGATAGGCGAGATTTAAATAAAAATTAGTATTTTTATATTGTTTTAGGTCTGTCTATTTATATATATATATATATATATATATATATATATATATATATATATATATATATATATTGTTATTCACAAACAGACTGTTTCGCTGTATCACAGCTGATCAGTGTGGCTAGATATCCGGTTGCTTGAAGCCGGGATCGAAAGCCGACTATTCGGCAACAGTCTAAGATTTTCCACCTAAATTAAATACCATTAATCCATATTTATTTTAAATATAAAATGAAGTATTAGGTTGGTGCAAAAATAATGACGTAAGAATGTCGTTTTTGACGTTAAAAATACGTCAAAAAACGACATTATTACGTCATTATTTTTGCACCAACCTAATATTAATCGTAGTTTATCTTAAATAAATATAAATCCCGTCTATTTTAAATACAATATATATTGTTTAATTAAAGAACAATAATCCCCGTATAGTATATGGACTGTGCCACCATTGCGTTAACCAGATATTTTTATTAAAACTTCTTTTTTTATCCTCTAACGTTCATTCAGTAAGACTCTGTCTTGGTTCGATTTTGGGTCTTTTATTGAATTTATTAGAAGTTGTCAGCTCAAGAGAAAAGAGAACGACTTTCTGCAAAAATAATCAAATAGAAATATGCCGAGAGTGAAAAACGCGAATGATAAATAAATTAACAATTAAATTTTAGGAAAATTCATTTTTAGCGAACAGGAGTATACATTTATATTTATTTATAGCAAAAAGCTTCGACTCTAATTCTAAAACTATTTTAATTTCAGGATGCAATATTTATACAAGTACAAACTTTATTCAACTTCAGTCACCAGGCTATGATGTATCAGGGTCATATCTGCCGTTACTTAATTGCATGTGGGAGATTCGTTCTATAAACTACCCACCAGCAATGAGTTTAAAATTCGATCCCAAATTCGGTTTAAAAATGAACCAGAACTTTTTAAAGGTAAGTTTGCACTGATATATTAATACTGACTCAGTAAAAGCTTGGCTAGAATATGGACTACAATATTTGTGAAAACCAGTGAGTGTCAACGAGAGTTTTGCGGGGATGTAAACATATAACGTGATCTTCCACCGACCTGCCAATGGTCACCCCACGTTGCATTTCAAATCTCGTCGGTGTACTCTGAAAGCTGGGCAAGGGCCCGCTGCATATTCACAAGGTAACAAGATGAAAGACAAGCGTCATATCGGGAAACAATATCACGAACCCAGTTTCCCATATTATAAAATATATGTTTTATTCAGGGCCTGCTCGCCTGGGTGGATAAGTACGTAACGCCGGACAACCTCTGCTATGTGAGACTCCGCCCTCTAGGCCATCTACTCATTCCGACGTGGTGGGTGTCACTACCAATGGATGGCATCGGAACCACGAGACGGACAAATCGTTTCTCGCCAAGGGCAAATCAGAACTATTCTTATCCCAAGCATGCCTGATTAATATAGAATCAACATGCGATTTCATTCAAGGTCTAGTATTAAAAGTTGTATTTGTGACTGTGTGTATTCAGAACTTATTTTCATTTGGCCGTTATAGGAACAATATCAAAATATTGAAAGCCACATCTTTGACTTCGAAATATTTTAAAACATTTTAAACTATTTGTATAGGAATATGTGTGGATAAAGCGAAGAAATATCGAAATCTTAAATATGTCTCTACAAATTTAAATAAGATTTATTATTGCGTTTTCTTTCAAGTTGAAAGAAACAGATTACAAAAATCCTCATGAAACGGTCACTCACAAATATTTGTTTTCTTTATTTTACCACGCCATAGAATATTTGTGTTAGTATGATAGAAAGTACAATGCGTCTACATATGAGAATGAACGATTCACGCATTTACGTAGATTTACGTATGCGTGTAATTTCCTAGCAGTTGGAGAAGGCAACTGTGTTATGCTGCTGCTAATCGTACTGTTGTTGACGAGAAATTCGTTAATATGATTTTGTGTTTCTTAACTCAACGTCGCTAACCCTTATTTGTAATATAGTATTATTATCTAATAAATATTCGAAAATATCAGTAATTAATTAAAGTTTGGTAATTTCAGCTCGTGCATCAAACGAACTACCGTGACCAAAGGTTAACTGAAAAAACTAATTCTGCGAACAAATGTGATCACTTTTATAACCGAAACAGCGACTTCAGAAAAATTAAAATGATATTTATTAATCTTATTATTTACTTGGTTAATAAATATTTTTTCCAGTTTTTAAATATTCATTATAAGAAGGGAGAATCTTGTTTATTCTTTTCTGAAGTGATCCTATAAATTTCATCGCAGACGATAATCATAGCCGTCTGAAATTTCAAAGGTCTCAACGCTTTTACAAATAACGTCGCTGACTGGTTAATATTATGTCCCATTTATCTACAAGTAAATGCTGGCCCATACTTTGTACATAGTGAACAAAGGAAAAGGATTTAGAGACAGTAGTTCTCTTTGTTTTCCTTAACCAGATAATTTTTTAACCATTTCATCCCAAGCGAGGTAATAAAGTCACTTGGACGCAAGGGGTTACTGAATTTAGAGTATGAGAAAAAAATACTATTAATGAGAGAACAATAAACGAACAAGAATTTAGAAGACAGAAGATTGCGATTGACATTACATTTAAATTCTTGAAGATCAAAGTTGACTATGAAACGAGAAGATAGAAATTCAGACACATTTCGTAGCAGACGATAAACATAGTCGTCTGAAATTTCAAAAGTCCCAGCGCTTCTACAAATAACGTTCTGATTGGTTAATATATGTGAATGTGGTAATTCAAATCTGAGCCTACATTTTGCAAAAAAAAAAAAAAAGTCATTTTCTGTGTGAGCTGGTGTTAGTACAGAATTAGAGCTTTTAGCAATATCGCTTAAATCTAAAGCATTTTTCTATAATTCTGTAACGGAGTTCCACATATCTAATCTAACAGTTGTCACACTAGCATTTAGATATTCATCAGGAATATTATTTAAACGTAAGGGAATCTCCATTTTTAACAAGATTAACGTTTTAACGTTCCTTTAATGTTCCATTTATCTACTATTAAATGCTTTGTACGTAGTGAACAAGGTTTCGTAAAAAGAATTTAGCGACAATAGCGCCCTTTGTTTTCCTTAACCAGATATTTTTAATCATTTCGCTCCAATCAAGGCATTAAAGTCACTTAGACGCAAAGGTTTACTGAGTTAGGGTATGAGAAAAATAAAAAATACTGTTAAGACAAGAATTTAGAAGACAAAAGAATGCGGATGACACTACATTTAAATTCTTGAAAATCAAAGTCGAATAAGAAGTCAGAAGCCAAACGATAGTTCCACAAGCCAGAAGTGCTATAGACCAAACTGTAATCAGAAAATATACGGCTAAATCTAGACATTTAAAAATGATGCTAACTTAAATTCATAAAGTCTAGATACCATAAATGAAAGTTCGTCAGAACGATTACCATGAAAATATTTATACAGAATGCACGGGGAAACTACATTACGGCGGTGTGGAAATGACCGAATATGCCAGGTCAGGACCAGTAGCATTGCGTATTCTTCAATTCTGCAAAAGTATTCAATGCATGGATGAATGCTAGATTTATAAATTTGTTAGCTTTTAGGGTTAATGATACCGTTTTAACTCCCACCCAAAAAAAACATGTATAAAGGGAATTCCATTAAAACAAGGTCAGCGCACTAAACACCCACATTAGATCAATTGCCATGTAAAACTAATTTAATGCTAGAATGCGGCTCCTTATCTTGTATGTCTATTTGAATGTAAGATCGCTCCAGACCACAAGATAGATCATACATACAATCAATTGATAAAGAGTCTGGTAAAATAGTTTGCCCCTTGTACTGCCCGAAAAAATATCTGACTCTTCCTGACATCCTCTATCTTTACAAGAATCGGATAAGAGCAAAAATGAAGTATTACTGCCATATTTAGGCTGAAAATACTCCAACCTCATTTTCCAGACATGACGGATTTCAAAATTATTTAAGTAACTTGGTCAGTGCTTAATAATTTTCCACTTTACAACAACGCCTTTTCCACAGACGAACCATCGCAACTATATCGCTTTTTCTATGTTTAATAATCACAAGAACTACTCCTCATAGTTTCACAAGTCCAGACTCTTGCAGCTAGGATCCGCGATTGTAACATACACATGGTTGAATCATCCTTATTTCCCTCGTATTCCATTAGTAAGGAAGAAGTTTTTCTGGTACAACTTTTCCCCGGTAGCGCAACTTCGTTAAACAGACATCTGAGATGCAACTTCGATCACCCCAATCTTAATCTCGTGTGGCGGCGGAGAAAAATCAAGTCTTGTCTCGAAAAAGAATTTACGTTCTCTGTGCTATCTGTAGAAAAATGAAATCCGAATCAAGGTCGATTCGACTTTAGTTGGCCTCGAAATATGTTAATTGTTAGCGCTTTCATAGAAGTCCCGATCAATCACAGCCTTTCTTAGCGACCAAAAAATGAACTGGACATTAGACCACAGGATTCTTTGGCTCTTCTTGGGTAAAGGGGTTGTTGATTATTTAGCTCTTGAATTTACGACATCGGATTTATAATTTGTAATTCTTCTTCATACCTCAATACAACAACCTCATTCAGTAATCATCTACCTTGAGTGGCATTTTATTTATCTTTTCTTTTATTTTTGCAGATATATAACGGGACAATGCTTAACGATACTGCGCAATTTACTGGAAAAGGTATCACGGGAAACCTGACTCCTGAAGACATGCAATCATTTTCGGGGATATTTAATCTACAGTTTGTAACCAATTCCATTGTTTCTGATATTGGATTCCGTGCCACTTTTTCTGCAAGTGAGTAATCAGTTAAACCTTTTAACCGTATCTATAATAGTATAATACCCATAAAGAATAGGAGGATGTTCTACTCAGAACGCTTTACTGTTACCTTGTGGAACAGATATCTGAGAAAATGCGACCTGAGATCACTACACTCTTAAACTGTTGTGGCGACGTAGACAACCAAGTCTTATCTAGAAAAAGAATTCGTGTTCTCTGGGCTGTGTCTATTTAAAATGGACATCCTTATCCAGATTGCATAGATTTTACTGTTAGAAATATGTAAATATATATGTAAATTTGATTTGTGCCAATAATAGTTGGCGCACATGAAACTGTATGAAAGAACGGTGGAATTCAGAGTGGATTACTTAAAAATATTTTAAATTATTTAAAGAAAAACAAACCACTTTAAGGCTCCATTGTAATAGTTTATTTCACTAGAGAACTTTTAAAGTACTCTGGATCTTCAAACATCACTTTCAAACGAAAAATGAGATGAAAATTTACACTTTTGTCGGGTAGTATTAAGTTTATGTAATTTAACAGAGAAGGTAGCAAGTGTGAGAGACATGGTCGAGTTTAGAGAGGGTTTATTTTTATATTACTTTCTATCATGCTTAATATTAAAGAAGGAGGGGGTAAGGATCAGACATTGACCTATTTAGTCGGTCAACTCAACGGAAATGATATGTTGAAAGGGAAAGAGAGAAAAAGAAAAAGAAAAAAGAGGTAAGTAAAGAGAAAGGAGATGTATTTAGGGTTTACGGATAAAGAAGAATTATTAGCTCTGAATTTACATAGAGCTCTCAGGATTTCATCCTCCTTGGAACTACCCATACGGATTACCAAATTTTTTGTTACTTATATATATATATATATATAGTTATAGCGGTAGGGAAATCAAATGGCTAGATATTAGAAACAGTATATGCGCGCTAGCGTGCATACACAGGTAAGTAAATAAATATTTACCAATTTCCTTTAAGGTGTGAACATAACAGTGCTCGATATGGTTAAACGAAGCTAAAAATATATATTAATAAATATACATATACCTACGTTTGGAGTGCGAATTAAGTTTCGTTGGATCAGGCACAAGATATGATTTATGATTTTACAAATTCGACTCAGAAGCCAGTTTAAAATTTAAAAGAGAGATGCTGGTCGACTATTTAAGAAGAAATATACGATGAAATGGTTAAAGGAGGATATCGATATATAACCTAAAAATGTGAACGAAAAAAAAAAATTTATCCAGGATTACAAAATTTTAAGAGAAACCTCCTCCTGTGACTACAACTTAACATCAGATTATTACGCTTATTAAGCAGATTTAAATTGTTAGTATTTTTTAGGATAATTATTTTCCAGCAACACAGGTTGTGTCGTTCAACTCGGCTGGAAAATGGTATGACCTTGGCGACAAACTCCCAATTTACTACAGGTCTCTATGTGTGTGCGTGTACACACACACACACACACACACACACACACACACACACACACACACATATATATATATATATATATATATATATATATAAGGGGGAGTTTTTCCGATCAGAACAATCTTTACCTTTTCCAGCCTAGGATTAACTTTTATCTTCACATATCCGCATAGAGTGCATCTGTTACGATATAAGTTTCTACCTCGAGTGGCTTCCGTACAGGGTTAACAACCATGTAATAAAATGAGTTATTGTAGTTTTCTTTGTGAGTATGTTAGCTGTCACAAAGTCACCTGTGTATCGTATATTGTTAACAATGTGCCCGCCAATAATAAGATCTGGTAGGAATTTGGATAGACCCGTCTTAAAGGTAAGAATAAACATCATTGTCTTTCGCTACTTGAGTGTATTCAATAAATTTATATATATATATATATATATATATATATATATATATATATATATATATGCACATTTCATTGAAAACTACAGACAAGGTACTTTTTAGTATTTTATACAATTTCTCATGCGATCTAATAATTTTTTTCTTTTCAAATGATAAATTATATAAAAACTGTCCGAATGTTCTTTTTATCCGAGCGCTTTCGGCTATACATTTAGCCATTTTCAAGGATTATATTTTAACTGTTAAAATAAGAAATAGTTTGTTGTATGTATGTTTTATAAAATGTTTTCATTTTTCAAAACACGGTCAAGATATTATGTCCATGTTCGGAGTTAATATTATTAAGTGTTGGTTTGTTTGTTTTTATTAATAAGGCTTCCATTATTTTTAGCCTTTTTTTGCATGTAGATGATGCTATTGTATTATTGTTGTCGACAAGTATGTTCCGAATAGTGTCCGGTAGGTCTCCATGAATATTTAAATGAGATCTAATTGGGCTATTGTCAGAAAGGTGTAGAGTGAGTTTGCGTGTCAAACATGTTGTAGTGTGGTCTATATAATATATCACAGCATATAATATATATATATATATATATATATATATATATATATATATAGTTAAAGCAAACTTAGGTAATCCGTATGGGTAGACCCGAGGAGGATGATATCCAGAGAGCTCAATGTAAAATTCAGAGCAGATATGTTTGAATAAAAACAGATCACGTTAAAATTCCATGTAATAAGTTATTTCACCATAACCCCTTTAACAGGGTTCTGGATCATCAGACTTTACTAAAGTAAGAAAAATATATATTATTTAACTTCAAATGTATATATATATATATATATATATATATATATATATATATATATATATATATATATATGCTGTTGCATGAGAATAAGCTAAATTTATTCAAATATTTTGAATTTCATTGTAGGGAATTACTGTGGTTTCTTACCGGACTTGGCCTATGGGTATTGGGAAAACGTGACTGGATTCTACAGTGGCGATAGCGCAACGTATAAATGCCGTGAGAACTACGAATATGCTGCCAATGATACTGTTCATTGCACGGGTGATGGGTTCTGGAAGCCGTTTCCCGCATGCAGACGTATGTTGTATTTTAATTTATTTATTTTTTGTTTTCTTTTTGAATTCTTCTCTTTTCTTTGTCCTGGGTATAGCGATGAAATACATCCGGCAGCAAGGCTTCTGATCAGGAGATTGGAGGTTTTGAGGAGCATGGAACCACCTCTTAATTATTATTGTTCACAGGTTCAACCTGACCTGGAGTGGTAGCACCTGTTAGGGTCCCCATCTATGGGAAAATAATGAACTCCCAAAACATAAATATTACACGATGAAAGTATAAAATACTATTTATAGTAAAAATAACAGCAATACTTTTATACTTAAAAAAATTATCAACATCGTATATTCATAATAATATTACCAACAATATATTTTATAGAAAAATTACCAACAATACATTTTATAGCAAAATTATCAACAAATTCAAATCTACAAATCAACCATTCGCCCTTGCATGGAGTACGCCTGCCATATATGGTCTGGAGCCCCATCTAATTGTCTCAATGTCCTTGATAAAATCCAAAGACGGATATGCAAAGTAATTGTCCCTGATCTGGCATCTTGTCTGCATCCGCTCTTTCACAGACATGCCGTTGCCTCCCTCTGTCTTTTTTACAAATACTTTTATGGTAACTGCTCCGATGAGCTGCTTTCGCTGGTTCCCAGACTTCATGAATTTAAGCGTTCAACTAGGCTGGCATCTCGCTCTCACCCTTTCACTGTCGAAACTGTTAAATCTAGCCGTCTCTTCTACTCCAATAGCTTCATGTCTCGCACTTCTCGCCTGTGGAACTCCCTCCCCATTTCTTGTTTTCCTGATAACTATAATCTCGAACTATTCAAATGTAACGTCAATCGACGTCCCCAGATGCCCTGATCTATCTCCTAACCGTCCCTTCATCCTTTCCTCTATCACTCCACTTTTTTTTCGCTCCTACTCTGGAACCATTTGTGTGCTAGTGGCTTCCCGCCTTGCTTAGGGGTTAAATGTTTAAAAAAAATACATCTTTATAGTAAAATTACCAACAATACATTTTATCTGTAGTTGAAGGCATACCATTGCGTTCAAAATATATTTAGTTGAAGTCATAAAATTTGATTCAAAACATTTAGATTTCGCCATTAAATAACCCATAAAGGTGTTGATATGCTGTTAAATAATATCAACCAACCACCATCTCTTTTCTTTTTTGTTTTCTATTTTATCTTTTTATCTTTCTTTTCCCCTTCCTTTTACAAATGTTAAGATCAAAATTATAAGGCGAATTAAACGAAGGATATTTTCGATTAAGTTTAAGAAGAGTCGTTATCATGTCGTCATTTTTTCGGACAATTGAATCTCTTCTGAAGAGAATCACATAGGGAAACCCTCGAAACACCGTCTGCGTGTCCAAGGGATTCGAATGCAGAGAATACCATCGACGGAACATGTGAGCAACGATGATGTTTTAGAGAAAACTGTAACAAAAAAGACACTTATACTCAGACTCAGAAAAAGACAACTGAGATGTCTAGGGTACATAATGAGGAAAGAGGGCTCGGAGAATTTTTTACATTCGCATAGAACATTGATTCCAAGGAAGAGACAGTGTTGCAAGAAAACCTTTCACGATCATAACCTGAGATACATAACAAACCAGAAATTGTCACATCATAAGAAAGCTGAAGAGCTTCTTGAGATAGCTTATCTAGTACGTATTGTTTGGATTGTCGCCTTTATCTTTATTGTCATATTCACGACCTTTCGGCTATTGTACGCTCCGGCCTTCTTCAGAATTTCTCTATATTTCTAGTTTAGATAGTGCACTAGAAATCCAACAAGCCACTTGAACCAAAGATTTGTGAGTTCAATACCTGGCCACAGCAGAGGTGAACAAAAACTTGAAAAATTGAGTTACTAAATGAAATTAGCTGAAATTGATATCAAGAAAAAGGCATGGCACGTTGAACAAGAGCAATTGGCTAAATAAAGATTTGGGTTCGAAATTCCAACATATATCACTTGAAGAAGGCCGGAGCGTACAACGGTGAAAACGTCGTGAATATGACAATAACGATGAGGACAACAGTTTGAATAATGTAAATAGTGTAAATAGTTACAACACCCCATCTCAAAATATAGACGGATTATCTAGTACTTATTATATTCAACATAAAAAGCTAGTTGTCAAAACTATACAGTAACATATATTGAACTAAATCCGGCCTCCTTTCGACTACATCACGTCGAAACACCGCTCCCCATATGATCACCAAAGTTAAACAACGTCGAGCATGGTCAATAACTAGATGGGTGACCGTTCGGGAATACCATGTGATGTAAGCTTGGGTATGTGGCACAAGGCCGAAAGTATGGGACGCATATTGAGCATTGAAATAACTGTTCAATCGTAATTCATCAGGACTGATAAGATTTCTAACAATTACAGTACATAGAAGTGCCTAAAAGATTTTCTAAACGCATTTTAGATGTGGCACAAGGCCGAAAGTATGGGGCACCTCATTGTGCTTTGAAATCACTATTCAGTCGTAATCGATCAGGATTGACACACTTGCCTACCATTACATTGCGTCGAAGTGTCCTTTGTGATTTTATATATAATGATGTGCGCAGTTGTTCATTCAAAATGTTTTGAGTTTTGTCAGTTTTATGAATTCATTTTTTATTTATATATTTTTATTATTATTTTGTTCTTTTTCTTGTTTTAATTTATTTTTTGTTTTGTCACAATTACTTCAGAATATTTGTACAAGAATCAAATCATTCTTACGCTTCTTTCCACAGTTAAAACATGCCCACCCATTTATGACCTAGCAGATGGCTACTGGGTTAAGCTAAACGATTCTTACAGGGCAATGTGCAATGAATACAGACATCTTAATGGCGATCCTCTCGTGGTATGTTGGGACGGAAAATGGCAAGAAGTAAAATGTGAAAGTAAGTAAACAAAAAATCCCACCTGTCAATATTTAAAATACAATATTTTAAATTATATATATATATATATATATATATATATATAATTTGTTATTACAAGCTGGATGGCTTATGGCTATATAAACAACCTGTACTATCACCAAAGTTAAGCAGCATCAAGCCTGATCAGTACCTAGAAGAGTGACAACTTGGGAATAAAAGATGATGTAATCTTGGATGTCCGGGGGTGTACTAGATAATGGCTTGGAATTGTTAATTAAAAGAGTCGAGTTCCAATTCCCGTTGGGTTCATTATATTCACTGATGCGTAAATATTCTTGGGAAAGGCTTGAATCCAACTTTTTCCTCTCAGCTTTAGGTTTAATTAGTAAGATTTGCATCCCTAAACCATTATCATCTCAACAAAAAATTATTACGATCTGAAAATATTTCCTGGCTTTAAATAACCCACAAAAGGTTGATAGACCGTGGAAAATTAATCAATCAATAAAAAAAAACTGATTAGCTACAAAGACATATCTTTACAGAAACTACTGTGACCACAAAGTGAGGGATCACTTTATTTAATGATTGTAATATAGAATTGAATTGATCCCCCATTTTATATCTTTATTATAATTTCTTGTCTGTTTATCAAATTCCAATTAGGCTATGAGTTAATCACTAAATAATTATCACCTTAAAAAACATTCTTACAATTTAAAAAATATTTTCTAGCTTTAAATAACCTGCTAACACATCAATCAACGAACAAGCTGGACGTACACAGAAGACATTGATATGGATCCAGATTCGCTACCATTTGCTTGACCTTAAGTTTCAAGTTAAACCGTTTCTGCACATCCCGGAGAAGGTCCTACTGTAAAAGAAAAAATAGTCTTTTGTTTGCACCCAACGTTGTGTTTCGCTTTTAGCTAGGATGCACAAAAACTGGGAAAGGTTTGATATACGTTCACAAGGAAACGGAAGGTGAAATAACATCACGGCAAAAAAGTAGAAAAACTATTCCTTTTTCAATATATTTTATTGTTTATGCAAGGAATTGACTGGTACGGTCTTGGCGTTATAGGTAGGTGACACTTGTCAAGTCTTCGCTGTTACGTTTGTTGTCTCGTTCGACAGACTGAAGCACCAGATCTTCTGACTTTTCTGAGATTTTGCTCATATAAATCTACAATTTCCCGTCTAGCTGATATTGAGACTGACAGCTTTCACTTATTTAGTTTCTGTATTTCCTTTCTGTCATCAGGGTGTCCCTTTGACATTTCATTTCTCAGGTTTGATTATGTACACAACCATATTGGCCGACCGTATCCCCGTCTTCTAGTGAGGCTAGCCAATCCCTGTTGCAAATTCCTGTTCAGGCACATTTGTTTGTTCAACATCCACAGATTCCACGTATGATTTATAGTGCAGTACTTGTTGTGATCAACAGTCTGAACAAGGCCAGTACGTCAAACCCTCGGTCACGATGACTTGTGACTTTGTGCTCACAAGGCTTGTGTCAACTTCATTTACTTTCCAAAGATTTCGTACGCTGGGATCGCCTTCCCAGACACATTCCTGATGAATCGACCATGAGATTTGAACCCGAGTCTCTCTTGGTCAGAAAGTGAATGTTCTAACTACTCGGCCACGCGTAGGTACTACATAAATAAATGTAATCTTCCTTTCTGATGTTATCATTTCTCAACTCGGTATCTATGCTGATGAAAAAAACCATTCCTGTCTTAATAGTAAGCCTGACAAATTCGATAAGGTCAGTTTTACAGATGATCTCAAAAATGACCTACAGTCTGTTGTTAAATAGGGCAAGGAGTGGCTTATTAATTTTAACGTTTCCAAAACGAAACCGCTCTTTTCAATCGTCTGAGAAAATCCATTTTACCTATTATCAACATGACTGATGCTAACTCCTAGGTCTTAAGTGAAGGTAACTTATAATTTACCAGTACCTTCTCCCCTACGTATTTTATTCATAAGGGGGGAAATCTCTTAGGTATCCAGGCTCTTTACAGATTCTCTGTGAAAACCTCAGTAGTTCTTGTATTGAACTATTCGAGCTGGAAGATCTCTCATTTTGAGCTCGCCCGTTAGTCCAGGGATGGAAATATCTCGTTCTTCTTGATGGACGATGCCTCTTTGAGTCTGAATGTGGATCTTCCGGATCTGTTTCTGGATGTACCCGATTCTGGAGCATTAATCGCTCATCAGGATCTTCTGGAGTTGTCAGGGTCTCGGATGTTAATCCCTCTGAATTTTCTGATGAAGGCGCAACGGAAGCTGTGTCATCAACCTGAGGTAATATGCTGGGGAGTGATTCCGGTACGGTAATCTCCCGATTGGTTTTCAATGTCGAAGAGTTCAGATCTCATCAGTAGGGTGGTTTTAGGATCTGGTACATCTCCAGCGGGAGGCTAATCTCTAAGATAGACGAGTGTCGCACGAGTGTGTATTGTGTATTTGATTCTATTATTTCCACCTCGTCTACCAGGGGTGGGGCGTTATGTTTGGTATAGCGAATGTGGGGTGTCTCATTAGAACCGTACCTGGTTGAGAGAGCCAAGTGGGAAGCGAAGTCCCAGTCGAACGCCGTCGTTGGAAGGGTAGAAATATTTCGTGTGGAGTGGCATTGGTGGCCGTACATAATAGCGATCTGATGGTATACAGGGCTAGTTGAAGGAGAATTTACCAATTATTTATTGAGCATTTGTGTGTTGAAGCAGCCCATTGAATTCTTTTTTAAATTAAACCGTTATATCTCTCGCATTAACCGTTACCCTCGAGGTTGTACGGGTTTGTCCGACTTACCGCCACTCTGCATTTTTGTAAAAGTTGTAGAAGCTGCTGGAACATGAAAGAAGCTCTTCGGTTTGAATTTATATGCCGGTACTCCAAAGATGGCAAAAAGGGAACAAGGGCATTGGCAACTGTTGTTGCAGGCATATCTGGGCAGGGAAAAGCAAACGAAACCGTCAATATTCATCTACATTAATTAGCATGTATCGGTTTCGTGTTTTTGAGGGTAACGGACCTTTAAAGTTCATATGGAGTCTTTCAAATGGCTGCGTTGCTTTTTATTAGGACCCCAGGCGTAGGTTGTATCTCAGCACACGATCGGCAGGAATTTTTAACTTTCCTAACGTCCTACACTGAACAAGGCAAATTCCTACTCCTTACCATGTGAATCATCCGTGTTATGTCCGGGTGGTACAGTTCCTCGTGTAGCGTCTGAAGTTCTTTTGTACTTGGAGTTATAATGCATATTCTTGACAGGGCGTCTGCTTCAAGATTCTCCACCTTGCTATTTTTCATTTCTTATTTCATTTTTTATTTCACTGGCAGCCTTTGAGTTGATCATGAACGAAACAGATTATTGGTCAGTAACTAATCTGAAGTGACGTCCGATTAAATAGCGTCTCCACTTTCATAACGCCTCAACTATTTTTTCAATCGTCGTATGCCATCTTTCAGATTGAGACAGGGTCCTTGAAAAGAAGGTTACAGGGCGTCAGCTTGACTCAATGAAGTGGCAATTGCGCAGTCCGGTTTCAACTATCAGTTGGATAGAAGGATCTATAGTTGTGTTTACGGATTTTGCAATGTCTTTCTTGATTTTTTCGAATGCTTCAGTTGCTGGGAGAGATAAGGGAAAAGATCTTATTGGTATTAATGGGCGTATCTTCTCTGAAAAAGAGGCGATCCATTGTGAATAATGGGCGAACATGCCCATTTTTCGTCGCAGCGCACGTATGTTATCTGGGATTGGCAATCTGGGCAAGGGTTTTAATCGCTCTGGGTCCGGCACCATTGACCCGTTGCTTATTGTGTAGCTCAAAAAGATTGATTTTATGTTGCCCAAATGAGCATTTGTCATTATTAAGTGTAAGATTATATTTGCTTACTTGCGTCTATGAACCGTCCAAGGTTTTTGTCGAGGCCCTTCTGATTGTGGCCCACATATAGTTACATTATCTATATAAGCAAAATTACTTTCCAGTTTTTCATTCATTATGATTTTGTCGATTATTCTTTGAAAACTGGCTACTCCATTAGTTACCCCAAAAGGTATCCCCCGGAACTGGTACAGCCGGCCAACTGCTTCAAATGCAGTGTAGGGTCTGGCTTTTGGCTTAATGGCAACTTGATGATAAGCACTTTTCAAATCTAACGTGCCGAAAATACTATGTTTCGCTATTTCACATAGCATTTCCTTATTTGTGGCAACGGAAAAGCATCCAGGAGTTTGAATCGGTTAATTCTCTGAGAGTAATAGATAACCATCTGTTTGTGGGGGTTTTCTGTGTTTGTTATTAATATTTGAGCCCTTCATGGTAACGTACTTGGCTCAATTACTCCTTCTTGAAGCATTTGTTTTATTTCGGACCCAATAAATTGTGTGTCATCATGCGAATAACGCCGGCTCTTAATAGCTATTGGCTTACAGTTCTTTTGTTAGGTTTTCAAAAAGTGACGGGTACGGAATCTTAGCTTCAGTCAGTCTGCAAAACTTTAATAGAGGTTTATCTCCGCCGAATGGGATTTCTACGCTCGGGTGTTGCTGGAAAAAAATCGTGGCTTGGTATTATCCCACAACAAAGGTCTTTCATTATCGATAACTTAACAACTTTATATGAGATGCCTTTATAATGTAGGTCGGCTAAACAATATCCACTTGCGTGTAAGCTGCGTTCACCATTGTTACTCTCTTGGGGGAGGGGAACATAATGCCATTTGTGAATTTTTACTAGACTGTCTCTGTTACAGTTTTCCGAACTGCCAGTTTCTAATAAAGCGTTGATGAGGACTCCGTTAATTTTGATTTTTATAATAGTTTTTGAAAGACAATCGGGGAACACGGCCAATGTTGCAGAAAATGTAAACGAACTGACAGGAAGGCTAGCTTCGTAAGAGATATTTTTAAACGAAGGACATACCTTGGAGAGATTTCCTATTTTCCCACACTTGTGGCAACGAGCTTCCATGGCAGGACATGAAAGTCGTGAGTGTAGATTTAGACCGCAGTAGTAACATGTCCGTTCGGTTGATGTAGCAGTGACAGGGTGTTCTGGGGTGTTTAAAATAAAATCATCATAGAGAAGAAGTATAGTAGGAACAGGTTTTAGAGCGACACCCACAGAATAACATTGAAAATACGAACTCGACTGCTGTATAGCAAGCTCGCAAGTATAAGCTTGTTCATAAGCAGCTTTCAAGGTAAAGGTCATATTTTCAAGATGACGTTGCCTTACTTGGACATTGCGCAGGCTATTTACGAAGGCGTTCCTCTTGTGCCTTCAAAACGGTCTTGGGACAAAAATTGCAGTCCCTGCTTAATATCTGAAAGTGTCTTTAGGAAATGATCCAATGTTTCGCCAGATTCCTGTCGCCGGGTAGCAAGTGTATATCGGGCAAATAGTTCATTTTTGTGCTTCATGTAGGCTATGTGTAATCTTTCTATGGCTTCTTCATAAGTTTTACAGCCTACAATGATATCGTTGACTGAATGAGTCACATAGTCAGAAGAGCACGCTTGTTAATAAGCCTATTCGAGTATTGAAGGAGTAGAGTTTCAACGAAGTTCGTAAAAGTTTCGAGTCAGTATGTCCAGGGTTTATCTGCTGCTTCGTTTTCTGAGTCATAGGTAAATCGTTCTGGCCGCGTATAAAGCTCCATTGAAAGTATAATAAATTGTAGTAAAAACAGAACCAGAAACAATACCAAAGCTTTAGTACACATTACTCTGACTATTCATCTACTGCCAGATATTACAGGGTGCTTTTTATACCTCCTAGCTCTTAAGGGGAGGTAACTGATGATATATCCGTACAGTTTTATAGTCAAAATCTGTGCGTTATTATTAAATAGCAAGACCAAAGGATTTTCAAAGTTTTGGTTACAAATCTCTTTTTCTGGCCTCACAAGGGACCATAAATTAGTATGAGAAATTTGAGTGCCTTTTTGCTTTAAAAAATACACTGATTTCGAAATTCCTTCATAAACCACATAATTATAAGGTTTTAATTAAACTTTCACGACTTATTAAAAATTAAATTAAATTATTTTTAAACGGGAAGAATACTTTTTTTTTACATCTGTGAAGCCCCACTTATGTAATTTTATGAAATTTCGAAAAATTCTCTTCTGTTTATATCAGTCGTAATCTAAGTTCCCCGAGAATTTAAAACATCTTTCTATAGGGTACTGGGTCAAACACGACTCCAATTTACAGTAAATCTGTTCTGAATCGTAAAACAAAAATGCAATAAAACCAAGACATTATTTATTTAGAAAAGTTTATATATTATGGATATTATTGTCTGAAGAAAAAAATATTTTCGATGAACAATGAATTTTTACAACAATTGTTTTAATTTTTTAAACTTTTAATAAGAATAATTATAAACTTTTAAAATTTTGTCTCAATTTGAATCGATCAAATAACATTATTAAATAAAAACTAATTAAACATAGATAGTAAGGATTATTTTGAAATTTTTGTGTGTGTATAAACGTGCTGATTTATGTAAATACGGATGTCCATAGACGACATTAAAAGAAAATAAGAGCGGTAACTATAGTAACTATAAAATTTATTGGTTATTTTCTAACATTTCCTCAATAGAAGTTTTCGTAAAACTATGAATCAAAAGTACCTAAAATTCAATAAAATATTAGGATACTTAAAATTTTAGAGATTACTGGATAGTTAAAGGTTCATAAAAAGAAGTTTACGTTGTATTCGTCTTCGTAGATAAATTTCCTAAACGTGATGTTATCGATAAATGCGTCAACACTTCATAAATACACCAACCTGCGTGTTAAAAATGATTTTCTGGGAAATTTTAAATTAAAAGTACGTAGTATTTGTTTTAATTCAGATTAATTAAACGTTAAATCAGCTATTTTTTTTTCTCAAATAATGTTTCAGAAAAGTATGATTTATTTTTTAATGATATTTTAATTAAAAGAAATATGTTGGTGTTGTATCCCAAAATATTAGGAACAACAACATATAACAAAACACAATTAAACATATTTTAAAACACAATATTTGTTTTTATTTTCACCGACCACGATACAGCAGGATTGGGTTGGATAAACAATTCACTGTCTACATGTGGTATATTATCCAGCAGTCATGTTGTCGTCCTATACTACACCTTTTTCCTCCGTGAATAGTCTATGATCCGTTAGGGGAGAGTTGTCTTTCTTAATAGTTGTATTGACAGATTTATCAGAATGGACTATTTTAGCGATTTTACTGTTCATCAAAAAAATAATTAATGTAAATTCAATTTGAAAGTAATTGGGTAGTTAAAAATTATATAAAAATGGCGCTCACGTTATAATACTCAAGTAAATTTTACGGATATGCCCACCAAAAAAAAAAAACATTAGTTAAACTTCCATCTGTCAATCAAGCTGTCAGCCTGTTACTACTTTAAATAAACAGCTATCGCCATGATAAAAAAAATCCATTCCTGTCATATTTTAAACTTAAAGTAATATTTGTTTCAAATCAGATTGATTAAACTTTGCATTCCTCAAATAACGTTTCAGAAAAGGGTTTTTTTTTTTGACAGATTTGTTAATAAATTGAATTGTAATGTTATGGCAGATTGGTCAAAATGAGGCTAAAATCAACGATTTCATCAATTTCAAAATGAAATCAATTTTCAGACAATGTAAATTAGTTTTGAAATACAACAAAGTGTTGTTGGAAATATTAAATTTCATCTATTAACTTGAAATTCAAATTAAAATATAAACTTTAAGAAAAAAATGACGGGAGTGTGTTTATATACGACGTTTCTGCGGTATTTCATGTATTTGGCAAACTTGAATCGAGGCTTTAGTCACAATCAGACATAAAAACAACAAATACTTCTGCTTTTCTTTCCTTTCCTCCAGCTTCCACGCCTTAGTCAAGAAGCTTTGCACACGGGGTTGTAAGAATCAGGCTTTACTAATTATTTTATTATCTTCATCGTTCCCCAAAAAATACTGTGTGTCAAAATTTGCTCAAAGTGAAAATAATTTTTAACAATCGATACTTAGTCATTTATTCTAGGTTTTCTTTACTTTTCTGTGGTTGCTATCAATAGTGTGTCGTCTGCACATATAATGTTGATAACATTGTATCTCCCAATAATGAACCCTGGTAGGATTTCAGTTTCTCCTAATCTGGAGAGGAGACTTTGGTATGTACGAGTCAGATGCGTATATGATCATGGAAAATCACGTGTGGTTGTCTATTCGCATTTTGAAAAAATGCCATATTTGTCTTTGTTCTTAAATCATGTTAATTTCATTTTCAGAAATCCCTTGCAAATATTTTTACATGCCAAAATATGCCGAGCGAATAACCCCGGAAAATGTCACTTATTACTTGGGTGACACATTAACTCTTACCTGTCCAGAAGGCTTTCGCTTGAATGGTGTGAATCCCTTCATATGCGGCGTCCAGCGAACTCCCATTTGCGAAGGTAAGTTTTATGCGAGCGTATCATTTATTAGATAGATAGATAGATAGATAGATAGATAGATAGATAGATAGATAGATAGATAGATAGATATGAACGAGCGTAGATACATATATGGACAAACTAGCATAAGTAGATAAAAAGGTAGAGAGAGATATATAGAGATACAGAGATATGAACTTATATAATATATAAACAAATTGGCATAGTGTTGTAGAGTAGTTTTCACATGGAGACTTGTATTTCACTAAGTCGGTCCTAAATTAGGTTCGACGTACAAAACGTTAGGAACTTGAAAATAATAGTTAATGACGCAGCAATCTAGTTGTGGTGATGCGACTTTAATATCCGACATCGACTGACACACCAACTCCACTCTGAGCCCTGGCGACTGCTACTACTACTACTTATTATATGTAGAAGAGTCTACTAATAACAGAATAGGTATGTTCCGGTATAACACATAGATATATATGAACCGATTTGACTTAGATAAATATATATAAACAAGCCTGCATAGATAGAGGGACAGATATGAATGTATCATAAACCTGCATAGATAGATAGATATGAATTAACGTAGATAGATAGATAGATAGATAGATAGATACATACATACATACATACATACATACATCTATATTTACGTGTCATATTTGCCTACAATCACAATACATATGTTGATTACTTTTTCCGTTAGTGTCAGTGATGACCTGTCTAAGTTCGAATTTATCATGTGATGAAAAAAATAACTTAACCCCCTCGACCCTCTGAAATTAATTTTCTATCTAGCGTAGATATTACATTTAATTGGTTGATAAAGACAAACCCACAAGTCTATTTTTAATTCTGACCATGTGTTTTCTTACCCACCCCCACTTTATCTTTCGGAAAAAAAGTAACATTTTGCTTTTGAAATTTTTTCTTAAATTATGTAATTACCAGTCACTTACCATTCGCCTGAAAAGGTACAACGTAGTACCGAAAAACAAAAGCTATTGTGTAGCTATTTCAACATATCTAAAATAGAATATATATATATATATATATATATATATATATATATATATATATATATATATATATAAAGAAAGATCAGTCAGATTTATAATCCAGAGTTCTTTAGCATTTTTAAAAAACAGTGTTCGATACGGAGTAGAGCATAATATTATAATTATTATTTAAAAATATGTATTCATCGCGACACAAAAATTACCAAGTTTCGAAACCAAAATCTAAATCTTAAATTCAAGCGATGCATAATGACTTTTGAAATAATGATTTACTCAAGTCAAATAGTATTTTAAGTTAACAGAGCAGTGAAACTTCAAAATATTTTATTAAGGGTGTGATGTTTTTTTTGTTTTGTTTTTTTTGTTTTTTTGGGTTTTTTTTTTTTTGACAAATCAAGGTACAAGTATATTTTTATGTGGCAAAGTCAAAATCGGTTAAGGTTAGGTGGGGTTTAAAATTTCTCCCAATTAATACTAATTTCCCTTTATCCAAACATGTCACCTTTTTTTGGGGGGGGGGGTATATACCCCAATTCAATTGGCATTTTTTATTTATTTTATTTATTTTCTTATTTTTAAAGCTATCCCGAGATTTTCTTAAATAGGCATTCAAATATGATTAAATCATATTGTTTTATATTTATATTAATAAATATCTAAAATACTATATTTATTATATTTACTAATAAAATATATATGGTATTTTAAAATTAAATATTAGAATTTAATTTTTTATAAATATGTATTCATCGTGACACAGAAATTACGATGTTACGAAACCAAAACCTAAATCTTAAGTTTTCGTTTCATTTTCAAGCGACGTTGAATAACTTTTTAAAAAATTATTTACCCTTTTTACAAGCTAAATAGCATTATATTTTAAGCTGGTGGGGGAATGAGATTACAAATTTTTTTTAAGTGGGTGTTGTTTTTTTATGTTTTTTTTTTTTTTTGACAAATCGAGATACAAATATAATTTAAGTTAGCAAAGTAAGTATCGGTTATAGTTTAGGTGTGGTTTGTAATTTCTGTCTGTTGATACTGGATTCCTTATATGAAAACCTGTCATCACTTTCTGTTTTTTTGGGGTGGGTGGGGCGGTGGTTAATACACTAAAATACAACTGGCGTTTTTTTATTTTTTTATTTTATAAAATACATTGGGATTTTCTTAAAGAGGCATTCACATATGATTAAATCATATTGTTTTATACTTGTATTTTTATTTATAAAGATCTACAATACTATATTTATTATAAAACTATATACGGTAAGATTAAAATATTAGAAACTAACTACGCATTTTCTTACTTGCTTAATTTTGATCAAATAATCGATATATAATTATGCAATTTTTTATAATAAATTATTTTCTAAGGAAAACATATTACAATGTCTACAAAAATGTTATTTCATTTCCTTGTTTAATAAATTTTTGTTTTTCAAAATTTAATAATATATAACTTTTCATGTAGGTACAAAGGACATGGGTCATTTAAAAATCTACATGTTCTCGTGTTTTATTAGTTTCCATTTTACTGTGCGTGCTTTATTTGTTTCTTTTAAATGCCAAAAATATTTGGATAGGGGTGTTTGATTACGATACTTATTATTATTGAAGGAAGACAGATGTTGACTCCATTTTAATTTAAATCTATTTTTAGTGCACCCAATATGAAATTTTTCAGTATTAAGATTCTCAATAGGTTTCAAACCTTCAAGCAGACAAGCTACAGCCTAAAACGACGTGGAATGACTATACTGAACCAAATGTTAAGTCGTCTGCTATGTAATTTGGTTCACTGTGTCGTGCTAAACATTTTTTTTCACCAGCAACCACCTTGCACATTTATAATGCTACAATTCGCCCATGCATTAAATATTGCTGCCATATCTGATCTGGTGCTCCTACTATATATTTCGCGATTCTCGACAAAATTCATAGAAGGGTCTGCAATTTTATCGATCCTGACCTGGCATCTCGACTTCAGTCACTTTCCCACTACTATTATGTAGATTCACTGTGTCTTTTCTATAAATATTTTCATGGCCGTTTTTATAATGAGCTTTCCCTCTTAGTAACTCGAGCACTACTAGATTGTCTCTTCGGTCTCATTATTAAACTGTTGAAATAGCTCGATGTAACCATAAGTTCTATGCTAATAATTTATTTCCCGGGTTCTTCTTTCGCTGACACCTATGATCTTCAAAAATTTAAATGCAATGTCAATTGCTATCTTCTGTCTTCCAGAAACTTGTTCTTTTATCGTCTTTTCTCCACACTCGCGTCTTGTCATCATTTTTCACTCTCTGTAAATCCTTGTGACTTAGTGGTATTATCACTTTTTGGGTTGAAATGATTACAAAAATAGGATATTAGAAGTTTAGAAAAACGTTGCCTAGTTTAAATTGCTCAACCATATCACCCTAAGCAAAGCGGAAATGTCACTAGTACGCAGGGGGTTACATGGAGTGAAAATTAGAGAAAAGACTGATTATAGGGAGGATTGAAGAAAGGTCAAAAGATGAACGGGATTCAAGAAGACAGATAATGGCGCTTGACGTTGCATTTAAATTTTTGATAATTGTAGTTATCAGAAAAAGGGATTAAACGGAAGGGAATTCCACAGGCTGGAAGTGCGAGAAAAGAAACCGTTAGAGCAGAAGTGGTGGTTGCATTTAACTATTTAACGGGTGGGGCCTACATGCACGCTTAAAATCATGTGGTCGTATACCTGGAAAAATATCTCGTCAGAGCAACTGTCATTAAAATATTTGTAGAAAAGACAGAGAGAAGCCACGCCACGTCGATGACAAAGTGACTGAATTCGATATGCCAAGTCATCCTTCATTTAATCATTTCAACCCAAACAAAGCGGAAATGCCACTAATACGCAGGGAATTACAAGTAGGGAACGTGAGATAAAAGGCTGAGTATAGGGAGGATTGAGGAAAGGTGAAGTTTAGGATTGAGGAAAGGTGAAGTTTAGGATTGAGGAAAGGTGAAGTTTAGGATTGAGGAAAGGTGAAGTTTAGGATTGAGGAAAGGTGAAGTTTAGGATTGAGGAAAGGTGAAGTTTCATTTAAATTTTTGAGCAAGTAAACGGAAAGAAGTTCCACAGGTGGAAAGTGCGAGAAAAGAAACTGTTAGAGTAGAAGTGACGGTTGCAACTAGTTATTTCAACAGTAAACAAGCGGGACCTAAATGCCAATCTAGTACACGCTTAAATTCATGTAGTCGGGTCAGCAAGAAAAAAAGCTCTTCAGAGTATTTGCCATGAAAATATTTGTAGAAAAAAACAGAGGGAAGCTACGCCATGCCACATGCCTGAAGTCTAGATGACAGTTTAGGATCGATGCAGATCGTTTTTTGGATTTTGTCAAGAACCTCGAGATGAATAACAGGAGCAACCGACCAGATATGGTAACAGTATTCAATGTACGAACGAATGGTAGATTTGTAAATGTGCAAGATGGACGTCAACTTGAAAACCCTTCTGGCACAGTGACCCAACTTTCCTTGCAGTAGATGCAGCGATTGATTCGATGTAGTCGCTCCACTTCAAGTCAGTTGAAAACGTGAAACCAAGAAGGTGCAGTGTGTTTTCTCTTGGAGTCTAGCGTCAGCCGTGCTGATGGCAGACAGAAAAAGTTTCTCTGTGGTTGTAAAACTGAAAGCAGTTTCGTTTTAAAGGCGTTAAAATTTACAAGCCATTCCTGTCCCAGTTAACAATTAATTGAAGGTTCTTGTCAGCAGCAGCTGGCTCTGAGAGTTTGCTTTTGAAACAGATGGATGTGTCTCGATTACTGTTACGACATTCAGATGAGAGTACCAAAATTTCCTGTACCGTTTATACTCGTGTAACGCGTGATTTCGTGTATCGTGCAATCTAGTGCATCGTGCGATCACGTCTAAAACGCGATCTCGTGTAACACGCGATTTCGTGTAACACGCGATCTCCAAATTTTCACTTATAAAAAATGATTTTATCATGTATCTCGTGTATCATGCGAGTTCCTTTTTTTTGAGAGATCAAATTACAATAGACTAACTTCTTTTTCTCTATTTTATCCCACTTTTTGTTAAATAAGTTAAAAAAGTAAAAATGAAAGATAAAAGTATCGTTAGTAACGCTATACTCATTGAGTAAACGCCTACAGCCATGAACAACCGAACGAGAAACAGCTAAACATCTTATAAACGTAAACAATGGAACAGATGTATATTCGCATTGTTTTCATTTTATAATACTATACTAATATGTGAATATTACATGCATTATTAGTGGGTACAGTTAAGTAAAACATCAGTTTTATGAAAATCATGTTTATGTTAAATACAGCTGTACTTTTTCCTACATTAAGTGGATACATAATTTTGTCTATGGCGTAACCAGCACCAGCAGTACATCCGCTAATTTTATATATCGTGTATGATGCGACCCCCTTAAAATTACCTTCATAATTATGTCTTCAAAAGTTGCATGATACGTGAGTATATACAGTATCTATCTATCGATCTATCGATCTATCGCGGTCTCTTCATTATCTATCTATCTCTCTGCGGTATATACTCGCGTATCATTCGATTTTTGAAGAGATAATTTTGAAACTAATTTGACTACAGTAAATGGATGTATAGTTAGGTCAACGGCAGAGACAGGGCCAACAGTACATACGCTAATTTGATATCTCGTGTATGATACGACCCTCTTAAAATTAGCTCCAAAATTAGGTCTTTAAAGTCGCATGATAGGCGAGTATATACGGTATCTATCTATCTATCTATCTATCTATCTATCTATCTCAGTCTGTCCAATATCTATCTAACTATCTTACATATTCGAGTATCATGCGATTTTTGAAGAGATAATTTTGAAGCTAATTTGACTACAGTAAATGGATGTATAGTTTGGTCAACGGTGTAGCAAGAGCCAACAGTGCCTACGCTAATTTCATATCTCGTGTACGATGCCACCCCCTTAAAATTAGCTTCAAAATAAGGTTTTTAAATGTCGCATGATACAGAGAGTATATACGATAATCAACATGAAGCTTACTGAGCCATACTCTCTTTCATCAACGACTCAGGCTGCTGCTGCTGCTGTTTTCAGTGGAGTAACGAAGTAATGTTTTTTCTGGCAAACATTGATATAAGAATGAAGGTTGGTATCAATAAAAGATCGTTTAAATAGTGTAACTTCAATCGGTATTTTGTTTCATCATATGCTTCAATTTATATCTACGACGCACCCATCTTCTGGTCGTCAGTTCCACATGGGTTTAAACATTTTGTCATAAATTTCTATATATAAAACAAAGGATGTCTGTGTGTTTGTGTGTCTGTGTGATACCTTTTCACTCGAGATCCATCCAACCGATTTTGACAAAACTTGGCACATGCATTGTACAATGTAAGAGATAGGTTCTTAGCGTAAAAAATCTATATTTTTTTTAAAAATGAATATTTTGCACTCCTTTAGCAATGTTTCTTTAAGGGTTGCCACTGACATGATTTTGGTTGCATGCTCTCGAAGTTTTCAGTCAAGGTGCTCCCAAACTTTCTCTATTGAATTCATGTCAGGGCTTTGGGATACTCATGACAGTGACTTGATTCCTTGCGATTCCTTCCAGGCCTTTTCTACTTTGCTCGTATGATATGGCGCTCCATCTTCTTGAAAAAGTTAGACATTCTTATCAATATGGTTGGTTTCAAATAATGGGAGTAGTTCTTTAATATTTGACAGTATTTTGGACCATTCAACCGCTCGTCAATAAGAATCTGCTCAGATTTCCCTCCAAAAAAGCCTGCACCCCACTCCATTACCCCAATCCCTCCATGTTTCACGGTCGCCTGCAGATATTCAGTGTTCCAAGTCTCATTCTGATTTCTCCAAATATAAACCTATCTCGAATTAGAATATTGGCAGAACTTACTTTCATCTGACCAACTTACAGACTGCCAAAATTCATAATCTTTGCTTACGAATTCTCTCGCCCAATCCATACGATGTTTCCTGTTAACATCTGAAATCAAGGGCTTCTTTCTTGCAACTCTTCTTTGATAGCCTCTCTCTTTCATAATCTTTCTCACCGCATATGGCGACATTTCCATGCTGTTGGCGACATCTTTAACGCTCTGACAACGGTATCTGATGACTTCCCTATTCAGTGCCCTTTTCGTTTGCTCAGACACGATGCTTGGTCTTCCTGAACATTGTTCCACACGACAATGGACTTCTTCATCAAATTTCTTGACAATATTATTAACCGTTTGATGATTAACCCATAAAAACCTAGCAATTTCTCTATTTGACTTGTCACACTGAAACCAACCTATTTTTTGCCCCTGTTGAAATTCACTAATTTCCTCCCTTCCACGAACTCTCATTGCAAGATATAAGTCAACTATAGATGAGTGTAGATTGATACTAATACGGTATTGTTTGAAAAAAAAAAAGAGACGTTATTAAACAAGCCAAATTTGCTGTAATCAAGGGTGGCTAAAAATTTACATAGCCCACTGTAGATATAAGTTCAATTTGAGGTAGAATAAACAGTGTAGATATGTTAGATTTGGAGGAGAATAACGGTATAGATATAGGTTCTGTTTGAAGGAGAATAACGGTATAGATATAGGTTCTGTTTGAAGGAGAATAACGGTCTAGATATAGGTTCTGTTTGAAGGAGAATAACGGTCTAGATATAGGTTCTGTTTGAAGGAGAATAACGGTATAGATATAGGTTCTGTTTGAAGGAGAATAACGGTCTAGATATAGGTTCTGTTTGAAGGAGAATAACGGTCTAGATATAGGTTCTGTTTGAAGGAGAATAACGGTCTAGATATAGGTTCTGTTTGAAGGAGAATAACGGTCTAGATATAGGTTCCGTTTGAAGGAGAATAACGGTCTAGATATAGGTTCTGTTTGAAGGAGAATAACGGTCTAGATATAGGTTCTGTTTGAAGGAGAATAACGGTCTAGATATAGGTTCTGTTTGAAGGAGAATAACGGTCTAGATATAGGTTCTGTTTGAAGGAGAATAACGGTCTAGATATAGGTTCTGTTTGAAGGAGAATAACGGCATTGATATAGGTTCTGTTTGAAGGAGAATAACGGTATAGATATAGGTTCTGTTTGAAGGAGAATAACGGTCTAGATATAGGTTCTGTTTGAAGGAGAATAACGGTCTAGATATAGGTTCTGTTTGAAGGAGAATAACGGTCTAGATATAGGTTCCGTTTGAAGGAGAATAACGGTCTAGATATAGGTTCTGTTTGAAGGAGAATAACGGTATAGATATAGCTTCTGTTTGAAGGAGAATAACGGTCGAGATATAGGTTCTGTTTGAAGGAGAATAACGGTATAGATATAGGTTCTGTTTGAAGGAGAATAACGGTCTAGATATAGGATCTATTTGAAGGAGATTAACGGTTTAGATATAGGTTCTGTTTGAAGGAGAATAACGGTCTAGATATAGGTTCTGTTTGAAGGAGAATAACGGTATAGATATAGGTTCTGTTTGAAGGAGCGTTGGTCTAGATATAGGTTCTGTTTGAAGGAGAATAACGGTCTAGATATAGGTTCTGTTTGAAGGAGAATAACGGTATAGATATAGGTTCTGTTTGAAGGAGAATAACGGTATAGATATAAGTTCTGTCGCAGAAAAATAAAGTGTAGATAGGTTCGATTAAACGAGAATCAACAGTGTATATATGTTCGGTTTAAAGACGAATCAACAGTGTAGATATAGGTTCAGTTTGACGGAGAATTACCAGTGTATATAAAGTTTCGGTTCAAAGGAGAAGCAACTTTATAGTTATAGGTTCGATAGAAGTAGAAGCAACAGTGTGGATATAGGTTTGTTTCGAAAGAAAATCATCAGTGTAGATATAGTTTCAACTAGAATTAAAATCTTCAGTGTAGATATAGTTTCGGTTGGAAGATGGACATATAGGTTTGTTTTAAGCAAGAATCAAAAACATTCATAGGTGTCCGGTTTGAACACGATTTTAAAGGTAGATAAGTGTTTGGTTTATCACAAAGTCACAAAGTTTAACCTATGTTGTTTTTTAAAAAAAAAAAAAAATCACGAAATTGGCTCATGTTTTGATAGGATGACTCCTTTATATTGGGTGCTGTCAGCCTATTCTGGAACTTAATTGACATTCTTGTTTAAATTTTCTTTCAGATATTGACGAATGTAAGGAAAATAAATCAAATTGTGAACAAGTATGCATCAATACACCATCATCTTTTGAGTGTGACTGCTATAATGGTTATCAAAAGAACAATATTTCTGGGAAAGAAAACACTTGTGTTGGTAAGCATATCCCCTCTCTCTCCTCTCTCTCTCTCTCTCTCTCTCTCTCTCTCTCTCTCTATCTATCTATCTGTACCGAGATATCCATCATGTTGTGATGATAATTATATATATTAATACATTTACATTGATATATGATATTTTTATTTTGTATTTGCGTCAATGAAATACAGTTTATTAATAAAAATACAAACTTATAGTTTGAAAAGATTCTCGAAAGTAGCATTTTTTTGCTGAATCAGTATTAGTCCTTCGTCTATCTTCTGTTATTTAAGGAAACAATTTACTAATTACGGAAATGATTTACCCATTACTGAGGTACAGTAAATATATATATATATATATATATATATATATATATATATATATATATATATATATATATATATATATATATATATATATATATATATATATATATATATATATATATATATATATATATATATATATATATATATATATATATATATATATATATATATATATATATATATATATATATTAAATATTTATTATATATATATATATATATATATATATATATATTGGGTTGGTGCAAAATTATCAGGCGTTTTTGTAGGCGAGTTATTTGTTAATTTAATTGTTTTATTTGTGTTTTCTTTACTTTTTTTTTTTTAAATAACAATATCATATTATTTTCAGGTTATAAAAATGTGTGTCAATAACTATACGCCCCGGAATAATCATTTAGAAATATTATGGTTGAATTGTTATGTTTCTTTTTTCATAATAAATAATGTTTTAAAACGCTTGATAATTATGCACCAACACAATATATATATACTATCTATATTGTTCGGACTATTGTCTTAATCTTTGTCGACATATTTGTTACATTTCGGCCGTTGTACGCTCCGGCCTTCTTCAGGTGGTTGGAATGTCGAACTGAACCCTTTATTTACTCGAGTGCACATGGCACAGTGGATAAATGCGTTGGTTAGATCCAGTGACAGGACCCAAAGCGTGTGAGTTCAATACCCGGTTAAGGCAGTGGAGAACTTACATAGGGAAATAAACAGAAGATAACTGATAACTGACATCCATTAAACATAGCATGTGGAATTAGAACAGTCTATCCCAGTGAGTAAAATAAAGGGTTCAGTTCGACATTCCAACCACCTGAAGAAGGATGGAGCGTACAACAGCCGAAACGTTGTAATAAATACGGCGACAAAGATGAGGACAATAGTCCGAATAATGTAAATAATGTACATAATACCTCATCTCAAAATATATATATATATATATATATATATATATATATATATATATATATCCTGAATTTCCTCCCACCAAAATAAGGTATAATGTTCATATAAAATATATGTCCAAAAGGCCATCGTTGTACCTCAACACAGCAAATCATAACAAATGTTCAAAATGTCTCCGCTTGCTTCTTTCACACACATATTTAATTTATGGTAGAAATAGAAATTTAATTTTAAGCTAGCGTACCCTATATATATATATATATATATATATATATATATATATATATATATATATATATATATATATATAATATATGAGAATTTGAAACACACTAGAGAATAATGACGTGAAGGCCAAGGAAACAATCTCTTTGCTTACACAAAGATGGCTCCCTAGACCGAATATATAGAGACTCAAGTGCTTTCAAATGGAAAAGAGTGCGAACTAGATAGAACAGTGAACCAATTCGTACTGAAGTTCTTCGCACAATCCCTGCAATTTATTAGGTGCTCCGTAATCGCTGATATATATATATATATATATATATGTATATATATATATATATATATATATATATAAAGAAGTAATATAGCCTTAAAATGTGCTATATTTATGGGATAAAGTGCTCAATATCAGAGATAGCGTGTGTAAATATAAAAGTGAACAGAGAAGTCAAAACTTAGAGGCGACAGTCTGTTTCATGCTAGATGCAATCGTCAGGCAACGTGGCCTGACGATTGCATCTAGCATGAAACAGACTGTTGCCTCTAGGTGTTGACTTCTATGTTCACTTTTATATATATATATATATATATATATATATATATACGTGTGTGTGTGTGTGTACTTTTTAATCAAATAGTATCTGAATGCACTTCTCACATTTTCATATAAAAAACTGTCAACAGGCGGATATAATAATACAGAACACGTTTATCCACCTGATGATTGTTATTGCATGAATATCTGTGCATCAGATTTTTATATTATTGTATTATTATTTATAAGATAATATATATATATATATGTGTGTGTGTGTGTGTGTGTTTGTGTGTATGTGTGTGTGTATGTATATGTTTTTATACAAAAGCAGTAAGAATAAAATTAAATCTTAAGCCAAAAACTTAAAATATAAAATAAACTGAGGGTTTAATACCAAAGTTAACAAAAGCTGATTGTGCTCTGACGATTGAGTCTAGCATGAAACAGTCTGCCGAGTGTTGACGTCAATGTTCACTTTTATGTTTACATACACTCTATCTCTGATATATATATATATATATATATATATATATATATATATATATATATATATAGGATTGGTGTATACGAAATAAATTCCAATAACCAACAAATATTATTCTTAAAATAGTGCTCAATACAGAGTAGAGCAAATATAATTCTACATTCAACACCATCACTTGCTAAGACACCAGAAGTGTTGAAACAAAATTGCTATTTTTGTAGTGATTTTATAAAATTTGTATGTTATAATTTTATAAATGATTATATATATATATATATATATATATATATATATATATATATATATAATTATTTATTTAAAAAATTATAACATAAATATGTTATAAAATCACTACAAAAATATCCATTTTGTTTCAACACCTCCAGTGTCATCTCAAGTGAGGATGTTGAATGTAGAATAAATGGTTTTAAGGGTTTCAAATTAATTAACGATCCTTCGCTATGGGAAAACGCTGTTACATAAGCTAGAATGACCAATCAAAACACAAGTATAAGAGAATTCAAAAAACTTGACAATGAAGTAAGGTTATAATAGCTAATAAAAGCTTTAAAGTTGGGGTTATACTAAAATAGAATTTTTTCTAACCAATAAGTATTAAATTATATGATAAAATTTGATATTAAAATTAAAAGTAAAAAATTACAATTTTAAAATCTAAATTTAATCTCTATTAAGTTTAAAATTATAGAATTACTGAGGAGAAATGAAAAAATACATATTTTTTTCAATTTATTTTTTTCATTGAAATTACGTTAGAATAGACGCTAATATTGGCTGGTCTTCCTGACAAAATGTATACATTTTAATTCCAAGTGTGTGAGTGGGGTGCTAACCGCTCACGTAAAACAATACACACTCAGATTATAATACATAAGCACCCAGACATATTTAGATATATACACACACAAAAAGGTGACGAGACAGGAAATATCTCCACGGCCCTTTATAAAAAATAAAAAAACCAACACATGCATACATACACAATTAAATGTGCATGCATTTTCTATACACATAGATACCGAAAAGTACATGTACACACATCCATATACATTGACCTAGACAACCTGATACAACAACCAAGAAATATTCAAGACTGAAAGTGTTATTAAACGAATTCTAACCACTTATCAAAATATAACATCGATAAAAATGGTCAAATAGAACAGAGAATCAAAGAATAGGAAAAGAAAGGACATTAAAACAGATATATATGTTTAAAAATAACATTATCTGATATATAAAAAACGAAAATTCCAAACATACAAACATCTATAAAAATATATATTTTTATCATATAAGTTGATATATGCCTTATTATACATTAGGTGAAAGAAAATAACATAATAAGAACTACCTACAGATATAAGTGTACAGTTACACATATTTTTGCATATATATATACACACAAATATATCTATGCACATACATATATGTGTGTGTGTGTGTGTGTGTGTGTGTGTGTGTGTGTGTGTGTGTGTGTGTGTGTGTGTGTGTGTGTGTGAGAAAATATATAGAAAATAGGAAAGAACTCGTTAGGTAAATACATATGATTCAAACTCGCGACATAAGAGGTCTCATGTTTCAAAACAAGAATAATTATATTGAAGTTTTCGGCTCTTGTTTTTGAAACATGAGACCTCTTATGTCACGAGTTGGAATCATATTTTAAATAAATAATTATACATACATATATATATATATATATATATATATATATATATATATATATATATATATATATATATATATATATACACACATACACATACACATATGTATATATACACATACAGAAGCAAGTATAAATATATCAACCCACACAGCGACGTAATATATATATATATATATATATATATATATATATATATATATATATATATATATATATATAAGTAGAAATAAAAGAAAAATAATCGCTTTGTCGTCTGTTGAATCAGTCACATTCATAGGCATTCAGTTAATTTTACTTTGATGGGATTTCTTGTTTGCAACTGAAACATCCAATTATTTTAATCTTATTAATTTAATTTTTGTTGTCATTTTAATACTCGCAACTTTTGCACAATTCCCAACATGTTCCCACTCCATCGTATAATCAGATATTTCAGTAATAGTATTGTTTTCATTATGCTTTTAGATACAGACGAATGCAAGATTGATAATGGTGGCTGTGACCATATCTGCACAAATTTAAATGGTTCCTATGAATGCAGCTGTTTTAACGGCTATGAACTCTTTCAAACTGATGGCCAACTCACTGTTTCTGTTCACCCACTTGATACAGGGCATAACCCAGGCGACTACTACAGATTTAACCATTCTTGTATCAGTAAGTACGCTTTTTAATATATTATGGAACCTTCTAAAATAAGAGGCTACCTATTCCTCATATTTCTATAAACCCGCCTAATATACGTCCTACACTTGTAATTTTATATTTCTCTATAAAACATCTGCATCAACAAGATTTTCAATAAAACATCTACAGGGTGCGATGGATAAATTGTCGTCTAAATGATGTAAAAGTGAAAATAACCCCGACATATCATTTTAACAGATATACAGGGTGCGATGGATGAATTGTCGCCGTAATGACACAGAAATTAAAATGACGCTGATATATCATTTTAACAAATATATTTATCAAAATTGCACAAAAATATCTCGAAATACTGAAGAATAAATTAATTCAATAAAATCGCCGTTGGCTTTAATCACGAAACTCCAAACAACTTCGGGATGTCCTGCAACTCTTCTGGACGGTTTAAGTTGGTGAATGCTGCCATAATCCTTGCCTTCAGTTCATCTTTGGTGTTACTAGGAGTTTTGATGCTCCTTCGCTCAACTGCGCCCCACACATAATAATCAAGATGGTTGCAGACTGGGGATTCAGGTTGCCAGATGTAAGGGGTGATGTGATCGCAGAAATTTTCTATTCACCTACTTGTGTGCCATGGTGCAAAATCCTGTTGCCAGATATAGGGTCTTACAGCAGCCACCCTCTTGACCAATTTCTCAAAGTACTTGATGTAGGCCTCCGTGTTGAGTCTACGGCCCTCAACAATGAATTCGAGAGTTCTTTTCTATCAAAACGAATAGAGTGAGTTTTCCGAGCTGCCGTACCTTCGTAATCACCATTAAACTCTTTCCGAATCCTCTGCACTATCCTCAGAATGACAAACAGTCTAAAATGTTCGGATTAGAGCTTCCGTTGCGTATGCCAAGCAGTACAGTATGCCGTTTTCAAATTTCTTGCGGAGTGAATTACATCATGGTGCTATTTTTCTAATAGACGATGTCCAACTGACCCTACTATACGATGCAGTCAATAAAATCAAAAACAAACAATACGCATGCGCGAAATTAAAAATATAAAATGGCGACATTTTACCCATCGCACTCTGTATTTTCATAAAGTTCTTGGTGATCATGGCTCTCCGCAACTTCCTGTCCCTTGTAGATGTTAATAAACATTTTTATTTCTGTTATTTCTCTTAAACCCTGTTCCGCAATCCATTCATTCAAGTTCACTAAATATGTTTTGCGTTGTCTTCGTCTGACCCTCTATAGGCTAGGAGGGAATTCCATACACCCCCACCCTTAACATAAACATCCTTGGTATTTTCCCTTATCCCAGAGTCCTGTACTATACGATTCAAATGTTAACGAACAGTAAATTCCTTCCCACAAGATTAGAAACACTTATTTGTAACACCACACCCCTAAAACGAAAAAAAAAGGACATCTGGATTTTGGCGGGAGGGGAAACCTTTAAAGGCAATAACTTTTCTTTGGATTGTCAAATTTAAATAAATTTGATATCGTTGTGTAGGGTTATGATGATTCTATCACAAAATATCATTATAGTTTAAAAACTCATTTAAATAAGGATTTCACTACCAGCGGACAAATCGAATCAATGCGAAAATACCTTAATTTCAAGTGCAACGATTGCATAGAAAATTATGTACACCCCAACCATCCCGAAACACAACCTGTTAGAAAAACGACTGGATTATTCGGCACAGCCGCTTAGGCATGTGACTGTTTAGACGTCAGTGTCTTTGACAGGAGGCAAACCCCACCCGCCAAAAAAGGATAAAAAGCATTGAAAACACCCAACTTTCAATATGACTTTTTATTCATTTAGGGAATTAAGGATCCTATTAAAAAAACTAATGGATTAATGTAAATTAAAAACTTAAATTAAAAATATTGTATTTCAAAAAAAAAAATTTTTAATTTTGCTGCACTGAAGGAAATGAAATTATCTCCAACTACTATTTTTCTTAAATATAAAAATGTCTCCAACTACTCTTTTTCTTAAATTGAACTATTTGAGCATATAACGACGAGTGAGAGAGAGAGAGAGAGAGAGAGAGAGAGAGATGGGGAGAGGGGGAGAGCAAATTTGACTATAACGACGAAGTAGCAATCTGACGCCTAATTGTCCTTCTGCCGAAAAATTCTTACGCCGAAAAGGGCTACGCCGAAAAGGGCTACGCCGGAATGTCTCATTCCCGTTTATAACACAACCTCCCAAACGAAAAAAAGACATCTTGATTTGGGAACGGGAAACCTTAAGGCTAATACCATTTTTTTTAGGGGGTGGGGATATTTCAATTTCAGTAAACTTGGTATCATTTTGTAGGGTTATGATCATCCCATCTCAAAATTACTTTTATAATTTAAAACATCATGTAAATTACCTAAAGCCGGAAATATCAAATCAATTCGAACATATCTTAATTTCTAATGCAACAACCACATAGAAAATTATTTACACTCTTTAATTAAATTGGTATTTACCTGTAGCTTTTTGTCCTGTTAAACAAAAAACACGTTATTAGTAAATATTTTTATTTTCATCTCACCAAAAGCTTCATCTTTTAACACCTCTCCTGAATGGCATCCATAATTTATATTTTTGGATAAGAAAGAATCTCAGACCAATAAATTCTCTTTGGATTAGCCAAGTTTTATTAAACTTGCTATTATCTTGTAGGATGATTCTAGCTGTATCATACATTTTCTAACGGGTAGCAAATTAGATAACTGATGATGACATCAGATTGGTATCTGATGATGACATCAGATTGGTATCTGATGATGACATCAGATTGGTATCTGATGATGACATCAGATTGGTATCTGATGATGACATCAGATTGGGATGATGACATCAAATGATGACATCAGAAAATAAAAATAATAATAGTGCCAAAAAAGTCACAATTTCAAATACCAAAAACCAAGGAAATTAAATTAAAGGTTTATTCGGATAAATTATAAAGGAAAAGGATAATAATAAAATTAGAGAATAAACGTCAGTTATTTTATATGATATATAATGTTATAATAAATGAAAGAGTCAATGTACTTTGTGAGACTTGCATTCTTCGCCCAGTTATAAGATTTAATGTTTGAGTACCAAACTTTGTTTTCGAAAAATGGTATACTCTAGTTATCATTTTCTTAGAAATATTCATCAGAATCCTCATCACAACTGTCAGTGTCAGCTGACATTTCATGAAAATATCCATGGTCATCATTATCATCATTATCATCATCACTGTCAGATTCACAATCAAAGTTTTTAAAAATATCGACAAACTGAACCGGCACGATTTCTCCACCCATCCAAAGTGGTATCCTTTCATCATTTTTATCATGAATCCATCCATGACCCCTAACTGGTTAAGGCATATCAGGTTTAGCAATATGTACCTGGTTCCAAATACAAACCTGGTAGTTGACTCGATTTAAATGTTGCCGAAGTGTATCAGTGCAAGGTAGTTATGTACTCAAGTCAAAGTTTCATTATACATTAAAAGTCTCATCTTACCTACCATATTTTAATTATAACGTGAAGAATCTCAGTTCATTGACACTATTAAATCACTTATTCCCATACAAAACACAACCTCGATGGAACTTAAAATGTCTTCATTTATTTTCCATGACTCTCCTAATTTCATAAATTTTGTGAATGTCAATACTCGTTTTCACTTTCGTAATGCTCGTTGTAGTAATAATACTCGCACTAATAGTACTTGCTCGATAATACTCGCTCGACAAGTAACCTATATAGTGATCTGTATAGCGAATAGCGGTTCGTTTAGTAATAGAGGATAGAGGAGAAATAGCGATCAGTATAAAATAGAAAGATCGAATAGAAATCCGATCAATTAGACACACGCTACTACACATATATGCGTTTCCTCTATGGTCACGTGATCTACTTAATTTAGTAATGGTGCCTATCAACGGTGGGTAAGAACTTCGTTGTGAACGTGTTAAGTTCCTTCTGGCTATCGATAAATTGCAGAAGTTACAAGAATTGTTTCTATCTGTAATTTCAATAACCTGATCACCATGCTAGACAAAAAAAAAGCATTTATTACATATCATCAGGATGCCCGGCCTCGGTAGAAGTTGAGCATGACATACTTACGGCCGAATACACTGGAAGAAAATGTAAGGAAGATTTCATTGCAATTGGGTTGGAAATTGGCGAAAAATTCTCTGACTCAATTAAGCGGTTGAAACTAAAAACTATCAGAAATGAATAAGTCAGTGACAGTTAAATAAAGAAATACATTATACAATAAAGAAATACATCATACAATAAAGAAATACATCATGCAATAATGTACGTCATACAATAAGGAAATAAATAATACAATAAAGAAATACATCATACAATAATGAAATACCTTATACAATAAAGAAATACATCATACAACAAGGAAATACATCATACAATAAGGAAATACCTTATACAATAAAGAAATACATAATACAATAAAGAAATACATCATAAAATAAAGAGATACAGCATACAATAAGGTAATACATCATACAATAAAATACATCATACAATTAGGAAATACATCATACAATAAAGAAATACATCATATAATGAGGAAATACATCATACAACAAGGAGATACGTTATACAATAAGGAAATACATCATACAATAAAGAAATACAGCATACAATAAGGAAATACACCATATAATAAAGTACGTCATGCTTTTAGGAAATACATTATACAATAAAGAAATACATCATATAATAAGAAAATACATCATACAACAAGTAAATACATCATACAATAAGGAAATACATCATACAGTAAAGGACGCCATAAATTAAGGAAATACATTATACAATAAAGAAATACATTATACAATAAGTAAATACATAATACAATAAGTAAATACATAATACAATAAAGAAATACATCATACAATAAAGAAATACATTATACAATAAGGAAATACATCATAAAATAAAGTACGTCATACAATAAGGAAATAAATAATACAATAAAGAAATACATTACACAATAAGGAAATACAAAATACAATAAAGAAATACATTATACAATAAGGAAATACATCATACAACAAAGAAATACATCATACTATAAGGAAATAATATACAAACAGCAAGGAAACATCTCATTTCGCCTTTTCGTTTTATCGCAAAAAAATACATAATAAATTAGACCTAAAGAAGCTCATGACGTATTCCCTTGCTCCTGTGCCTTATAGTATAGGGCTTCTATATTTTCCTCCATTTTTCATGTCAAATTTCCTTTTCCCTTAAAAGCATTTCTACTGTCATAGTCAGCCTGGTGCAGCATCAAGCTTTAACAATGACCTGAAAAAAATATAAATTTCCTTTTTTCAAGTTATGACATCTAAAATATCTTTTAAAATTAGATAAAAACGCATACCAATTATTTTTTTTAAAAATTAGGCTTTCCATATGCCAGTAATGCGCGATACACGCTTAGGCGATCATGTATCTTTTGATACATGTCTGACGAGGCAGATTTTTTTCCCGCAGTAGATTGCCATTTCTTTCTGCGGTATACCAGTTGACATCATAGGCTATAGAACCCTGCTATTTATCCACAGGTATTAACACGTAAGTGAATGTAATAGATTTAACTGGAATTCGAACTCGGCTCTCCGATTCCTCAATCCTCGAGCCGCTATCCATTACTGCACCGTGCCTCCGATGATGTCGTTTATAGGAGAGATATAATTCTTTGTGGAGGTTAACTAAAAGGAATTAGAAGACTTAAGGGGCCTTGACAAAGGAATTATACTCCTCTAAGAATATTAGAATACATTTAAATTAGATAAAAAGCGTGGAACAAAACAAGTATCAATGCAAATAGAATAATAACTAAATTGGTATCTTTCTGTCAGGATTTTTTTTACAAAAACTGGCAGCACACAGCATGCATTGGCGTTGGGAACGAGTTCAGCGAATATACAAAAATAGAAAATGGCGTAAGGCAAGGATGCGTCTTCTCACCCGACCTGATCAACCTATACAGCGAGAGAATTGGAAACCCTGTCAGGATTTAGCATTAGCGGCCACAATCTTAATAACATAAGATACGCAGATGACACAGTACTGATAACAGATACGGAAAAGAAATTACAAAATCTCCTACAGAAGGTAGCGAAGGAGAATGAGAAGAAAAGACTAAGCATAAACTACAAGACAGAATGCATGGTCGTCAATAAGAGGATGAACCCGAAATGCAATTTGAAGGTCGGGAACACTAGAGTCAAACAAACGCGGAAGTTTAAATACCTGGGAAGCGTCTTGACAGAGGGCGGTAGGTGTGTCCAAAAGATGGACAGAGTATTGCGAGACAGGAGGATATCTTTGGTAACAAAGAAAAGAATATCGAACTGTTACGTGACATCTGTTCTTCTTTACGGCAGCGAATGTTGAACGATTTCCTCAAAGATGAAGAAGAGACTCGTGGCGACAGAGATGTGGTTCTACAGAAGGATACTAAGGATATCATTGACCGAACGTGTGAACAACGATGATGTTTTAGAGAGGTTGCAAACAAGGAGGAGGCTTATACGTAATATCAGGAAGAGGCAGCTGAAGTTTCTGGGACACATAATGAGGAAGGAGAGCCTGGAGAATCTGATACTCACAAGTCGAATAGAGGGAATGAGTGACAAGGGAAAACAACGCGTGACATGCCTGCCAGACTTAAGCAAGTGGATAACAGAACGTGGTCTGGGGGAGGTGGCAGAGAGCAGGAACTTGTTGAGAGCTGCAAGGGATAGAGGGGAGTGGAGAGCCATGATCGCCTACATCCTGAAAAGACATGGCACATAAAAAAAGCGAAGGACAGTGTCCTGATTAATAAATTTAAGAAATGTGATGAACAGAATTGACCACTGAGGTATGTAATAGCATACATATTCTTTTGTACTTTTACAGGAAAAAAGGGAGTGCTTGACCCCTGACTGCACAGAGACAGTTTATTGCTCTGTCTTTGTGAGGTTGACTTGAAGACTAAATTTTATCTTTTCATCTCGGAGGTTCCTATAGTAAGGGTAGTTTGGAATTTAGCAGGTATTTATTGGTTAAAAATAAACAAAGGGCATTCATTAATTAACTATGATTAATTTTAATAATTTACTATTGTTATTATTTTATTTTGTTAAATTTATTCCAATCAAACAAAAAGATTCAGAAATAGCTGAAAAAAAAAACAGTGACTTCATTTTGGATAAAGTGTGAGGTGTAACGTTTTTTTGTATTTATTTTGTTAAAGAGGATACAAGATTACAGGAAAATACAAATCAAGTTTAGTTTAGCGGTGTAAATAATTTTCTATATGATTGTTACACTTATAATTTAGAGAGATAGATATATTTTTAATATATATGTATATACTGATACATGACTTTCTTCATTGAAACACACGAGACGTTTAAAATGATTTTAATCACGCTCAATAAACGAAAATAACAATGTTATTGCGTGTGGAAATGTCCACATTAGAGATATCAAAGCTTTGCAGAGATTAAGAAGATATCATAGTATCGTAGAAAAATGAATAGAAGATATCTTCTATTCATCGTAGTATCGTAGAAAAATGAATAGAAGATATCTTCTATTCATCGTAGTATCGTAGAAAAATGAATAGAAGATATCTTCTATTCATCGTAGTATCGTAGAAAAATGAATAGAAGATATCTTCTATTCATCGTAGCATCGTAGAATTAATGGGTTAATTAGCAAGCCTTGTATCAACCATATCTCCAAAAATAAAACTCTTACAATCTAAAAATATTTTCTGGCTTTAAATAAACTGCAAAGGGTTGATAAGCCGTAGAAAACGAATCAATCAAAAACTGATTAGCTACCCAAGCATGTCTTTTAGATTTATTTACATTCTGTGGAATATAAATGTATAGAAACTACTGTGGTCACAAAGTGAGGGATCAGTTCATATATTGATCGTAATATACAATTGATCCCTTACTTTGTAACCTCATTATAATTTCTCGTGCATTTATCAAATTTTGATTAGGTATGAATCCACCCCTTCTCCCCCAGCTATGGGTTAATTAGTAAGAATTGTATCAAGAAAATCATAATTATCTCTAAAAGAAAAATTCTTACAATCTAAAAATATTTTCTGGCTTTGAATAACCTGCAAAGGGTCGATAAGCCATAAAAAACGAATCTCTAGTGTTCTCAATACATTAGTCTTACTACAGGTGTAGGTAACTACATTTTTCTATCCATATAGGATCAGCTATGTCTCACCCCCAGTTACGACCCGAAAATATTCCTCCGGCCTTTCTGCATTAAAATTACTAAACTTAATGTGAAACTATTTATTTATTAAAAACAATGTATATTTTCTTCTCACTGTTCTCTCTTTTTTTTTTTTTTCAGGGACCATATGTGATCATCCCAACATCACCCACGCTGTATATTTTACAGCGAAGAGTGTTTTTTACTTTAATGAATCTCTGAAAATTGGATGCTTGGAGGGTTACAAGTTGGTTGGAAATTCGAGTATAACATGTCTTGGACACGGAAATTGGTCTACTTTGCCAACCTGCGAAAGTAAGTGAACCATTGGTTTCATTCAGACAATTTCTCTTTATTAGGAAAAAAATTTCCGAATTTTCTGGTTTGATGTAATATGGCAAGTATAATTTAGTAACCCCGTGCTATTTTCTTTGTCTTATTGTCTTTTATTGCAATTTTTACTTCCGACTGACTGCAGTTTTCCCCAACTGTATACCACTTTCGATAACAATCCAATCAGTCGATTGTCAGACCAATATAACATCATCGCTTAAGGCGTGTAATTCAAATGACCATGCAAAGTTGATTTCTATTACTAAACTATGTATATCTATCTTATAATCGTGATACTTAGCATACCTAACTACCAATGCGATGCTAGTCGGAAGGCGCGAGATTTGAGCTGTAGGCAGGGTGTTCGCGCACTTCCAAACCCCAAATGTTTAATGATTTCAACAGTCTAGCCGGCCGCATGTTGCCGTGTGTTTTCATGTAGCCTCAAAACTTTCTTCAATAATAGGCTTCGGTGTTTGGTGCAAATTTCTAGCCTCGGATTGTTGACCAGAATTCCGACCAGAGAAATCGGACCATTGTTCTTTGTTCCTCCTTGGGTTACACTGCCAGCGGAGCGGCCATGTTTAAACAGTAACAGCAGGAAGAAAACTAGCACAGTCAAGCTCAAACTTCGATCATAGATATGTGACTACTCTTCGGGGCGGAGTTGAACAGAATAGTCCAACTCCACTCCGAAAACTAGGTATCTACGTGACCACGAAACTGAAAAATGAGCCTGACGAAAATACTGTCAGTTAAGTGAAAAAAAAAACCAACTTTTTCATATTAATTCCATTAAAACTCTATCTCTTTTTTCTATATTAAGCACTCTATCACAAAGTCTGCTTGCCTTAAATGCCTATCAGCAAACACTGAAAAAATCAACAATTTTGATTTCAAGAGTGTCTGTCAATCTAACATTATATATATATATATATATATATATATATATATATATATATATATATATATTACATAAATATGAAACTCAATTGTACCCCAACTTTCATGGCCATTTTGCCCCCTGCAATAATCTCCCTGTGGGATTGTCAATGCTAAAAATTTGTTAAATTATATATATATATATATATATATATATATATATATATATAGAGAGAGAGAGAGAGAGGGGGGAGAGAGAGGGTAGTTGAATGGATATGACTTTGTGACTATCAGTTATGCGATCCTAAAACTATTTGTCTGGGGATCGCATAAGCTGGAAACCGACTATCACACAATCACGCCCATTCAATTAAATATTTTAGCTCTATCAGTGATAATGAGCGCTTTTCCAATAAGCACACACACACACACACACACACACACACACACACACATATATATATATATATATATATATATATATATATATATATATATATATATAGTCATCCACAGACAGACTGTTTCGCATCTCATCAGTGCGGCTAGATATCCGATCGCTTCAGGCTGAGGCCGAAATCCGAGCTATTTGGTATCAGTAGGAGATTCTATCCCCTAGGCTATCGACGTCCGATAGAGAGAAAGGCGAATTGTTGCGTATTTATTTTTTCATAAACACTCATGTCACTCAGAGAACTCAATCGCTAAGAGAGTTTTGCATTATCGGCACTAATAGTGACTGTTTACAAATTCATTACTCCCCACAGTGCTTGACTTATTAAATTATTTTAACGAGAACTAATATCCTCATCCACAGACAGAGTGTTTCGCTTTATCAGAGCTCCTCGGTGTGACTAGACATCCGCCGATCGTTATATATATATATATATATATATATATATATATATATATATATATATATATATATCAGTTTTGTGCGACCCGTTTCGTACCTTAGGTCTTCATCGGATTAAATTTGTTTATATCGATGTGATTATTACAATGTGCGATATTTAATAACAAAATGATAGAAACGTAAGCAAAAAAAAAAAAAATATAACTGAAATCGTCTATATATATATATATATATATATATATATATATATATATATATATATATATATCAAAGCATATATTTAAATTTAAGAAATTAATATTTTAAATTTTCAACGTCACGCTTTTCCTTTCGTATGCCTGTTTCGTTTAATCATCGTAAATATAACTTTTGTCCGACAAAGTCCTAGTAGTATAAAAGTATCACATGAAAATATTTTCCACTTTGTCAAACATATTTCCCCTAAAATTTTCCACATTGCCATACATCTTTCCCTAAAATTTTCTACTTTGTCATACATATTACCCCTAAAATTTTCCACTTTATCATACATATTTCTCCTAAAATTTTCCACATTGCCATACATCTTCCCCTAAAATATTCCATTTTGCCATACAAATTTCCCCTAAAATTTTCCACTTTGTCATCCATATTTCCCTTAAAATTGTTCTTGATAGATAAAAAATTGTCATATTTTGTATCTATATATATAATTTAAAATCTTTTACTTTCAACCTACTCTGAAAAATTACATGAGGATGTATTTTAAATTCATTTCAGAAAAGTTTATATGAATGTTTATATGAATGTTTATATGAATATTTATATGAATGCTTATATGAATGTTTATATGAATGCTTATATGAATGTTTATATGAATGTTTTGCTTTCAAACCATTCTCAAAGTAGGATTAAATTCAACAAAGAAAACCTGGGGAAATGTATAAATAAATTTCGACGCGAACTAGAAAATTGTCACGAAAAGATACAAAATGAATATGAACGACTTTTGTTACAGGGAATGGGACGTTCCGGCGTTGCCGATTCGGCGTTGCCGATTCGGCGTGGCCGATTCGGCGTGGCCGATTCGGCGTGGCCGATTCGACATAGGAATTTTTCGGCAGAGGGACGATTAGATGTTAGATTACTACTTCGTCGTTATATGCTCCAAAGAGTATTTAGAGGCATTTTTATCTTTAAGAAAATAAGTAGTTGGAGGCAATCTTCGCCCGCAAGCATTAAGTGATAATGCAACAAGGGAACAGGGTTATAGCGAATGAAAGAGAGTAAGAATAATTCATTGAAGTGATGGGTATGACGATAAACTGCATCCGCGTCCTGGGTAAGACGATAAACTACATCCGACAGCAAGGCTTCTGATCAAGAGGTTTTGATGAGCGTGAAACCACGTCTTAATTGCTGCTGTTCCCAGGTCCACAACTGGCAACTGTTAGGGTCCCAACTATGGGAAAATAGTTAACCTCCAACTGGTGTCCAAACAGTATAAAAGTGTAAGAATAGGTTTTAATACTAGTAATAAATTTTTGAGTAAAGATTATTACCAGCAATACATTTTTGGGGAAAATATTACCAGCAATAAAAATCTTGTCGGCATTAGATAGCCCATTGAGGTTGATATACCGTAAAACAAACAAAACTAGCCAAACCAGCTCTCTCTCTCTCTCTCTCTCTCTCTCTCTCTCTCTCTCTCTCCCTCGTTTAGTAGTCAAATTAGTACTTCTTTGTTATATGCTCTAATAGTCCAATTTAAGAAAAAGAGTAAGGAAATTTACATTTTTCCATTAGTGTTTTAATAAAATCTTTAATTCTCTAAATGAATAAAATGTCATATTGAAAGTTGAGTTTTTTCAATGCTTTTATCCGTTTTTATGGGGATTGCCTCCGGTCAAAGACAGTGACACCGAAACAGTCTGACGCCTAAAGGGCTGTGCCGAATAGTCCAATTATTTTTCTGACGCCGAATCAACCACGGCAAAGGGACTACACCGAAACGTACAAAACACTTTTTTACAATGTCGCACAATTTCATTTTTTCTTTCATCACAACAAACGACCGCTTAGCAGAAAAATTACTAATGATTTATTATTTAACTATTTTTTATAAATCACAAAATTTTTAACCTTCTGCTCCTGCATTCGTCAGTGTTTTTCTTTCTTTCTTTCTTTCTTTCTTTCTTTCTTTCTTTCTTTCTTTCTTTCTTTCTTTCTTTCCTTCAAATGATATCTCCGAAAGACAGTTAAAGGTTTATTCTTTTCCTTTTTCTCTTCCTCCTCCCTTTTTCTTTGGGGTCGTCTCAGCTGATCCTTTTCTCGCTCGCATGCTGGACCCAATTCTAATTATCTTCTAGCATTCTGCTCTGTAAGCCACTTGACCAATTTGAAATTTTCATTACTGCCATGGGCAGATTGCTATTCGCCGCGTCATGGCATAAATTAATTCTGACAGATCCGAGATCTTACGAATTTCCTATCTTCTGCGGAAAAAATACTTTTTTCGCAAATGAAAATATAATCTTTACCCACTTTTTTTTTTGTTAAAAAAAATAACATCGCTCAGTATGTCTTTCGTGATAGCTTCTTCTCGCCTTGAGTATTTCTCGCTTTTAATTTCCACGCTTAATTAGTTAGCCAAACGCTAAATAGTGTCACAGTTGTAATACTGTGGCCGAATTAGTTAAAAAGCACGTCAGGCTATATGACGGTTCCGTATAGGATACAGGTTCGAATCCTGTCGGAGGACGAATATTTTCTATGAAAATTTCTCGGACATTCAGGCCGGTAAATGTTGTTTAATACTGTTTATTATAAACAGAACATTTACTTAAATATTTGTATCTATAAAAAGAATGTATAAACATGAAAAGTAGCGATCACATGGTGGTACCTAATAAAATGTCTTAATATATATATATATATATATATATATATATATATATATATATATATATATATATATAAAATTCAGGTATTACTTGCCCTCCCAAATTTAACTATAAACGCATTTATTGTTAAATGCTCTTTGCAGTTAAGTATCTCGTTTGACATTCAACTAGATGAAAATATATCTGGTTAATATATTAGTATATATAATACAAGTGTATTTTATACATGTTGCATTGAACCAGACTGACAAGGGAGTTTGTTTATTTTTTATGTGTTTCTTTTAAGCGTATAAGCGTATGTTTTTCTGTACACTTCTTAATTTTTTTTCGCTCTCTGTCTAGTTCATTCCAGCTAATTCTATGAGTGGCTTCAAATATTTTAACTGCAGAGTGTGTGTGTGTGTATCTATCTCTGACTATGTGCTTCTGTTTACAGTTTATATATATATATATATATATATATATATATATATATATATATTCATACACGTTTCATTAAATAATATAGACACTTGTCTATATTATTTAATGAAACAATGTATAAAATGAAAAGATGCTGCCTAAATACACACAATATATATATATATATATATATATATATATATATATATATATATATATATATATATATAATACTAATAATCTTATAAATATAAGCAGCTATACTCGCCTGGCAAAACCTTAGGTGTTTTAGCTTGTAAATGGACAAACCAATCCCCAAGGGAAAGAAAGGGGGTAAAAAAAGAAGGAACTAAGAACATGTACTTGCGACGAAAATAATCGTCTAGACACGAGTAAAGTAAAAATAACTAAGCAAAGTGCTCAATACGCTAAGTAGAGCAAATCTAACTACGAACCTAAAGAGCCAGGCAAACCTACCTAGGTTTCATCTACGCGGATCGTCAGGGTAAATTCATATATATATATATATATATATATATATATGTATGTATATTTAACAAATGTTTTAGCATTGACAAGGCCCAGGGAGATTATTCCAGGGGGGCAAAATGGCCATGAAAATGGGGTACAATTGAGTTTCATTTTTATGTAATATATATATATATATATATATATATATATATATATATATATATATATGGTGGGTGAAGTTAACATTACAATTATCTTCGCTTTTACCTGCGATTTGAGAAAAAGATCACTAAAGATGGCAATATCTTTTAGTAATTTTTTGTGACATTGTTTCTTTTTTTCTTCCTTTATTTTTATTTTTCTATTTGTCATAAATTTCTGATTTTTCTTTCGTTCCAGTTGGCACCTGTCCTCCTGTCATTTCAAATACAGGAGTGGTGAATCCATCCGGTGTAACACAATATGGGCAAAATGTTTCGATCACATGTACCCTTGATGGGGTTCAAACTGTAAAGTACAGATATTGCGTGTGGAATCAAGAGAATAAAACCTTCACAACCGTAGGGTATTCACCTGACTGTCCAGGTAAAATTAATGATTTTTATTATTTAATCTTATTCGGTTGATGTAAAGGTATGCAGGTCTATTTTGTACCTAACGAAATAGTAGAAACGTCTTGCTTTGAGTCGGAACAGTTCTTTAGTGTTTGTTTAATCAGTCAACATGTAGTCGTACAACATTCAGAAGTATATATCAAGCATGGCCTCAAGACAACTCTTCTCGACGATCTCCTTGTTTAAGTTTGCGAATGCTGCCGTAATCCTTGCCTTCAGTTCATCTTTGGCATTATGAGGAGTTTTGTTAGTCTCTTGCTCAACAGCACCCCACGCATAATACTCAAAGGGTAGCAGTCTGTTGACTTAGGTGGCCAGATGTAAGGCGTGATGTGGTTGCAGAAATTATCTGACAGCCATGACTGGGTTTTCCTGCTTGTGTGGCATTGTGCAGAGTACTGTTTCCAGATATAGTGTTTGTCCAGCAGCCACTCTCATGTCCCAGGATAACACTACCTCCTGAAGTTTAGGCCTACCTCCTGAGGTTTAGGCCTTCGTGTTGAGTTTAAAGCTCCTGGGGAAGCTGAATGAAGGAATAACATCACTAGTGATCACTCCAACACCATGATGTTGACTAAATATATCATCCAAATCTTTCCGAATTCTTTGCACTGTCGTCAGATTGACACCCAAACATTCTTAAATGTTCGTATTGGAGCTTCCGGCGCGAATACCAAACAGTAGAATATGCCGTTTCAAAATTTCTGGTGGAATGAATTGCGTTATGGTGCACATTTTTTCATAGTTGGGGCCCAACTGACCCTATTGTACTGTGCCGTCGACAAAATCGAAAACAAACAACACGCATGAACGAAATTAAAAATATAAAATTTCGACAATTTACTCATCGCATATGCATATATATATATATATATATATATTTGAAAATATTTTTGAAGGTACAAAATCTAATTACAGAAATGAAAGTGTGTAGCTTAATATTGCAAAACATTTTAAAAGCTAAATAACTGGTTTCGCTCCCGCTCTTCAGGCCTCTACTGCAGATTTAACTTAAATTAAAACAAAAGAAAATGTGTAATGAGAAGGAGAAAGAACAAAAAACTGTACTGACTACATAGTGAGAACTACTCAACGCCTGGACAAGAGAATTAAACAACATATTCCCACTAAGATCAGGAATCACACCTTGTCTTTGAATTGACGTGTCCCAAATACCTATGGTTCTGACATATGCAAGCATCTTTATAAATAAAAGCAAAAATACTAAAAAAAGTTCGGATTATTTACCTAACGAGTTCTTTCCTATATATTTACACACACACACACACACACACACAAAACACACACACACACACACACACACACACACATATATATATATATATATATATATATATATATATATATATATATATATATATATATATAATTAAAATTAGAGTAAAAAGAAAAGCAGGCAACTTTTAAGATTCCAATAGGTTATAATTTTTTTTTTCCTAGGATTTTCTTGTTCCCTGGATCATCAGACCTCACCTCCAAATAGGAAAAAATTGAATTTAAACTTACACTTTTAAGGGTTAGTATTCAGCCGATGTAAGGTGATATAGAGAGGGGTGAGAGATACTGTAACAGACATGGTCGAATTTAGAGAGGGAAGAGAGAAATGGTAATGCTCTTAAAAGTGTCAGTTTCAATTCATTTTTTTTATACTTGGAAGTGAGGTCTGATGATCCAGGGAACAAGAAAATCCCTGGAGAAATAATTCATAACCTTATGGAATCTTAAAGTTGTTTGGTTTTCTTTTAACTAAATTATGCGCTCTGATTTGACATTGAGCTCTCTGAATTTCATCCTACTTGGGATTATCCACACGGATTACCAAAATTTTCATTACTATACATAGAAATATATATATATATATATATATGTGTGTGTGTGTGTGTGTGTGTGTGTGTGTGTGTGTTCTCGTATCAATTTCTTAATATCGATATGAAATTGACGGAGAAAGACGTTGTTGCTCTTTTCCCAAATACTCTCAATCTCATCTAAAATATTTATAACAGCATCATTTAAAAATATCTAAATTCTAACTGTTAAAAGCTCCAATTAAAACAATATTTCAAAACACGTATCTGTCTATATTTCTGAAATGAGGTATTATGTACACAATTTACATTATTCGGACTGCTGTCCTCATTTTGTCGCCATATTGATTACAACGTTTCGTCCATTGTATGCTCCGACCTTCTTTAGGTGGTTGGGAGTTATCTCCGCTGACAGGATCCAAAGAGCTGCGAGTTCAATGCCTGGTTAAGGCAGTGGAGAACTTGGAGAGGGGAATTAACAGGAGATAACTGATAACTGACATCCATTATACATGGCACGTGGAACTAGAACAGTCTACCCCTGCGAGCGAAATAAAGGGTCCAGTTCGACATTCCAACCAACTGAAGGTGGCCAGAGCATACAATGCCCGAAACTTTGTGATAAATATGGCGACAAAGATGAGAGCAATAGTCCGAATAATGCAAATAGTGTGAATAAAACAACAATTTAAAAATCTAAACCCCAATGTGTATTTGCAATTTTTGATAAGAAATTAAATAAAATAGTGTTAGTAATAGAAATAAATCCACAATCCCTAATTGTGGCAGAAACATCAGTTAATTTGACGAAATCAAAGCGGGACTTTGATAATTAAAAACAATCACTCAAATCCGCCATGATACCTGAAAATCCTGATTAAGTCCTAACTAGACCCCATATGCATAATTTCTGTGGTGGGAGTGGGGAATAAAACAACAATGTCTGTCTATATTTCTCAGATTAGGTATTATGTACACTATTTATCAGTTGTTTCTTGTTAATTCCCCCCCTCCAAATTCACCACTGCCTTGTCCTGGTATTGAACTCACAACTCTTTGGGTCTTGTCACTGGACCTAACCAACGCCTTTATCCACAGTGCTCAAGGGCATCTGTGTATGAATTAACAGGAGGTAACTGATAAGTGACATCGATTAAAACATAGTACGTGGAACTACGCCAGCGAGCGAAATAAAAGGTTCAGTTCGACATTCCAACTACCTGAAGAAGGCCGGAGTGTACCTTGTGATAAATATAGCAACAAAGATGAGGACAATAGTCCGAATAAGGTAAATAGTGTTCAAAAGCACTATTTAAATATTTGCATGTAAATTTATTAAAACCATATAAGGCACTTTTCAACTTTGCTTGATGGGAGGGATGCTCTTCATACCTGGGTCGGTATAATGATATTCTAAGCGAAGCTTAGATGTGACCTAAAAGCCAAAATATGGCGCACCCAGTGAAGTTCGCACTCATTTATCAGTCATAATTGATCTAGTGAGATCTTGCACCACCTGGAAGTACATAAAGCTGAATCAGGATAATCATGTCGTATCTAACGACAGGTTTCTCCTTCCAGGGCTTGCAGCATGTTCGAATCCTGTCAGAGAGCACATATTTTTCTTTAGTAAGATTTCTCGAATATTCAGGCCGGCAAATGAAAATAAATAAATATAGAGTTTAATAAATAAACGGAGCGTCTACTCAAATATGGGCATCCACTATAAATAACTTTTAAGTAATAAAATGCCTGATGGATTAAAAAAAATACTACTTCATAGTGGTTAAAGGCGTTGTTTAGATCCAGTGACAAGATCCAAAGAGTGTGCGTTCAATATCCGGTTAAGGCAGTGGAGAACTTGGAGAGGGGAATTAACAGGAGATAACAAATAACTGACATCCATTAAATATGGCACGTGGAACTAGAACAGTCTAACCCAGTGAGCGAAATAAAGGGTTCAGCTCGACATTCCAACCACCTGAAGAAGGCCGGAGCGTACAACGGCCGAAACGTTGTAATAAATATGGCGACAAAGATGAGGGCAATAGTCCGAATAATGTAAATAGTGTTCAAAACACGTAATTACAATGTTTAATAAGAATTTTCATAGATTAAGTTACCCTTCATAAATAGCCTTAAAATTTTCGAATTTTACGGCGTTCATGCGCACAAATATTCATAGCTTAGATTAATTATTTGTCTTAGCAGTTCACCGAATGAAGAATATTTTACTGAGATTGATAGTCCTTGGGAAAATTAAAAATATATAAACAGGTACAGATTTTCCACCATCAATCTCATATCGAAAGTAAGAAATTGATACGCGAATATGAGAAGATTAAAATAAAAATAGACATAATATGTCTAGACTCTTCAATCAAACATGACTAAATGAAGATATGCTGCTTATATATATAATGCATTATTTTAATACCTATTCTCGGGTGGTGTGAAAAATAAAACCCAGATAATACATTTTTAAACAAATATTTGAACAAACCGATATCTGGGAAAAAAATTCAGTAAAAAAAGAAAAGACTAAAAATATCCGTGTTGGTTGAAAATAATCAATCAGCATCGCAATGCCTAGTCAAAAGAAAAAATAAAACCCTGACAGAGTAAATTAAGTAAAAACGCAAAAGTGCTCAATATACTAAGAAGAGCAAAATCTAAAAAAATAAAATAAACACTAGTAGTACCCTGAAGATCCGTCAGGTTAAACCTTGGTAGGTGGATTCTGGCTCACTAATTTATATATATAACTATATTTTATCATATATATATATATATATATATATATATATATATGATAAAATATAGTTAACGTATGTTACATTTATGGTGGTAAAGTGCTCAAAATCAGGGATAGAGCGTATGTAAACATAAAAGTGGACATTGAAATCAACACCCAGCTGCGACAGTCTGTTTCATGCTAAACGCAGTCGTCAGGTCATGTGCATTGTCGAACTCTCCCGTCGTATTCGACGTATGAGAGCCAAGCATCTCTATTCCTAAGAACCGACAGCCCAAACACCAGTACATATGATTTGATTATAGTGGTGAAGGCTTTGTGCAGAACCAACCACACTTTTTGAAGGGCCGAATACAGAGACCTGGTGTTCTACGTGCCACAAGGTCCCCAAACAATCCTACACAGGTTTTGAATTCAGGGTTGTCCTTTTCCTAGACCAGTTGTCATCCAAGTCTATAGGTCCCAGTCTGTCCTGATTTTTAGGGAGAAGAGGATTAATACCTATCCCAAGTGTATTAGCACGTAAGTGAATGTAATGGGTTCTACTGGAATTCGCTCAATCCGACCTGCTATCCACTACAACACCGTGCTTCTTCATATGCTATATATATATATATATATATATATATATATATATATATATATACACACTGTGTGTTTTGGCCGTGGATGCGATAAGATAATTTGATTTATGGTCCCCACTTATCTTCACAAATCCCAATGCATTTTCCTTACATACAGTTTTACTTTTCTTTCATTCTAACCTGAAGAAGCCAGAGACAATAGACGTTCTCAGCGAAACGCGTCGTTTAATTGCTTTTTTACTTTGTCTCATCTTCTTCACATAACATTTATAGAAACAAAAAATAGATTTATTAAATTAATTCAAAAAAAAGAAAATCGGATAATATTTCAAGCCATGACTCAACATATCCTTCTTGTTTCTTTCATATATTTTTCATCTATCGTATTAATTTGATGAAAAGCTTCGAAAATGTTGTTTTTAAATTCTCTTAATTTTATAACTTAATAGCATAATTATTTAATCAATCCACCTAACAAACACTCGTTTCGTACCATCACCGAAGTTAAATAACATCTGGTCTTCATGGGTGACCTCTTGAGATTATCAGGTGCTGTAAGCTTGAATGTGCGTGCGGTGTAATGGGTAAGTACATGTTTGTGGAAACGTTTTAGAAATCTATCAAGGTTGGAAAGTGAAAATTGGTCAGCTTCAACCCAGACTCAATTTTAAGTCTAATTTGACTCTTGTGAAAGGCAGTGCAGAAACACTCAGGTACTTACTGGGGAGATAAATTGGTAATGTAATATTATATGGAAATATTCGTCGTTAATTCATTGAGAAGATTAGTGGTTAAAAATGGCTTTCATTGAGAAGTCTGTGTGTCTTGGCGAAGACCACAGTTCTTTGGACCTTGTGTTTTGGCGTTATAGATTCACAAAGAACTATGCCATTAAATAACAGGAACATTCCTTGAGGACTTCTAATGGCACTAACGGCTAAAATATGTAGCACATATAACCCTAAGAGAAAATAATAACATAATCAAGATTCTGGCCTTCCAGTTTACTTCAAATAAAAGATTAGAAAGGTAAGGTAATATTAGAAGTAGCGAAAATAGTTAATGAACTTGAGAAATCTATTGTCCTTATTGTGCTAGCCACACTTTTGGACTGACACGAATAAGAAGCGTACACTCAATACAATAAAGATATTTATTTACATGAAATACAACGGTTAAAACAAATATGTTAGGCAGACTTACTCATCTGATGAGTGAACTATGGCTTGGTACCTTGTACCCTTAAACCTTCGGAAATTTCTTCCGTGTTATCTCGGAGCAGGTCCGGTTCCCTCTTTTCTGGTGGTCAACTTTTTCTGAACCCACGTGGTTTTCTTAACCAATGAGAGACCTCCTAAGATCATGTGACCAATCTCTCTATATATAGGAGTAGACGAATTTCACAAACCCAACATCCTAAAAGATTGATTTAATAGAAAGAATTAATGCCGAATGTTTCCTTTTAATACCAACATTACCATTTCTTGTCCCCAGAAAGCACCTGACTATTACGGCTCTTCACGGCTTTATATACACTCCTGGTCAAAATCTTAAGACCAGATACAAAAGGGTTAAAAAAATATAAAATACTGTTACTTTAATCAAAATATACTTGCGAAACATTTACATTTATTTAGGAAATGTAGTTTATCAACAAACAAGTGGACATTTTAAGCTTTTAACTGATTAATTTAAACAAACATTGAAAAAAGGATTTTTTGGTTGGTCATAAAGATAAGACCATGTAAATAAAAATAGCAAATACAGAACAAATAAGTCACAACGACAATTTAATTCTCAGCATATCCTCCATTTTGGCGAATTACTTCGAAAATTCACTTTGGCATATTCATTATTTACTTCTTATCACCCTGTAGTATCAATATGCATGACAAGTTCGTTTCCATCTAAGGGAGATAAATTCTTAATTTCATTTAATGGGAGGCTTTTCTTTTGACTTGTCTTTTACTTGCTTATGAAAAAGGGTAGGTCATTTTAAAAACAAAAATGGTGGTATCTTCACGATTAGCTTAAATGAAGATTCGGAGGAAAAATAATTAATAAAAGAAAGAATAAAAAGTCACAGATGTCAAATCAGGTCTCCTAGCTGGTCACTCATACATAAAATAAGAAGTTACTTTTCAATCACCTTGTAGTTCAACTTCTATTTCTTTCTTCCCATCAAAAGCATACTTAACTGGCCCAGGGATCCGTCCCTGTGCTGGTGGTATCACGGCTACGACTAGCCAAGACCAGCTATGACAAGCCAAGATTAGCTATGACTACCTTAGACCAACTCTGACCAGCTTGGACAAGCTATGACTAGCTAAAACCAACTTAGACCATCGGCCCGAGTGAAAACACTCGGGTCCCCACGTTAAAATTTGACCTTGTGTCACAACTTGACTCAGTGGGGAGTCAAGTTAATCTCTTCTTCCCATCAAAAGAAAGCAAGAGTTCACCAACAGAGTACAACGAATAGTTACAAAGAGCGCACTGTTTCGCATCTGTTTTTTATTAAAATATCTTTTTTGTGTTCATTAATGAATTCTAAGTATGTTACTGATGTCAGAATATTTCAGTGTTGTTCAATTCAAAGAAAATGTTTATTAAATTTTGATATACAATATGCGTCAAAAGTAACGCTCTTTTTGGTGCCAACTGAATTTTTATGCAAGCGTTAGAAATGAGGATTAAATTTTAGTAGGATGTTGTGTTGACCGAATATGGCTTCCGCAATTAGTTGGCGATACGTCTCCAGCTAAGCTAGTCGAACTCTCTGCTTTAGGGCAGAGAGGAACCCAGACGAGGCTAGGGCGAATGGCAGAGTATCGTCTGGGGTGGTAGACAGCTTTTTTTTACGGGGTCTACGGGGAATTTTTGCCCAAGTCTACGGGCTCAGATACCACAGTTTAAATCCGGCCTTGTGTCACATCTGACCGCGTGGAGCGGGTGGCAAATAATCTTATGCGTTGGGTAATGGTTAAGTCTTAATTTCGAGCTGAGGTGGATAGGACGACGTAGAGAAATTGAGGGACCTTCACAATCATGAGACCTAACAACAACAGACATTTTTTTTTTTTTTTTTTTTTTTTGCTGAGTCTACTGGAATATCTTTTTACAGGCTTGAACCGAAAATAATTCCTGAATTAAAATAAGCGATTTCTGATATGTTTTCTAAAATTAATGTAGAAATATTGTCATGTTATTTGTAGAAGAATTGCTGTTCGGATTCAGCGTTACTTTCTTAAACTACAATAAATTATTTTTCTTCAATAAAAGTTAATAAGTAAAAAGGGTGGCACTTTTGCCGCACCTTGTAGGTTTTGAAAATTTAATGTTTCTTTCAACTTTTTACCTATACAGTGATTGATTGTGGTATACCAGAAGCAATTCCAGGAGCCGCTCCATACGGATATAATTGCACCGAATATCGTTGTTCATTTGATTTTGCATGCCTCCCACCTTTTACTAGTCATGGAAACACCGAGCATAGTAATGGTGTCACTGTGGTATGCAACAAAAAAAGCAGATGGGAGATCGGTGATATAACTTGTAAAGGTAAATCTTATAAAGTTTTTATTCCTTACATATATTTTATTCCTTACATTACATATATATATATATATATATATATATATATATATATATATATATATATATGGAGAGGAGAGAGAGTATGTGTGTATTCAGTTATATGGATATTAGTTTGTGACCCTGAGTTTCACACATTTTTTGGTCATCAGTTTGTCTGATGATCACAAAAGCGTGAATCTCATGGTAACTAAATATGATAATTTTATCACTGATATTGATCACTTTCGTCCTACGAATATTTTCTGTGAAAATTTCTCGGACATTCAGGCCGGTAAAATATTGTTTAATACTGTTTATTATAAACAGAGCATTTACTTAAATATTTGTATCTATAAAAAGAATGTATAAACATAAAAAATGTCTTAAAATAATTGGCGGACCTTGTCAATTTTATAATGTGTGACGTCATTTGTTTACATTTGGATACGCTTTGAGCAGATATGAATGTACGTGAGAGATTTATGGAAGATGGAAGTTTAAAGACTGTTAAATCGACCTTGCTAACCGAACGCTTTTCTGTAGCCAAGTATAAGATACAGGTTCGATTCCTGTCGGAGGATGAATATTTTCTATGAAAATTTCACGGACATTCAGGCCGGTAAATATTGTTTTATACTGTTTATTATAAACAGAGCATTTACTTAAATATTTGTATCTATAAAAAGAATGTATAAACATAATAAAAATGCCTATATATATATATATATATATATATATATATATAAATTCATGAATCATTCATACAAAAAACAAATATAGAGGTTAGTGATTTAAATGGCGAGAGTACATCGTCGCAAACACATAAATAAGATACATCTACCCTGAATTTGTATATGAATGATATGATCCTTGTTTATAAATTCCAGGGCATAAGGTCTTTTTAATTTTTACAAGCTTTTGTCTGTTCCTACAGACATCATCAGTTATGGAAGTATATATATATATATATATATAAGGAAGAGGCCATAGTAGTTCCAACGAGAGAAAAGTGTGTATATTAAAAAGAAGAGAGAAACCGCAAACGTTTTTGGTTGTAATATGGATTTTTTTTTTTAAATATTATTCTTTATTTTCCATAATTTTGCTACACGTGTTTTCGGTCATCAGGCAATGGGTGGAGATTTCCACATATTATTAAAAATAATTAATTTTTTTCTTTATGTTTTTCGATGTTAAATATTCTCGATATGAGACCTTTTCTTTTTTTTGTGTTAGTAATCCAAACGTCTTTCTTGAACTGGCAGTGAAAAATTCTGCGTGAAAATTTATAAAACAATTAAGATTGGTTCAAGAAACGATGGAGTAGTTATCGGTATGCTTATCTTTTAATGACCCCTGTGTGTTCTTAGATCTATTTTCATTTTAGTGTGCTTTTGTCAGCCTGCGTGTATATATGTGTATATCCCATCTCCATATATACACACTCTCTTACTACGAGGAATCAGTGAACACATCTGTATACCCACACACATACACAAACATACACACACATACCGTCTCATTACAAGCAATTAGTACATGCACGAACACACACATACACACATACGTACATACAAATACTTTAGTTACATGGAATCAGTATACACACAAACCCATACATACACACATATATACGTACACACATACACACATGCTTCCTAAGTTGTGTGGGGTTTGTGTGCGTGCTTGTTAGTAGTTCTCCTGCTTTTGTCACTATGTGTATATGTATATACACATTCGTGACCCACAAACACCTGCATGTGAGTGTGCGTGCATGTTGTGTGCTTTTGCGTATGTGTTTATGATCTATTTAGTTCTGGTTTAAATTTGTTTATGAAGTTTTTTCTTGTATTTGTAGGTAAGAATAATTGCCTGTTTGATATATTGGCACAATTTCAATATATATATATATATATATATATATATATATATATATATATATATATATATATACCTACGTTTGATGTGGGACTCGAGCTTCGTTGGTTACCCAATTCATCGGGCACGAGATGTAGCTTATTGTTTATTTTTAAAAAAAAGTCTACGATCGCTAATATCTCGTTTGCTAATCATATACCTATCCATTAACAATAACACATTTCTAAAAAAAAAAAAAACATATTTCGATTCTCATTTCAACTTCCGTCTCATATGGTATCTGGATTTACGAAAAACAAAATAATTTCCGAGCCTGAGGATGACTGTATATACAGTTGAAAGTACTAGCAGATTAAAAAAAAGACCATACAGCTTGTAGTTATTAAAAACAAGGATCATAACATTCATCGAGTGGTTCGTAGGTTAATGCAACTTAATGCAAGATTTCGCCATTTTATATCATTAACTTTAGTAAACTACTTTTTGTATGAATGATTTATTGTAATATAAATTGAACTGCACCACATATTTTATATATATATATATATATATATATATATATATATATATATATAATGGGTGACTACTGATTTTCCAAGAATACCAGTCTGTTAGGAAGCTTAGATTTATTTGTGCATATTCAATATCAGAGCCCACCTGTACTTTATATTGCATTAATGCTGATAGGACTTTAGTTACAGTTTCTACTGGAGAGCGCAACGATTGTCTAGTTCCATCTATCCACTTTCGAGCCGTAGCAATATTGTACTTAACGTTTGTGCCACCCCTATAAGCTTCATTCCACAACCAAACAACATCTTCAAAATATAAAGAAAAATTACAATTACGGAAATTTATTTTACTTTGATTGCAGACAAAAAAAAAACGCTATTGCAAAATAAAAAGATAAAAAAATCAACTATATAATAATTATCAATGTGTATTCATTTATATATTTTCTGTCCCATCTGTAGTAGGAAAGGAGGTAAATCCATTTAAGTTACTAAACATATAAGCTATGATTTCCCTTAGTCGGTTTAAAAAACAATGCAAATATAATATTTATTTGTATTTAGACAAAATTAGTTCTCGAGCAAAATGAACTGTTTAATTAATCAGTTCCTTTACTCGTATATTTCTTTGCAGCCTTATTTGTTCAAGTCTTTCATGTGGGGTACTTAGATACCTTTAAGTATTAAGTGATCGTCTTCCTAAGCTTGATCGAGATATGGACTTTATAGTCAATGTCTTTGTCATTTCGTTTGTAATCTTTTTCTTCCGAGAGATATTTCCATATCACTGTTATATTAAACACGTAGCATATTTACCATGAAAAGTTATTGTGCAAAAATCGATTTATATAATAACAGGAATAATTAAAGGAACAGGCTTAAAAAAGAGAAGATGGTGATTGACATTGCATATGAATTTTGAAGATTATAGTTATCAAAGCAACAAGAAATCGGATAGGAATTCTAGATGTGGAAGTACGAGAAAAGAAACTGTTAGAATAAAAGTGGGTGATACAGCTAGCTATTTCAACATTAAAACGATGAGACCTAGCAGCCAATCTAGTATAGTAGTGCGCTTAAATTTATGTAGTCAGAGCACTAGGACAAAAGCTCATCAGAACAGTTACCATGAAAATATTTGTAAAAAAAAAATACAGGCGGCAGCCACGTTACGACGGTGAGAAAGTGACTGAAGTCAAGATGCCAAGCCAGGATCTATTACATTACAGAGCTTCCTTTGCATTTTGTCAAAAATCTCGAGATGTATAACAGGAGAACCATACAAGATATGACAAGATTCAATGCACGGACGAATGGTAGATTTGTAAAAGTGTAAGATGTAGTGTGATGAGAAAAAAACAAACTCTCTGACACAACACAGTGACACAACTTTCATTCCAGTTGATGCAGCTATCGATTCAACAGAGTCTCTCCACGTCAGTGGAAAATGTGAGACCAAAGTGTAGTGTGTCCAGTGTATTACTTAACTACAGAGTGAATTAAAGTAAAATCGCCTGAAATGAGATTTAAGGGTAAAGTAGGATTAGGGGGAAAATAACGACTAATTCACATAAACATCGCCCCGTCCACCATTTTGAAAAAAAATTCCAGCCCAGAGCAGACTGCCTATCCCGTACAGCTTTACGTCGGGTAATGTCTCAAGGATATTAATAGGATATTGTTAATTAACTTCGTTTGTTATGGAAACAGTAATATTAACAGTTTCCTTATAGAAACGGTTAATATTACCGTTACCACTCAGCATTAATTGACCAAGCAGCCAGAGCTCATGGTTTTTTTACACTCTGTGATCAAAGTGTAGAACCGTTTCTATTCAGCACATATGGTAATGATAATATTTAATTTATTTATTCTTTATAAGAAAACATTCTGGATTCATCGACCGAGCAGCCAGTTCAAATGTCACTTGAAATGCACAAAATCTTTCTATTAAAACAATTTTTTATGAAAACTATGTTCCTCTAGTTGATTAACTATTGTCATTCGTTCCAAGATTGGTGAGATTTCCTTGCTAAACCTTTGTTCAAATTACTATCCATATTAATTGTTGCTGCTAAAAAGTTAAAAGTCCTTATGTGACGTGGTTTTGATGATTTTGTACATTTTTTTTTGCGATTCTATAGCGCCAGGAGACAAGGTTCGCAACAATTCCTTGGAAGTTATTTTTATTTAATGATCATTCAAACATTTTGATTATGTCATTATTTTCTCGTTGAGTTATATGTGATATCCATTTTAGTATTTTTTCCGTTTTGAAAGTCTTCAAGTGATGCAGCTTCTGTTATTATTAGTTTTTTGTTCTTTACAGAAGTCTAAAAAGCCATACGAACCAAGTCATTTCTGATCTTATGGCTCTGGTTGGGATTCGGAAGGAAATGTGTATAAAGTTAAAAGTTTGGTTTTGTAACATCTTTCAAGCTTTAATACCTTGCATGAGGTGAAACTGATTAAAAACAATGTGTCCTTTTTTTTCAAGTTTCTAAAAATATCAGCTACTAAGAAGGTTACTTCACAGTGTTGTGATGATTAAAATATTGCTGCAACACATGGTCCTGTGCTTCTGCTATTTATCAAAAGCTTCTTGATGAAATTCAAAGAATAATCATCAATAGTTGCCCTAATGTAGCGTCTCTGCTTTAGTCACTTTCTCACCGCCGCTTGGAGAAGTCTCTTCCGGTCAACTTCAATACGCAAAAATTTAAATTCAATGTCAATCGCTATCTACTATCGTCCTGATTACTCTTTTTTGTTCTTGCTTCTACGCAATATTCCTGTTTCTATCACTTAAAACCCAGTAACGCTTTTTGTCTCAGCGGTTTTAATACATTGCGTGGGGTGAAACCGATTACAACAATGTATCCTTTTATTCTGGCTTCTAAAAGCAAAGAAACATAAATACTAAAACTCTTACTTATTAGAGATGATTGTTGCCTAGTAGGAATCATTTCATATCTTAAGAGTTACTCTTAAGAATATTGAAATTATTTTATCTCACTTTATCACAGGCGTGCCGTCTCTTCCCTCTGTCTTTTCTACAAATGCTTTCACAGTAACTGCTCCGATGAGCTACTTTTTCTGATTCCCAAACTGCACGAATTTAAGCGTGCTTCTAGGTTGACATCTCAGTCCTACCCCTTCACTGTCGAAAATCTTAAATGTAGCCGTCTCTTCTACTCCAATAGCTTCATGTGTCGCACTTCTCGCCTGTGGAACTCCCTTCCTCTTATTTGCTTCCCTGATAGCTATAGTGTTCCATTAATCAAATGCTCAATCGACATCTTCAGATGCCTTGAGCTAATTCCCAGTCATTCAATTCATCCTTTCCTCTATCACGCCTCTTTACTCTTGCTCCCACTCTCTCTAACCCCTTGCGTGCTAGTGGCACTCTCGCCTTGCTTGGGGTGAAATGCTTTTAAAAAAATGTATAGGCCTACTCTGGGAAATCTAAAAATTAAAAATGTTTCACAGATTTATATGGGATTTTTTATCATTTTTTCACTGATTTTCTTTACAGGAGCATCATGTCAAGATCCTGGTACACCTGCAGATGCCGCCCAGTACAATGTATCTTACGATTTAGGAGATAGCATGACATTTAGCTGCAACCGCACAGGTTACGCAGTTATGAAAAACAACCTGCTAACTTGCGTCTACAAGAATGGAAGCGCACATTGGGATAAGCCTATAAGTCAATGTGTTGGTAAGGGGATTTTTTTTCAAATGACCCAATGTTTGGATTTTTTTTCAAATAATCAAATCTTTCCATTTTTTTTTTCATTAGCCCATTATTCGGATTTTTCCCAAATAGTCCAATATATCGATTTTTTCAAATAGGACAATATTTGAATTTTTGCAAATAACCAAATATTTGAATTTTTTCAAATAACCCAATATCTGAATTTTTTCAAATATCCCATTGTTTCAATTTGTTTCTCAATGTTTCGTTTTTTTTAAATTGCCCAATATTTGTTTCTTTTTTTTTTTTAAATAATCGCCCAATGTTTCGAATCTTTTCTCACATAGCCCAATATTAGACATTTTTAAAATAGCACAATGTTTGATTTTTTTCAAATAACCAATTTTTTTTCATTAGCTCAATGTTTACATAATTTTTGAAACAAGCAAATGTTTCGACTTTTTTCAAAGCCCAATATTTTGATTTTTTGCAAATAGCTATTTTTTCAAATAGCCCAATATTTGGAGACTTTTTCAAATTGCCCAATATTTTTTTTCTGAAATAGCCTAATATTTTGTTTTTTGTTTATTTTAGATAGACCAATATTTTTTTTTAAAAATAACCCAATGTTACGAATGTTTTTTCTAATAGTTCAGTGTTTGATTTTTTTTTTCAAATAGCCCAATATTTGATTTTTGTTTTGTTTTTTCAAATAGTCCCATGTTTGATTTTTTTTAAATAACTTAATGATTGGATTCTTTATTACAATTGATTTCGAATTATGTCAAATAATTATCAGGTAAATCATAAATAATTTCCGTTTTCTGACATCAATTTTAAGGATGAAAGTAACTTTCTACATTCCAGCCTGACACGAAAGTTAAGAATAAATTTGGATTCCACTAAGATATCATGGTTTTGGCATAACTTAGTGTTAGCGTACACAGTCGATTAATAAATACATTTCTTAATTCCAATAGTGGATGATGTGAAAGTACATTTTCATCACATGTTATGTGATAGCAACAAGGTAGTAACGTGATGGACACGTCTAGAAAATACGTGGCATCACGATGGACACGTCCAAAAATATGTGGGATTAAGTAGTTATAACGTCTTAACCAGCAAGTACGAAACTGGTTTTGCAAAGTTTCGTTCTGGACCATTATTCTACATATTTTCTAGGCGTGTCCATCACGTTACTACCTTGTTGCTATCACATAACATGTTTCAATTCATCCACTATTGGAATTTAGAAATGTATTTATTAATCGACTGTGTACGCTGACACTAAGTTATACCAAAACCATGATATCTTAGTGGAATCCAAATTTATTCTTAACTTTCGTGTCAGGCTGGAATGTAGAAAGTTACTTTCATCCTTAAAATTGATGTCAGAAAACGGAAATTATTTATGATTACCTGATAATTGATTTACCTTGCTTAATCTCCCATAACTTGTGCCACATCTAAGCTATGCTTATTAAATCACCATACAGGACTGACTCTAGCCAGGCAAATGTGTATCTTAATACTGCGATTTAGTTTTCATTTCTATGCATTCGACAGCTTATTACAGGCTGGCCATTGTTAAACAAATACTAAATTATTTGTCTTTATAAACTTTTTCAGATACATATTCTCCGATTATCAGTAATTGTTCCCTGGAACCAATATACGCAAAAAGAATGGAAGAAGTAACACTTCCTTTTGTCAACGTAAGCGACAATTCTGGAGCGACGATGCATCTTGAAGTGTGGCCTTTGAAATTCCGATTTCCTACAATTATAATTACGAGCACGGAAGTCACCTATAAGGCAACGGATTGGGTAGATAACACATCTTCATGCTCTCGCAGAATTATCGTAAATGGTACGTCAATATATACATTTTCCGTTCATAGATAAGCTTTGTTTTGACAGTTACGCTTGCATTATTACCTACAAACAACTGAAGCCTTTTCTCGATTTCAAGGATTCAGTAATATAATAGATACTAGTTCGGAATGAGAAGTTGCAGAATCAATTTCGAATTCGTTGCATTCCCTTACGCACAAAACAATTGGGAAAGGCATCCATCTCCTCCCACCAACCATAGGTTAAACAGTATGAATTGTATCTATAAAAATTCTTGCTATTCAAAAAAAAGGCTAATGTAATATTCACTCGCAAAAAAAGAATTATTCTTACATTTCAAAATATATTGTGATTGATTTGTTTTTTTTACATCTTATCAACTCTTCAGAGAGGATTGATAAGCCATAAGAAAAAAACAAATCAATCAGTTTCTCTTCATTAATTCCTGATCATAAACTGTTTTTCTTTGTTTTGAATATATTTTTATAGTAGATTTCCATGGATGGGTTTCAGGGTGTCCATGAGGATCAGATAAAAAATTAACATTTATATTCACTATACAGCATTTGCCCCAATCGCCGGTTTCCCGTTCAAAGAAATAAAACAAAATATACCCTGACAATGCTTGAAAGAATACGCACATAACCGCTAAGCGTCTTTTGACTTGCTGCTGAGTCCATGTTTACCATTTAAAGGTTTGTTATTCTCTGTGCGACCGCCGTTTTTTGTCACTCCATAAGAGCAAGTGATAATTCTCATTTTCTCACGGTTTCTCACGAAGGGGTCCGTGACTCTAGGGTTCCATGACTAAAGGAGATCGTAACTCAAGGTGTCAGTGATTAAACGAGATCATGTCTCAAGCGGTCCGTGATTCAATGGGCCCGTGACTAAAGGAGATCGTAACTCAAGGGGTCAGTGACTAAAAGAGATCTTGACTCAAGTGGTCCGTGACTTAAGGGGTCAGTGACTAAACGAAATCTTGACTCAAGTGGTCCGTGACTTAAGGAGTCCGTGACTAAATGATTTCTTGACTCAAGGTGTCAGTGACTTAAGGTGTCCGTGACTAGAGGAGGTTGTAACTCACGTTACAAGTCATAAATGATTTAATAATAAAACATTTTATAATCCACTTCAATATTAAAAATGTGAACAACACCGGGTGAAATGGCAAAATTGTCCAAATATGTTAACGACATTGAATAATTGTCGATCCCACAAAATGTTTAATATCTAAAAAAAATAAAGTGCTGGAAGCAATTCACAAATAGTTGCGGAAGCAGGAGAAAACCTTCTTCTTGGAGGGATTACGCAAGCGCATGAAGCACTAGACCTAGTACAGAAAAGGATGGGACTATGTAGAAAAATGAGGTACTTGTTTTTTGTGTAAATAAATAAGACAGGAGTGTGGATAATTTTCGACTTTCCTTCGTATATATATATATATATATATATATATATATATATATATATATATATATATATATTGGGTGTAACAGCAAAATTGACCAAATCATGTTACACTATAAATATCCATCCTACAAAATTTTTAATATCTAAAACTAATTGAGTTTCTGTTTTCGAGGTTTTCCAATAAGACGTTCAACCATCTTGACACCATTTGTTGTAAGAATCACTGAAAAAACTCATGAGTTATTCAGTTTGAAAGAAACCAGGTTAAAATAGTTTTGTGTCAGCCCCACTGTTTTCTGAACTGAGATTGAGTGAGAGGAAAAAGATCATTCAAGCCTTCAGTAATGCTACCAAAATTTCCATCCATCTTCAAATGCCATTCAAGAACCATAAAGAGAATGGTGAATAGGTTTTAAAAATTAGAGACCAGTAGAGAGGAAAACCAACACTAATATAATTTTATCATATTTAGGAACAAACACACTAACTGAACTCTTTATTTCGCTCACTCGGGTAGACTGTTCTAGTTCCATGTGCCATGTCTAATGGATGTCATTTATCAGTTATCTCCTGTTAATTCTCCTCCCCATGGCATGTAGAACTAGAACAGTCTACCCCAGTGAGTGAAATAAAGGGTTCAGTTCGACATTCCAACCACCTGAAAAAGGACGGAGCGTACAACGGCCGAAACGTTGTAATAAATTTGACGACAAAGATGAGGATAATAGTCCGAATAATGTACATAGTGTACATAATACCTTATCTCAGAAATATAGAAAAACACACTAAATAAGGCGTTATCAAAGAATCGTCCTATATCAGTTTAATCATTTTTGTCGAGATATTTCAGTGATAGAATCATAATCCAATGGGTTGAAGTAGCTAATGTTGGCCTTAGAATATATTCCGTGTGGCCTAAAAATTCCCCTTTTAAATTTCAAAATATTCTTGGGGTTTGCAGTGCCCAAACACCTATCTGCAGGTACTCTTTGAGCTCCCCATAATTTATTTATAACTTACATTTTGTTAGTTGGATCCTCGGCTTTTTGCTGGTTAAAAATGGACTCCCATATACATTCAACTTCGGGGGCTAAAAATGTAGGTCGGTCACAGAGTACAATAAAAGATAAGTATAAAACAAACAGAAAAACATTGTTTTAAATATATCTCTAATAATAGAGTCTACAAGTGATAGCGATGTTAAATAAGAAAGGTCAAAGTTTTGTTTTTGTTAACACACCTGGAAGTTATAAACAGGCTAAGACAGAGATAGAACCTAACAATACGCATTATTTGATTGGTTGGTCAACGGATGACGGTTTGTGGCAGGGACGGGGAGAAAATTTGTCAGATTGAGTTTTGGGCGACTGAGAAAAAAGATCTAACAATAATCTTGGTTCTCAAACCCAGCCGATGGACGGGGTTCCGAGTAGGGTAGGACATGTCATTGTAACCATCGCAGCCGGTTTATATAACTTATTAATTGTGTAATTGTTACGTAATATCAATCCCCATTTATGTTGTCGTGTAGCCCCTTCTTCTGGGGTTTTCTTGTGGCGTCAACGTCGATTCTACAATAAAGATTTCTTCTCTCTCGGCCGGGTGATCGCTACGTGGTATTTTTTTAGTTCGGAGATAAAAGAGAATTTCAACAAAGCAATTTTAAACATCTAGTTTTAGTCGCAATGTCGACGAGTTCATTTTTAACTAGTGGGGTCGCTCTATAACCCCCAATGGGGAGCAAGTCCCCAGACACGAAAATAACACGTCTGCATTCTTCGATGTGCAAAACTTAACTCACTGAAATTTCTTTCTATCTCTAACATTCCCGCGCTAGTTTTAACCAATCAAAAACGATTTCCTTTGTTTTCCTGTATCTGACATCAAAGGTCAATATGATGAAGTCAGAAGAGAAATACAATTCTCTAAATAATAGTCTCTAAATAATAATAATTCTCTAAATAATAGTCTTCTAGACTATTATTTAACAATAGCTGTGAATGCTGGTCAATCTCTTGAGAGATGAAGATGAGACTTGAAGGAACAGTATCTCGTCTTTACGCGTCTGTTTGTGTTGTTGAGTCGTTTTTTGTCATGAAATATATCTAATAGACTTATTGGAAAATTCCTAAAGAAAAATTCTAAATAATAGTGTCTTTAATACGAAAATCAAATCATTCAACTTTGATGTTTCTTTTAATACCTCTTTCCAGATACTGAGAAACCAATATTAAGTTGCCAGAACTTTACTACATTTCTGTTGTACGAGACAGTGACATTAACGCAAAACAACTTTTCAGTAAATGCATCAGATAACTCAGGTACATTATTTCTCATCTACGAACCTTCGACACTTGTGATCGGTCAGGAACGTAATGCTACCTACGTTGTAAAGGTTACTGCGAAAGATCCATCAGAGAACATAGCAATATGTTATATCCAGGTGAAAACTGAAGGTTAGTATTCTTTTTATGTAATATGTATTTCCTATATTGTGTCATCGTCACTGTCATCGGTTTTATCTCGTATCCAAGAATGTAATTTCCTCTTTGCTGATCGCTTCCTTTATGATGATGACGTTGATCATAGTAGAATTTGCTTAAGGTGGACCTCAACTTGATCCGGAAAATTGATTTCATGACCTTCCTCTGCGGTCCATATAGAATAAGACATGCATGATCTAATTATTATGAGTACACACCAGAAATCAAAAGAAATAATAATAATAATAATAATAATAAGAAGAAGAAGAAGAAGAAGAAGAAGAAGAAGAAGAAACTTGATTCACTAATAAAGGAAGCCAACAAATTAAAAAAGAAATTTAAAGTGGGTGAAAAATTGCAAATACACCAACATACAAATGCTGAAGCGGCAGATAGACAAGAAAAGAAAGCAAATGAATTGGTCCAAATGCAGAAACGATGGCTAGATAAGCTTCATTGGGGCCAATTCTATTCCTGGACCAAACAAGCAGATATAGACAAACCTCGTGGTTACGTTGTGCAGGATTAAAAGCTGAAGCCAAAGGCTTGATCCTTGCAGCACAAGACTAATACTTGCTAACTAGAAATTACCAAGAACACATATTGAAAAACTGTGTTAACCGCTTCCTAAAATCAATGGTGAGAAAATGACTTTGAACGAGTAAAACGAAACTCATCTTTCTATTAACATTGTGCACTGGCGCTGCAGAATTACAAACTAAATATAAGAAGACACATTACTTGAAAACTACCAACAGGAGCAACAACTAAAATGGATAGTACATATAACTCGAATCGAAAATAATGACATGATTAAGGTTTAAACATTCCACGTCCCATGATACACTGAAAAAGGTGGTAATATATACATGCATTAGTAAGTCTATTTTTGCTTTGCTTGGTGTGAGATGATTAAAAATGTATTGGAAAGTTTTTCCTCTATCGTACGTTCTTCTAGACTAGTACTAGATTGGCGGCAATGTCTCATCATTTTGCAATTGAAATGGATAGATGTAACTGTAAGTTCTATGCTAACAGTATCTTCTCTCGCATTACACGGTTGGGGAACTTTATTCCGGCTTCTTGCTTTCCAGTCAACTATGATATTTAAAAAATGGCAGTCGTTATCTTCTGTCTTCTTAATTCTGTCCTTTTATTCTTCTCTCCTTAGTAGTATATTTTTTTCATATTCTCTAACACTCAGTAACCTTTTGCATCTTAGTGGCTTTATTGCCTTGCTTGGTGTGAAATAGTTAAAAAAAATTCCTCCCGCATTTTTCTTTCTTTTCGATAAATACGCTTTTTAATTTATATTTTAATTCCCAGATGTTCCAGGCACTGAGTGTGATAAAAGACGGCTTGCTATTCCCAATTCGGATATAACATGTCCAAACAGTGATTCCTGCAGTGTATCTTGTATTGATGGGTACTTTTTTTTCGATCAGCCAGCTCTCGTCACCCGAAACATTAATTGTGACCCCTCAAAAGGTTGGCCGGTAGAAGGAATATACTGTCTTCGTAAGTATAATTATATATATATATATATATATATATTAAAACATGTATCGTTATACAGTTTAGACACATTCTGATATTCTGTCTACTCATTTTCATGAAGATCTTTTCATACTCTCGAATAGGTTTCTTGATGTCATTACTGAAAGATGAGAGAAAATCGCCGTGTTCATACATATTTGTTTTATTATCAAGTACTTTAGACATGTGCATGTCATCATCAGGATATTGTTTATAATAAAACGAATATTACAGCATCCACTATTGTCATCAAAAAACTTATCCGAGAGTATGAAAACATCTTAAAGAAAATGTGTAGGCAGAATATATCTAAACTGCACAACGAAACATGTCTTAATGAACAGAGTCTGCCGAAATATACTCATATATATATATATATATATATATATATATATATATATATATGTGTGTGTGTGTGTGTGTGTGTGTGTGTGTGTGTGTGTGTACTGAACTGAATCTTTCTGCTTGAAGCTTATTAATTCAGTTTTAGAGCTATGGAAATGAATGCGTTCAACATCACGATGTAGTAGAGCTGTGGCATTGTTAATGGTGTCCGCAGTGATAAGTCATCGACATATTCAATATCGCTCAACGTTTTTGCGAGATATCGACTTGAGAGACTTGTTGGTAAAGTAAAAACCCTAGTTGATCATGCTTTCAAGTTAAGTTCTCAATACGTAGACATGAGAAAAGGCGCAAGTACCATTTCTTTAATGTCAAAGAATTTAGTTTCTACGTCTGGGGATATAACCAGAGCTGGTATTATATATATATATATATATATATATATATATATATATATATATATATTGGAAATTGGTATTATCTTGGTATATTATCTTGGCGTTGGTATTATATATATATATCTTGGAAAATAAGGAAAAGATCATCAGCCTACAACAACCAATCAAAAACTTGCAAACTTTGCTTGGAGGAAAAAATAGCTATCATTACTTTCCCAGACCAAAATAAATTATTAAATAAAAGATCCGAGTTCATCTCAAAATGCAAACATGAAAACAAATTTTTACTACGTTACTTAAAAATTGAAAACGGAAAAAACAAAATAAAAACAAATAAATAAACAAGTAAACAAAATAACAATAAAATAAGCAAAATTAATTAATCCAAACAAATTACCAAATCACACCTGTTAGAATAGACGAAATAGAATAATAATAATAATAATAATAATAACAAAAAAAAACAAAACAAAAAACAACGAATCCAAATAAATAAAGTAAATAATAAACAAAGTAGCAAACCATTATGACCAAAATAATCAAAAAAGTCAAACCAAAAATTCGGACGAAAAAAATAGCTATAACTGTTATATAACGATAAAAAAATAAAAATAAAAAATAAAATAAAATAAAAATAAAAAATAAATACTACGTTACTTAAAAATCGAAAACCAAAAAGAGAAAATATACAAGTAAAATAAATTGACCTAAATTCATCCAAGTAAATAAATAAACAAACCAATCCCGATGAAGTTACCGTTAGAAAAAACAAATAAAGATAATCAACCCAAATAAACACAAATTAAAAACTGTTCCTGCCAAAATAATAGTTAGAATAGACTACAACAACCAACCCCAAAACCGAACAAATAGCTTTAATTAAATTCTCAAACCAAAACAAAACTATTAAATAAGTGATATAAACAAATTTTTACTACGTTAATAAAAACACCGATTAAAAAATAAGTAAATAAATAAATAAATTAAGAAACAAAAAAATAAAATTAAATAAAAACAAGTAAAATAATTTAACCCAAATAAATAAATAAACGACTTCCGGTAAAATAACCGCCATAATAGACTACCCACAATGCACCACTGACCGTATATGTATAAATAGCCGAGAAAAATAACAGCACGCGTGGCCTGACGATTGCATATAGCATGAAACAGACTGTCGCCTCTAAGTGTTGACTTCTATGTTCACTTTTATATTTACACACGCTCTATCTCTGATATTGATCACTTTATCCCATAAATATAGCACACCTTAAGACTATATTTTTTTTATATATATATATATATATATATATATATATATATATATATATATATATACATATATATTGTTCTAAGCTACAAAGGTCTCCTGAATGAGGAATAACCAAAAATGGAGGTTGGAAATGAAATGGTAATCTTTATAACATCAACAAAATACAATACGCGTCAGCGCCGGAAGTAGGTAAACCACTGTTAGTGTTGGACAACATAGCTTATTACTCCCAGCACTTACAATAGTATTCAACCTATTTATTAGGATTGGTACATACACATTAGTCTTCATAGATAAGGTATATATATATATATATATGTATATGTGTGTGTGTGTGTGTGTGTGTGTGTGTGTGTGTGTGTGTGTGTGTGATATAAAAAGTGACACTAAAATGAACAACGAGTGGCGACAGTCTGTTTCATGTCTTAGCGCAAATTTCATGCTTGACGATTGCGTTCAAGTATGAAACAT